GCAGTAGTTTTAATCTGTTCATTATATCTAGTTAGGTCTTAATATATTCTACTATTATTATCTTAAGTACTATTATAGTACTAAGATTTCTATATATAAATTTAGACTTTTCTAAAGCACTAAAGAATTTAATGCTTAGAAATCTTAGCTTAAGTAATAGTATTTTAGTAATAGTTTTTACTGTTTAAATCTAGTTTACAATATAAATTAGAGCTTTTAACTAAACTAGATACTTACTTATAGCTGCCTTGTCTCTAAAATACACGTCTATACTAGACTTTAGGTAAATATTACTTAAAAAAAAGAGTTTAAATCTGCCTATAAATACTACTACTATAAGGTTTTACTAAATTCTACTATCTATAAATATGCTAGGTATTAGCTTTAATACTAAGTTACTCTAGTATAGTTAAACTATATTATGTCTATCTACTATTATACTTAGCAAATGTTTGTTAAAACTTAAGAATTGTAAGTTTTATTAGAGAAAGTATATAGATTATTCTAAGCAGAACTAATAAAAATATATTATTAGTTAGGCTTTATATAAGTTAAATAAAAAAGGTAAGCAGAGAGTTAAGGACATAGAAAATTAGTTATTAAGTAATAATAACCTTTAATATTAAAAGTAATAAAATTAAACTATTATTACTTACTTATTCCTTAAAGCTACTCTAGTAAAATATAAAGATTTACTAGTAGTTAGAAGAATAAATCCTATATAGTTTTATATTATAATAGATTTTAGAGTTAAAACTTAAACTAAACTTTAATAAATAAATTTTCTAGCTCTCAAACTATATTTATACTAGATTAATAAGTTTAATAGTACTAAATAACTGTTTATCTATTTACTGTTTAGTACTATTCTTATCCTCTAATTAAGTATAGTGTAGAGAACCCGCGGATTTTAGATAATAGTAAACTATTATAGTACTATATCTTAGAAACTTAAATATAAAACTTATCTAATAAAAAACACGTAGATTAATAAAAACTTTATTAGTTTTTAATATATATTAAGAAGATTTATTTAAGTTTTAATAATTTTATCTTATTGTAGTTACTCTGCTAACTTAGGCTAGCGCTTACTACTACTAGAAATAAGCTAAGAATTAAATATAGCTTTATTTATATAAAGAACTAGTAAAGATAAGTAATTACTATAGTATATAATTAATACCTAAATACTACTATTTATAGTTTATAATCTTTAAATCGCTATTAGATATGTTTTTTAATTACTTAAGATTTAGTTTTAGTATTAGTTTTATTAGGCTAGAGTAAGTACTAGGTATAAGGTTAATTTTACTTAAGACTAATAAGTTAAATAAGAATAGGTTTAATGTTAGCTTATCTATAAAAGAAACTTAACTACTTTAGTAAGGTCTTTTATTACTTTAATATTAAAGCTAGGCTACTTAAATATCTTATTAAAGTCAAAAATTATTTTAAAAAAAGTATAATAAAGTATTTAACAAGGGTTTTAAAGTATTATTAATAGAAGAAGTATAAATAAATGTCTTGAAGTTTTAAGAGAAACTTAATAATTTAAACCTTAAATTTAAAATTAACCTTGTTAAATATTAATTTTTTAAGACCTATTATAAATAATCTTGAAAGAGAACCTTCTATATCTTTATAAAAGCTATTCTTAAAAGCTATATATATCTTAATAACTCTAGTCTAAACTTCTCTTAGTTCTTCCTTTAGCCTAGTAAAAGTAGTAAGAAAGTTATTTAATATTTAATATATTTTAAATAACTATAAGTATGCTAAGCTAATATTTTAAGTATTTTGCTTTCTGTTATATTAAAGTAAATAATACTTTTTAAAACTTTATTATACTAAGCTTTATTATTTATAAGATTTAACAAAGCTATTAACTAAGTTACTAAAAATAGTTAAAAACTAAAAATCTAGCTCTTTACTACTGTAAGTTTCTTATATAAGCTATATTAGTAAAGGTAATAGTAAAACTATTTTTACTAGTAGTACTATTTTATAGAGCTAGCTACGCTTTTAAAGTAGCTAAAACAATATTAATAGTAAAGCTATAGCTTTGTATTGTTTTAGGTTTATAGTATATTTATACTAGTAGTATAGGCAAATAAACGTAATATAGTAAGAATCTAATACAATTACTTATTATAGAAGCTAACACCTAGCGTCTCTATATTTAGTTAACATTAGTAAGATTATATATTAATAGTAATAAAATGCAGATTAACTTTCTCTTTGTAATATTTTACTTAATATACTAGTATAGACGCCTAATTAAGAGCCTAGGTAGTTATTAGTTAGAGTTTACCTTAATTGTTAAATCTGTCTTAAATTTTAAACTATAGCTAAGTTAGAAAAATTATTTAATTACTAAGTAATTCTTAATATATAACTAGAGTAGCTTAAGAGAAAGTGTAGGTAATAATAGTCTGTATAAATAAACCTAGAAATAAATATTTTTTGTATCTTAAGAGTTAAAATCTAAATACTTTATTTATAAATTAATCTATCTTGTATTTGTTTATAGCTAGGATTATACTTTACTAATAATATAATCTTATTAGTATAACTTAAAATTTCTTATACTATATCTTTTAGTAAGCTAAAAATCAAGAGTTTATAGTAAGTAGATACTAGTACTAGTATAGTACTTGAGATATTTCTAGTAAAATCTTTAAAGCCTAGGTTTAGTAGTATTAACATTAGATAGTATTACTTTGTAAAAGTATTATACTTTCTACTTTATAAGTTAAAATATCTTATAGTACTTTAAGCTTAATAAATATCTTAAAGTTTAGCTCTAAGAAGCTTAAGTATAGTTTTAAATATAGAAGATTATAAAACTAATAAAGCTGTATTAAGAATTATACTATTTTACTTTATTATTCTTCTAACTTACTAGTATAATAATACTATTTAGATAAAAAATAATAGGCAAATTATATAAGCATTTTTATAAACTCTAAATATACAGCTTTAAGGAAAGAACTTATAAAAGTTAATTAAAAAGTATTAAAGTTTAATATAAAACTATAACATAAATATAGATAAGCTAGTAAATTTAAACTAGGTTAAAATCCAGCTAAACAGAAATTAATAAGTAATTAATATACCTGTGTAACATAAATACAATAGTAATATAATATATTAATCTAGAATTTATTTATTATAAGAATAGTATTAGAAATAAAACGTAGAGATTTATATCTAGGTTAAGCTTTATATACTGTTCTAAGTGTAAATATATTATAAGCACAGACAAGCTATTTAAAGACGGATATAACTAAAATCTAATAGTAATATTATATATTAATCTGTATTTTCTCTAGTAGGAGAATCTAAATAGTACTAAAAAGTTTCGAATATTTAATAAAGTGTAATAACTAAAATAGATTTGTAAAATTTGTTTTTACAGTATATATACTAGTAATTATAAGTAAAGTTCTTTAAGTTTAAGAAGTATATCTATTAAAATAGAAAGAAATATTTATTTATTAGTAAATATCTCTATATATAATTAACTTTACTTTTATTACTCTTATCTTTTTAATTTTTTCTATTCCTAGCCTATTATACTTTTCTAGACAGGGTTTAGATATACTTTAACAAAAGAATTAAGTATAAGTTACTTTTAGCTTTATAGGCATTAGTAAAAAATTAGAATACTAAGTTAAGTAGTATATAACAATAGATTTATAAAACATATAGAGCTAAGATAAATAAAACTAATAAGTATATTTTATTAGTAGTAAAGTAAGTACTAATAAGCTTATAATTCTCGGCTTATACCTTAATATATTTTAAAAAATCTTTAATCTCTATTCTATTCTTGGATTTAACTCTCTTTCTAGCTAGGCTATTCTTATTAGTAAATAAAATAATTTACCTAATAACTTTACTACTTAAACTAAAATTATATTATATATTAGTTTCTTTAATTAAAACTATATATTAGTAATAAAATTATCTAGAGTATCTAATTCTCTCTATTTTACGTATTTCTAAACTTACTAAGTAGTATAGATTTCTTTAATTTTAAATAACAGATTATATAAAGAAAAGTATAGAGCTTATAACTTATACAAAGTCGAAATATTAGAATTTCTTTTAATAGATTTACTATTATTAGTTACTAAGTAAATATTAATAGGTAGATATAAGAAAAGGTAGTAGCTTAAATAAATTATAGATTATTCTTTTAAGCTTTAATATAGTATAGATAATTAGAATAACTAATCTTAAAAATATATTTTTTATTTCCTCTTTAGTTATATATATTTATATAGATTAATACTCTAACTTATTAACAAAGTTTCTAAAAAACGTAATAATACTTAAGTTTCTTTTTAGTATTAGCTTAACTTAAATTAATTTTATTTTTCTAAGCCCTTATTTACGTTTACCTAACAGTAGTTAGTACAGATAAAGATTACTATAGAATAACTTACTATAGTCTCTATAAAGATTATATCTTTAAACATTTATCCTTTTATTAGTCTGTATTATCTCTTAACATAGTATTTACTTTAAGACTCTTAATATTTAATTTCTCTATACTAGCCTATCTATTCTATGTAAAATGCTTTAAGTACTTATAAAAATTTAGAAACTTTACTTATGCAGCTAAATACGTTTCTTGCAGTGATACTTTTTCTATAAAAATACTTTCCTAGTTAAATGTAATGTTCTATTTTGACACGGTCCTTTAACTTGCTAATTTATTTCTTTATATATACTTATTAATCTACACACACTTACAGCACTTACGCCTCTAAGGCGAATCTCCAGTACTATAAATAATACATAGAACTCATTTCTTATTGTTTATATCCCTAGCAGAATTTTGCAGATCTTTTTATTGTTTTGGGAAAAGTGTTCTAATCGTTGTTCCATGCTCAAAATATCGTTCTTACTCCGACTCAAACAAGTGCCTTTCTACAGCAGTGGATAGTTCTACCGTTGCAGTTTCTGTTGTCTTCGTCCATCATCTATACCTCTCACTCTATGACATCGAACCCCACCAGGTCTGGCGCCCACGCACTTCCATACGCGCCAAAGACTACTGTATTCCCCGCCCCTTCCACGAACCCATCAACATCGATGACCAGCCGCCCCGTCTCTTCCCAATCTCCGCCTGAAAGTGGGACGGCCCATCGCTTCGCCTTGCCGCCATTCACCGCGACGGTCAGGTTCCTCGCATTGTCGCCCCACTCCCATGCCGTCGTGAAGGCATAATCGTAGTTGATGAAGTCGATACCGAGCAACTTCTTACCATCCGTTGAGGCAGTGACAGAGAAGAAGCTTATGCTGGCATTAGCGCCAATGTTGCCAACTTTGCTGTGAGTGGGAAGACAAGCGCCTGCGGAGCAAGGTACGATGCGTGCCGATCCGGCCAGGGTCGCGTTTGCGGCGGAATAGTATCCAGAAGACTGCGGTGGAGCGACCGAAACTATATCGGACAGAACCCATAATTGCAACTCATGTCCAGCTAGAGATAGATGCTGCGTCCCAGAAACAGGGCCCAGATCCGTCGCAGACCAAACATTTCTCGCGTTCGCCGAGCCAATACCCAGCGAGACTAAGTCGACTGTCACACTTTGCGAGTCGTTCTTCCAGTTCGCTACGCCCAAGACCTGCCTCGACCCGGAAAGTTGGCCAAGCCACAGATCCCACTCCTCTTCAGTATAGCGACGGACGAGTTCTGCTTGTTTGGCGAGTGAATCCTGGTTGATTGCGATGACCTCTTTGTTGGATAGGATATTCAAGGATGCTTGAGAGGTACGAGCAGAATCTAGGGCGGCGCCGATGATGAGAGGGGATTTATTGATGGCCCACATTCCAAAGTGGAAACGCTCTTCCTCTGCTGAGAGGGCATTGAGACCGACACTAGGTGTTGAGTTAACCAGATTCATGATGTGGAGTAGAGAAAACACGTACATGAGCATATCCATGTCCGCAAATGCACCTACCGTCGTATGTCTGTAGTAGGGCACCACCTGGTTAGTTATGCGCCAAATGCTTCTCCACGCATTGTAGATATCGTTGCTGATTCTCCACGAATTGCCAATCTCAGCCGCCCAATCACCAACGTCGGTGCCAATACCCCACTGACAGACAAAGTACTGGATATCGCGATCCACAGCTTGTAGCTCCGAGGCCATGTGTTGAAAACGCGTAGGGGATTGAGCCTCAGCGGAGTCAGAGTCGACCATGGTTGTGGACGAGGTAGCATAGCAGTTGTCATACTTCAAGCTATCTCCACCCCATTCGGCGAAACTCTCAGCATCCAATTGCTCGAACCCTAAACTCGCTGGAAGATCTGTACTCCCGCATTGAAGATAGCCAGCACCGGAGTACAAGCCGAACTCAAGTCCCAATCCATGAATGAAGTCACCAAGGGCTTTCCCGCCTGATGGGAAGAGAGTGGCATTCCATTGTATTTTGCCGTCTACGTCGCGGTCTCGTGCTGGCCATCCGCAATCCGTAGTCACCGAGGTATAGCCCAGGGTGTCGAGCCCGAGGTCGATGAGTCCTTGTGCACTGGTTTTGATCTTGTCTTCCGAGGGGGAGCAGCTGTATGTGTTGTATGAGTTCCATCCCATAGGTGGTGTTGGGGAGCGGACAGTTTTTGCGGCAACATGGAGCACGAACGTGATTGGCAGCAACCGCATCAAGGTCGGCATATTACAAGGTTTCAACATAGTATGGCCTACATCGAATCGAATCGAAACAGCGAGTAGTCCTCACTTTATAGACAGTTACGAGCAGGATCTTCCCCGCGCTGCTAGTGCATGCCACGGCGGAGGAATTTGTCCTTCCAACATTGGAAATGACGCACATGGGAAGCACATGGGGAAGGTACAATGATCTGCATAGCGTTACATTGTGGGGAACTTATAGAGAGCTATCCGGGTATGATGTTAACCTTGTGCGAAGCAAGGGCCAAGACGAATGACAGTCTACCCCGCGCCGGAGGAATGATAGCACGAGGAAGAGGCTACACCGAGATCTGGTGCGTGTCTAGAGACATTTGGTAATTGATCGACCCCTGGCAGGTGCTGTACGTAGAGACTCAGGCTCTCGCATCTTCTACGCCGTAATTGATACGTAATATCCCAGCATATTGCGCGTCTCCAGATTATACATATGCTCAACATGCCCTATTCTCGCCTTGCTCGTGTGCTTTGAATGTCACGGTTACATGCGATAGCTGCCCCGACTGACTCATTTTGCATGTGGGAGCCTTGGAGCCTTGGGGTTGGCTGAGAAGGTGTACGATGTTAACAGGCCAGTTTGTTCAACAAGTCCAAGCAGGATTGAGTCGATCAATGGAGCGTCTGTCCGATGGTACCGTTATCGAGCAGTGCATGAGACCGCTACTTAGATGTGCACACGTGGGAGGCAGCAAGTGTACAATTCGGAGCGATGACCACATTTGTTGGCGGCCTCTACAATGCAGGCATGGGTGGAGGTAGAAGGAGGACGCTCGAGGTTCAGCTCTGCGGTTTCGGCTTACACTGCTCTGCCTTCGCCCACGCCTGGAACATGCTCTTCTTCCATCCGCTCTTCCAAGTACTCTTCTTCTTCTCTCCGTTGACAGTCAGCTCTTGCGGCTTGGTGTGTTCTCCCAGCCTTATACTGCTGCTCAAATGGCAACGTGTCTCTTTGTTCTCGTTCCAGTTGGGCGAGGGAACGGTGGAGTAGGACCACTGAACGCAGTTTTCGTTTTTGTTGCACGACGCCTGGCAGGCCTCCCAAGAGGTCTCTGCTTTGATGGCGCGATGCACATCGTGCTGTTTGCCCTCGAACAGCATGTTCCAGCGCGCATTGGTGAAGTCGGAGGAGAGATTGTCCCAGTCGTCTCGCGGGTCGTCGAGGGTCTGTGTGGACAGGAAGCTGAACCAGAGATGTGCAAACACGAGGGGACCCGTGGCGTTCTTGTCTTCTGCGTGGGCCTTTTGGAGGCGCCAGATGTCGCTCGCGGCGTTGACGGGGACGTGGTGCAGCATGGTGACGGGCTCGCACCACGAGGCGTAGGGGCCAAAGGGTACGCTGCTGGGCGCGAAGCCGGACATGCCAGGTGACAGGGGTTGTGGGCTGGTGTTGAGCTCCCGCAGCACGACGTCGGCGACGAGTTCGAGGGCGGAGCTGTGGCCGGCGATGTAGGGCATCCACGTCTTGACGACGTCGGTGCGCACCTCGAGGAGCTCCCTCATGGCGCGGCCAGACAGGATGAACGAGGTGCCGTTGGCGGCAAAGGGGGCGAAGGCGTCGGGGGCGCCGGGGCCATTGTACGTCGGGGGGTTGGCGAAAAAGGCCGTCGTGTTGGCGTCGTGGTGGGCCAGCCAGTCGAGCAGGTTGGAGCGGTCGATGAAGGTGTCGTCGTCGACAAAGGCGTACCAGGTGCGGTTCGGGCGGAAGTGCCAGGCGTCGCTCATGGCGGGCAGCACCTTGTACTTGGCCAGCGTGGCCAGACGCTCCCTCTCGCGGCGCGGGTCCTGCTCGGTCAGCTCGCCCAGCGGGATGCCGCGCTGGTGGTAGTCGAGCTGGCGCACGTAGCCGGCCAGCTCGCGCGTCGACTGTATGAAGGCCCACGGCAGGGAAGCCACGGCGTCGAAGACGGGCCAGCGCCCGACGGCCATCTGCAGGTCGCCAAAGTGCAGCAGCGTGCCCTGATCCTGGGCGTCGACGTGGACAATGGTCGGGGCGACCTTGGCGTAGACGTCCGTGGCCGTGGTGAAGACGGCCACGACGAGCTGGTCGGGGGCGACGGTGGGCGGCGTGTCGTGCCGGGAGCGCTGGCTGGGCGGCAGCTCCTCGTCGTCGTACTCGCGCGGCCAGCCCTTGATCCAGCAGAAGGCGTAGACAAAGGCCGCGAACAGCACCAGCCGCAGCGGCCGGGCGAGCAGGTTCTTGCACGGGGCGAGCATCGTCGCTATGGATTGCCGCCTGTCATCCGTCATCCGTGAGTGTCTCGAGTGTCGGAATCTGTCCAGTCTGCTGCACACGCTGAAGACACGACACTAGCACTGTCCACACGAGCTTCGGCACGAGCTTCGACGCGACGCTTCAGGGGCAGCCGCTAGCTCCCACCCGAGCAAAAGCATCGTGGGGCAACTCTACACGACTCTCTTCTGTGACCCTCCATCAACCTAGTCGTCTCCATACACAGCCTCGCACTCGGCCCAGACGTTGCTGCATCGACTATGCCCAGGCGACTTACTACAAACGAGTTGAATAGTATGAACAAGTGAACAAAGCTGCAAGAACATCATCACCCCCTGCAAGCAACTCAATGGAGGTCCAAAACATCTTGATGACGCTGGAAGTCGTGTACGAGGAGAAGAGCGGGAGACGACTGTGGCATTCGGCTTGTAATTCATCTTCTCATATGCATCGATCCCGACGACCTGCTACCTCAAATCACATTGGCTGTGTGTCAGTCCACATCCATCACCCTGCAGTTGTTCCTTGTCCTGCAAACCGTCCGCAACAGCGGTAAGCACTGCTAAGTTGCAGCACTACACGGTGAAGGCGAGTTGTACCATCATGAACCCTATGTGCAGGCACCAACCCCTCCACACTCCTACCGCTTCAAACCTACTTTCAACCTTTCTCTCCACCGCTGCAACAACTTCCCTTCTAGAGCGCACATCATCTTTTCCCTTAATCCTCGTTGAGTACCCTCACACCTACACAAACCATGCCACGACCCTCGTCACAGCGCCGCCAACCAAATCTCAGCGACTTCTACTATCAAGGCCCTCTCACAGCCCTCGTCAAACCCTCTCCAGAAACCACAACCGCATGGGTACTCGCCGCACACAGCCTCCGAGAGTCCCGCGCGCGCTTCGCTACCAAGATCAAAGTCGGCGGTGATCAGTCTGTGTGCGCACTCGACCGTTCTGCCGTCCTCGACGTCTACCAAGAAGCCCTGAAAAACATCAGCCCTGCCAACTACCAACAAATCACTTCCGAGACAAACCTAAAGGTCAAGACTATCCTCAACATCCGCCCCGCCGAGCCAGATGATCTGGTCTTCTCCACAGTCGGCGCGCTTCTCAGGCCCTTGGACCCTCAATACGCTGACCCGCGCATCGAGTATGAGCATGACCTGTATGGCTATCGAGCAGCCTGGAGGTTGGACGCTTGGAGGAAGCAAGGTTGGCCTCACGAGTATCCAAGGGGAGCCGTGGAAGCAGAGAAAACCGAGAATGCACAGCCACCGCATGGCCGCGGAAGTTTGGCGAACCGCGATAGAAAGAATAAAATCATGGGCATGTCGGACGAGGCGTTGGGAGGTGTAGTCACCAAGCTGATTCAAGAGGTTTGATTTAGCGCGATATGATTGGTGAGGAGCGCGCCAGAGTTTGGTAGTGTTCAGGCAACTAATACACATGATCTTCATGTCTTTGATCATTACAATCATTGCTACCCTGTTCATTTGTCAAACAAACAGGAAGACACAACTTTGCAAGATCTTTAAGTATCAGCACCTCTGTCACTTCAACTTGATCTTGCACGTTCAAAAAAGCTTTTCGAATCTATATAACTGTATTATATGTCACGCAAGGCAATTCTATATAAACGACACTGCCAACAGAAGATGCAAAGCCGCCTCAAATCGGTTCTACACCTCTTCGTCAAATACATGAATGGTTGCCGCGAAGAGGTATCAGCTCAATTCGAGAGGCTACACAAGACAACAACAATGAGCTTGTTGAAGGCGATAATCACGCCTCTAGCGAAAGGTCAAGTCATGATCTTACTTTCATCCAAAGAAGACTGCACTTCATCAGGGAGTCATCCAGGGTCTTGGGGCGAAACAAGTCAGCTATCACGCCAAAAGACCTAGACGAGCTCTTGACCCTACCTCTGTGCCCAAGCCATTTCTTCAAGTCACGAAATGTATAAATGTTTTTGAAATCTCAAAGACCTTTAGGCGATTGGTAGTCCTCCTCTAGAAGGTCTTGTTGAAACTAGCAGAAAGACTGCAGAGCCACACGGTAGGGCAACGGAGAAAAAGGGCCCAGAGCTGCTGGGGCTGTGGAGCAACTTTGTGACAAAGGTCAAGCGTGAAGATCAGGAAGGTTGGATTGCCCTTCATGGCCTAATCCATTGCACAACGTGCAGATCGCACAACAACTTCTCAGTCCTTCGTCACTATGCAGGGACATAAGTATATAAACAGCTCCGGATTTTCCCACCACTGAACCAAAATCCTCATTCGGTCTTTGAGCCATCAACTCAACCTAGTCTCAACTCAACCGGCAAGCCAATAGGCCACCACCGACGACGAAATGGATGAGAATGAGGCGGTTCGTATCCTTCTCGCAATGAGCAGATCAGACACAACTACCCTCCCCATTGACGTCGCTGCACCGCAAACGAGCACTGAAGAGCAATCGATCGCGCAGGCGCCCAATGCATCACCTGGTTCCCAATCAACACTCACTGCGCCGAGTGAAGATGGTACTCTGAGCGTCGACAGCGATACCTCAGATCATCAGCATTCGAGAGTAACTGCACGAACAGCCAACGATATCAGTGCCGCTAAGAGCTTGATCGCTCTCAGTCAAAAGGAATTTGTGCACAATAAACCTCCTAGTCCTAGTCGTCCGGTCGCAGTCACTTTTACACAGCCTGTTGTCCCAGATGCGAATCAGCCAATATCTATAACAAACCATTCTATAGTTGCAACACATCAGGCTGTGGCTCCGGTCAAGAAGCTCACACTGAAGCAGTACATGGCGAAGAAGAAACTCTCCAAGCAAGGAAAGTGAGGGCGATAAAGGACGAGGGTTTTCTTGATCGAGAGTCGAATGTTACTGTCCGGTGTGGGTGCATAGTGTCGCTGACGCAAGACGGAGGTCAGCTTCACCAATATAATTTCGAATGTTTCACAACTGGGTCTTCACAATGAAATATCCTTTGCGCTGAACGTAGTAAACCTAACGTTCAATGTTCAATGGGCTGACGATTTGAGTAAGCGAAACCATTCTAATCCTTGGAGCAAAATAAAATATGTTTCGTAGCAAGTAATACTTTCGTACTGTGAGCTGTGATTTGCAGGTGACAGTGCTCCTGCGTTATTCGAACCGTCTAACACCGTGAAATAGATACGTTGTACGGTAGACTTACCGAAAGACAGCAGCCAATTTGACGATAATCCTGAGCTACTGAGTCTAGTAACTGGCCTGAAGCATACCGCGTGTCTTAGATCATTAGTCATTGCTGCAATCGATTATTGTAGCCTACATGCTCATCGTAGCTGCATTCAAAAATCAGCACAAAGGTGGCTTTGAGTACGATGCAGAGAATCCGATTGTCTTCCTCTCATGATACAGAAAAAAGTATGTAATTCACAAACTGTCCTTGCTATTGCCACCAATCTGCACTATGTCCACGGATAGCTCAATTTATCGTCGTAGACGGCCCCACCACCTAGGCGGCGCGCTCAATGGTTGTCACTCCTTCTTTGCCATGCCCCGTAGTCTCATGTTCATCAGCGTGTGCATCGTTAACTTGCTTCTCGACAGCTTTGACGGCCTCATCTGCAAGTGATTTGTCCTCGAACACTGTCGTAACGTCAGCTCAATATCGCACAAATACAAGCTTACGAGACACTCACGGAAAGCAAGTTCCTCCAGCGTTCGGTTATAAGTCTCGGGGTACATAAGGTATACAAAACAAAACTCGAAACTGATCCATCCGCAATAGATGGCAAGGTATTTCCAGTCGAGAGCTGTCAAAGCGACGGGATTCACGTTGACCGAGAAGAAACCACCGAGCTTTCCGAATATCTGCTCAATACCGATGCCCATACTTCTCTGTGCATACGGAAATAGCTCAACCAGATAGGTGTATGTGAGCGAATTGTTGCCGATGTTGTAGCATGCCGAGTATGCGAAGTAAAAGAACAGTGCTGCGTATTGTGCTGACTTGTTCGTGTAGTCATTATCATCCGCGTGTCTAAGCCTTTGGAAGCAGATGGTCATGCTCATGAAAACGAGTGTCATTGAGCCAGCCGACACCATAAAAGCCAACCGTCGGCGGAATCTAGTCACAAACAAGGCGATTAAAACGCCGTTCATGAATCCCCTTGTGATGTAAGTCAGCAAATCGCTACTCAAGTAAGTGGAGAAGATCATACGCACCAACATTGGTTGGCGATATTGATTCTCGTCTTAGCATATGATGACTTGAACCCCATCATCGCGAACAGTAGATTTTGGTAGTAGGAAAGAAGTGTGTTGCCGCTCATCTGGGTGAACAGCCCAAGGAAGCTGGCGATGAGAACGCGGCGACGCATGCCTGCACTTCGGAACATGTCAAGCCACGACTGCTTCGAGTGTTCCATCTCGAGTTTAATAGTCGATCGGATCTGCGCCATCTCGGCTTGCACAAGAACAGAGTTGGAGTCGCCTTCGGCGTGGTACTTGGTGAGTACTGCAAAAGCCTCGTCATCGCGGTCTTTACTAATCAACCAACGAGGGCTCTCAGGTAGCAAACTTCGATCTTATCAGCGTTGCTGGCTAGATTGTGAGGACATTACTTACAAAGCGGTACAAATCTGCAACACCGATGGGCAAACCTGTAGTAAGGAGGGTACACGCCAACTCCAATCACCTGCTATTGAAGTCGTTCGAGTGGCAATGGCAGCGGCGATAATGGCTCCTATGAAATACGAGGCGTTGAAGAGCGAAGTCAAAACAGGTCGTTCCTTGGGATAAGCTAACTCTCCTATCAAGGAGGATCCAGATATGATGGCAAAGAGGATACCAACACCTAGCAACATACGAGCAACAATGTACATTCCAACTGGAGGCTTCATCAGTGAACAGTCACACATACGGATGGGAGCAGCTTTGCTAACCATGCTGAGCAAACCCTTGCAGGATCGCGCCAACGACCATGATAAAAGAACCTACCACAACAGACCATCGTCTTCCGTATTTTTGATTGAACCATGGAACAATCGGGACAGCCAAAATTGAGCCTAGCTGGTAACACGATGAGATGAAGCCAAGCAGGCCTGGCTCGATGCTGGCCTTGCCATCTTTATCCATATGGCCGTTTCCAAAGTCTAACTTCATCAGTCTTCACCCGACAGACGTTGCACATTGAACACGTACACTTGTTGAACGGGCCAGAGAACTGTAGCGTGTTGATAAGCTGAGAGTCGAAGCCGGATGTGATCTCGACGCCCATGCAGCAGACGAAAAGGTACAGGTACATAACTCGGAGGTTCCGTTTTTTGTACCAAGGAGTTTTATCCTCTGCTACCATGCGAGTGATGATCGGGTCGGACGTTCCATCTTGAGGTTTGAACAACCCCATGTTGTCGATGATAGATCTGTTTGATGGTGGTAACCTGAAAGAACTGCAGACCTATTCTACCTTATATACTCGTACGACGCGGGGCAAGTTGACTTCCCCATCTCGGTAATCCGTTGCACCGACGCGATGTTGACAAACTCATACGGCGACAGTATCCGCAATACCGCCCGGGCGTATTTCATTGTGCTTGGCGACGTTGTCTGGGGTAGATTAGCCGTTTCTCCTCCAATAACCGACGGATGATCGTCAAGTCGACGTGCGGGGATGCCACAAGTGAAAAAGTCTCCTACTTCTATCGACCACTTCACTCTGATAGGAATGTTTTAATTTGGCCGGCTCTATCCCAGTTGCGATTTTGTGAACTGTCGTTGGCATCGCTTCCTCGATTCAAAAGGGTGGAGGGCACGTCGGTCTGTACAACCTGCACGCGTGCGACCCCACATGGCATGAGTTTCTGGTGGCGTGGGAAGGCGTTATAGCATTCTCGGAATCCGGAAGACATGGACCGTAGATGTATGGCAACTGCGAGTTTGGACAGGTGCAGCAACGTAGAGCTGGGACGCCTGATTTCGCTTTGTTGCAACAACCCGATAGCTTTGCGGTGCCTGAGGAAACATCGCACGCCAAACATTGAGTATCAATGAAAACCCTCGAGGCGATCAGCTCGTGGCGATTGAAAGTATCACGACAACAAGTCGTGAAGACTAAGCCATTAGCCAACTTCACCTGTTGAACAGCTCCCGCATGGGGTGTGTCGACCATAACTTGTTATTTGTGTTCTACACACAACGTGACGCACCACGTGTCTGGAAGAAACAAGATGGAGTGGGCGAGGGATGTTGATCCGCGAGTTCATTGGAGCGCGTCGGAGACGAAGTCGAGATAATGCAGCATCATCTCTACGGAAACCACGACAGGAAGGATATTGCTGACCATCATATATAGATAGAAGCCAGAATCCATCAGCAAGATGGCAAATACCGAGGGATACAGTCCCAATTGGAAATGCATTGATCGGCAAGGCCACAGTTTAGGCACTCGGCACAGCGGGTCTCTCTCGTAGCCAAACTACCAATGAGGCGCCGAAACTTCCAGGGCACTGCACCGCCACAGCGGTGCCCCAGCAAAGGCCACGGGTAAGAAAGCCGGACAACAAACACGGCGAATGCCGTGCTCCAAAGAGGCTCCTCGATGCGGACACTCGATGGTGATGAGGGATCAAGAGCGAGCGGTGACGAGTGCCAACATAAATCAAGAGGCTGGAATACGATGCGACGAAAACAAAGGGCAACAAAAGACCAAAAATACGATGCGTCGCATCATCCGCATTCGGCCAAAGGCGGAGTCTTGCACGGAGGCCAATCACAAACAGTCACGAGCCACTTGTCTCTTGTTTCGCCGAGAAATGACGTATCGCCCTTCTGTCGGTGGCTGTCATCATCGCTTTGATTCACAGGCGCGCGTACAATAAAGGTTGAATGTGCCACAACTATCCTTCATTCCTCATCTACTCCAGGCTTGCTCTTTCCTCGCTTCTACATCTTTTCCACTACTTGCGATACCCAAATACATCCCTCAAGTCCCTGCATATCTACCCGCGTTCCCCATCCCGTCCTTGCAGCAAGCGACCGACCTAGTCAAGATGGTGGCACCAGCCGTCGTCCTCGGTCTTCGTGGCGTTCAGATTCTATTTTCCATCATTGTATTGGGCCTGACTGCCTATCGTACGTCGCTCGATCCTTTCGTAATCTTTCCATACTGATTGTATACCAGTTGTCGATGCGTACACGAATCCTTGGGGCAGCTGGTCCCCCCACAGCTTAAATTTCATGCTCTTCACGTCCATATGGACGCTCCTGGCGGCCGCCTATCTTCTTCTCGCACCAACACGTTTCCCGAAAGCTGCTCATGCTTATGCCATAGCGGGGGTAGAGTTCCTTACTATGATATTCTGGTTCGCTGCTTTTGTGGCTGTAGCCGCTCTATGGGGCGATGTCGTCTGGTATGGCCGGAAGGGTACTTTCTATGGCTGCGGAGTGGCAGCTATCGTTTTCGCGGCTTTCACCTGGTGAGTCTCTTGCTTGAAATCAGCTACTATAAGGCTAACAAGGTGCAGGCTTACCTTCTTGGCTACTACTGTCCTAGCCGCGTTGCACATTCGTAACACGTCGCGCGGCGGTGCTACCGCCCATGCTCCTAATATGGCTGGCGTCTAAATCGTCAGCGATTGATGCATTTGGTTCAAAACACGTGTTCTAATTTGATACCCCTCTGTTTTTCTTTTACGTTTGGAGATGTTTTTATATCATTATGAAACAAATTGCTGCTTGCTTTTAACGATTTACATGATATGAGCTCTAATTCATGATTCCCAAAGTTCCGGTTATGTCATTGCGTCTTTCACAGAGTTTGCTGATGTTCGAGTCTGAGTCGGAAATGATCATCTCGCCTTTGTAATGAGAGCTGGTTTGCACACTTCCTTACTGATAATTCACACCCGTGTTTCTTCCCCACAATCTATCGCGACATGCTACACTTTTTCAATGACCGATACCATCCAAAATCAAATCGAAGAAAATACAGCACTATCGCGCATGTCCCAACATTGCGCCGTTCCAATGCTCAACTAACTCGGTCGAAAGCTCGATATTCACCCGATTTGAGGCTGAGCTTGCGGATCCACTATCGTAGAATCTTGCGATGAACGCATGATCACCAGCAGTGGCGTGGTTAGTGTGGCACCGTGGCTTGTAGAGGTTTGTCTTCAGGCGGTGCCTGTTAGTATAAGGTTCATATGAGTGGTTAAGCATTTGCACACGATTCTAGGTTACTGAATTCATCTCGAATCAGCTGTCGGTCTGTGTGAGCTAACCCCCTCCTTTTGCAAATGGCTCGTTTTGAGCAACACGTGGAATATTCTAACGACCAATCAACTACGGGCAGAAAAGCTCCGCGGGCCGATAGAGCCGCTTGGTAATCTTAGTATTGCTTCTAGGCGTTTATCAGCCACCCTGAGTTCTGAACTGGTTTTTGCATCGTCCTGCCTTCTCAGAGGTCGGCGTCCTCGCTGTAAGCCTTGTTGCGATGGAATCTTCCATCCCTTCTGAAGCCAGCGCAGTACATCTAGCCAAGTCCAAAACGACAAGAGATATCGGGGAAGGCGCGGCGCTTCGTCGCGGGTCACGACCACGACGAAGAAGTGCCTCTGTTGACGTTGAAAAGTTCAAGGAGCTTGAAGTTGCCGAGGACGAGGATCCAGAGCTTCGCGATGAGCGCGGCTACAGGGGCATACGGGTATGAATTGTGGTTAATCGTATTTAATATTTGCTAAAACGTTATAGGCTTTCAATGTCAGCCAGCTTCTCACCCTAGCTTATAAGTCTGTGGGTGTCATTTACGGAGACATCAGCACATCCCCCCTTTATGTGTTTTCCTCCACGTTCACCGAGCCTCCCAAACGTATGGACCTTCTAGGAGCCGTATCTTTGATCATATGGTCACTTACTATTATCGTAACGTTCAAGTATGTTTTGCTCGTCCTGAGAGCAGATAATGATGGTGAGGGTGGATCGTTCAGCACGTATGCTCTGTTATCTCGATATGCAAACATCTCCCAGAGAGATCCCCGCGAGGCAAGTATGGTCCGGACCTCTCGAGTACTTTTCAGCCGCTCGACGAAACATGTACGATCAACTATCGAGAAGACCAGATTTTTCCGAGGCCTTTTGCAGATAATTGGAGTCCTGGCTGTGTCTATGATCATCGCTGATGGAGTCTTGACACCCGCTCAGTCGGTACTTGCCGCCGTTCAGGGTTTAGAGGTTGCCAGTGATGATGTATCAAGATCGACCATAATCGGTGTCACTTGTGCTATCCTTGTTTTACTATTCTTAGCGCAACCTTTCGGCACGTCTAGGTTTTCGGTTGTGTTCACTCCCATTGTTTCGGTATGGTTAGCACTCAACGCGGGTTTTGGTATCTATAACCTAACAAGGTACGTACTGATCACGCACGCGCAAAATCTAGTACTCACTCCAACGATTCCAGATATGATCATGGAATGTTGAAAGCCTTCAACCCCTACTATGCATTCGATTTCCTCATACGGAACGGTCATCATGGGTGGCGGAGCTTAGGCGGCATTCTCTTATGCTTCACGGGTGTCGAAGTCCTTTTCGCAGGCATTGGTCCCTTCAGTCGTCAAGCTATTCAAGTCAGCTGGATTGGCTATGTATATCCATGTCTTCTACTTGCTTATGTTGGCCAAGGAGCCTACATCAGCCAACATCCAGAGGCTTACATTAATCCGTTCTACAACTGCGCCCCCCTTGGCTGGCTGATCCCATCATTAGTGATTGCTATTGGCGCTGCAGCTGTCGCTTCGCAGACCATGATCACGGCAACTTTTCAGGTAAGTGATCAGAGCGTATGACGGATAGATCTAATGATTGATAGCTCTTGACGCAAATCATGAAGTTGTCGTACTTCCCGCAGATACAGGTCGTACACACATCGAAAACCTACTACGGCCAGGTTTATGTTCCGCTGGCAAACTGGCTGCTCATGGTGGGAACAGTGCTCGTTGCAGCAATTTACAACAACAGCGCGTCTCTCGGCAATGCTTACGGCGTCTGTGTCATGTTCGTCACCTTCTTCGATACATGTCTGGTCACTCTTGTTGCAATTCTCGTCTGGCGCGTTAAGCCTTATTATGTCTTCCTGCCCTGGCTTATCATCGCGAGCTTTGATGGCACATTCCTCACGTCCGCACTTACAAAGGCTCCCGATGGCGCATGGTTTACGATTGTGCTTGCGTGCCTGCTAGCCTGCATATTCATCCTATGGCGCTTTGGTAAAGAACAACAATGGCTTACGGAAGCCAAAGATCGTTTCCCAACTACGCACTTCATCAAAACCAATGGAGACGGCAGCATGCAATTGACCGATGCATTCGGCGGTCGAAGTCTAGCATCTACGCAAGGCTTCGGTGTTTTCTTCGACAAAGTTGGCGAGACTACACCGATTGTTTTCAGCCAATTCATCAGGAAGCTCAGCACCGTGCCTGAGGTCATCGTCTTCTTCCATCTACGGCCAATCGAAACTCCCTCAGTGCCACTAGGGGAACGCTATCATGTCACACGTCTGGCTATACCAAATTGCTATCGATTAGTTGTTCGTCATGGGTATATGGATGAAGTAATCACACCGGACCTTGCTGCTTTAATCTACGAGAAAGTACGCCACCACGTAGTGAGTCGGGATATGAGCAAGAACCAACCTTCATCCACCACAACGTCGAGAAAGCTTAGTAGAGATCTGCTTGATCGGGAGCATACCCACACTGTGGACAAGGCGTCAACTGTGAAGGATGCTGCAGAAGGCGAAGTCCAGAATCTTTCTTTGAGCTCGCGATCAAGACAGAACCCCACCCAGCCACCATATGCGGTCAAGACTTATGCCAGGCTACAAGCACTGGAACGGGCTTTCAAGCACGAAGTTCTCTACATCATTGGAAAGGAGCAGATGAAGATCAAATCAGGCACAAACATGTGGAGAACGGTGCTTCTGAAGACCTTCCTCTTCTTGAGAGACAACACAAGGGCAAAGATCGGAAGCTTGAGTGTGCCTATGGACAAGGTCATTGAGGTTGGGTTCGTGAAGGAAGTCTGATAGCACCGTATCAGAGACATCCAGGATCCTTCGACAAGACCTTGGAAGTGAATACTATCCAAACTGCTTTCCTTTGTGTCTCAATCTTAGACATCGGCTTCATATCTCGGCCTCGTCACGCATCTCCACAGCGTCACACGGTGCCGCTTTGTCAACTCACTGTGTTTCTGCTTGGTTTCAATGTTGTATGCACAATGGTTGCGTTGGGAAGTGGGACCACAACGATGGCTATAGACTTTACAACGCGGCGCATATAAGTATGCCAGCTTCGACCGTATTCTAAAGACCACGCCCAAGGAACCACTTAGTCTTCTCTACTACAACGAGTTCACCATCAACCACGTCGCAACGATGATCCCGCCATCTTCTTTGAGGTCCTTGCCTCCTGTTCTAAAAAAAGATTCGGCGGCGGACGTTCGGTTCGATAGCTTAAAAAGTGAAACTTCGACCACACATTCGCTACCCTTTTCACGATATGCGTTGCCAGTTCAAGTGGAAGATGTAATACCACACGCTCGATCCAGCAGTTTGAATGGGGATGAGCAAACCAAGATTGTTCCTGACCAATCAACAACAATCGAGCGACTCGAACAAGAGCGAAATGGGGGGCACACAGCAGAAAAGCAGACACACGAACCGAAGAAGGACGGGATGTTGCAACCCACCAGCGACAGTATCAAGCAAATCAAAGCCTCCAAGGATGCGGAGGCAGAAGTCGTCCATTTGAAACGCGTGGCCGAAAATTGGAACATGGAAAATTATAAGCTGGAACGCAAGCCCAAAGAGCAAACAGATCAACAAGACGAAGCAGACATCATGATTCTTGAGAATGAGCCTTCCAACAGAGCGAAAGATCTTGGTGTAGTGGCGCCAAATGCGGACATTACGAAAGAGGTGGCAAAGCTTGAGTGGGCATCGCCCGAGTCTCAGCACTTGAATGAACAAGTGAAGAGTCAGCTTGAGGTTGAGAGTGGTACGAGTCTCGAGGATGGCCTTCTCAACAAAGCAGAGACGCATGCCAAATTGGTGCAAAAGGTTAACGAACTGGAGTGTGCATTGCTTGAATCTCAGCAAGAGAATAATAAACTCAAAGGTCAGCTCGAAGCTAGTCTTGCCGAAAGAATGGCAATTGATCAAACGAAAGACGCTGAGGCGAGGCAAGAAGGAGCAAAACTGGAAATCAATCGCCTAGAAAAGCGCTTGAAAGAGTCCGTCCAGATTGAGTTAGAAGCGCAACAACAACTTCATGAAGAAAATGCTATGCTAAGAGGGATGATTCGCGATAAGATCGAGATTGGAGCCCCAACTTCAGAGGATTATGACCAAGATACGAACCTAGGGACCCTCGACAGATTGACACTCTCTGACATACAGATGATCTCACAGGAGCCCCAAGCGCTATCAATCACTGTGGTAGACTTCTCACCCAACCCAGATTTCGCAGCCTTCCAACAACCTTCAAGAAGTTCCATGGTCGATACAGGTGTGGATCTACACAACATGTCTGTCATCATCAATATCAAGCCAGACGACCGAAAGAATTGGACTTTCATCCAGCGCATTAGATGTGTTCTTTCTGAATCGCCTAAACTCGACATCACAGGTCCGCCCGACTTAGTCGATGATCTTACCGAGGCGATGGAGGCGGTCGGATACAAACATGCAGAGCAAATTGCTCTCGTTACTCACTGGCAGACCATTGCTCTCGAGTTGAAGGAGCGTGTCAACCAGGGCACCCTATCAAGATGCACGATAGGTACTCATCGCAGTCTTGTTGATGAGTTAGAAGCCATGAACACGAAGTTTGTGCTGCAAGAGCAGCTTTTGATAGAGTGGCGCGAGAAGATCGATGCTGATAAGAACGATGGAGCTTTGATTGAGTCGTCGGTTGAGTGTGACAAAGACGGTAGTTGCCAGAGCGTAGAGATTTGATAGATGTTCGCAGGTTCGAAACGGCGTGAAGACCTACCCAATGCCGACCTTGCTATCTACAAGTTCGCAGCGCATTCTCAAATTTTCTTTGTAGTTCTTGCTGGAGCGTACTTTGCCATTCGTCAGGTTGGCGACTCTTCGCGCGATTTGCTCAAATGTTTGGGGATCGTACTGTCTGACGTACTCTCCAAGACCGAATTGAACGTCTCCTTCTTGTCTTATGCGTCTGTGCACTCTTGTCGGTGTGCTGTTAACGTATTCAGAATGATAATCTTGCTCAGGTCAGACTCGTAACGACGGGGCTAGATGCTAGTGCTGATGGAACAAAAGTGATGTCATCGCTCTTTCTTAGAATGCTGCTGCCTGGCTACTGAATCTCAACACTCCACCGCTCCGATTGATATATAAGCAATTACTGAGTTCACCTGTTGTCAGTTTTTCCGAAGGTTACCTAACATCGCCCTCTACTGTCCTAAGTTATATTTCCCAAAGCTGCAATTGTTTGCATCCTTACGTCCCTCACGATGAAGAAGATCAACAAGTCTAGATTCTACTTCGAATGGAAAGGTCATCAAATCCAGGATTTAGTAGCGTTCCGCGAGATTGCACTTGAGCAGAGGCCGGACAAGCCATTCGTCTATCTTGCGGGCGATTCTTCTCTGGATAATAAATATTGGGTTCACAAGTCCTTGGACGAGCTGTCCATTGAGGTCCCAAAAATCTACGAGTATGCTCTTGATAGCCCATCTCCAAAGCCAGATATTGCGTTCTGGATGAACCATCTACTGGGCGACCGAGCAACATGCATCAATACTGCGGTAGAGGCTTCTATGCTTCGAGACCGCGACAACCAACTTCTACCTCACGATGAGTTCATTCGGGACCACATTGGTCCTCAGGACATCTTGATCGTCAGCGTGGGCGCCAATGACATCGCTCTCAGCCCGTTGCCTGCGACTGCGCGCCACATGGCCCAACTTGCTTGGTTGACATGGCGTTCGTCGCTTGAAGACGGCTCTGCAACTTCCTTACAGTACTTCAAACAGCTCTTCGGCACAAACACGCAAGACTACATCAGCCGCTTAGTTTCACGCACCAAGCCTCGGGCTATCGTCGTATGCATGATTTACTTTCCCCTTGAAGCCGGGCTAGGTCAGACCAGTTGGGCAGACGCACAACTAATGGCTCTCGGGTATGGTTTGTTTCCTGGGCAGCTGCAGACCGCGATCAAGGCCATGTATGAGACGTCGACAAAGGCAATCGAGATTGATGGGACGCAGGTGCTGCCCTGCGCATTGTCTGAGGTATTAGATGGGAAAGATCCAGGGGATTATACGGCGAGGGTGGAGCCCAATGACCAGGGTGGACGAAAGATGGCGGAGAGATTTGTAGGATTACTAGAAGGCATTTTTGGCGATGGAGCGCCGTTGTAGTGTGAAGGTCCTCGTTTGGAGAGCTTTCTGGCATTGTTCTATCACCATGGATCGCTCAAGGCGACTTGTCATGAGTAGAATGCTTGGATACGCTCATTATACACCTACATGGCTTGAAGAGTACAGTGATTCTCGGCCAGTCGACTCATGAAGAGCGAGAGGACGGTATGGCCTCTTCTTCGCCTCGAGAGGTAGTTGCTCGTCGACCACTAGCTTGCGATATGGCTGGCGAACTTGGACTCAGGCTCTACCGCAGGCGCTAGACACCAAAAACCCACTATCCACTGATCAAAGCCCAAGCCTCGACCTCATATAGCGCCTTCTTCTTCGCTAAACTTGCAACCCCCAAGACTGTATCGGGCGGTCTATGTCCCTCTGCCTCCTTGTCCATCAACTCAATCCAGAGCTCTCCCCACCCCCGATCCACGATCTCCTTTCTGTCCAGATCCTCGATTCCCGTCTCTGTGACGATGTAGTGCCGCACATGTACGATATCGCGAGGCGTGGCGCCGGCTGCTTTCAGGCAGTTTTGCAGATTTTGATAAGCTTGCTTGACTTGGGCGAGAAAGTCTGGTGAGATAGAGCGGTCTAGAGTGATGCCAGTTTGCCCGGCGAGAGTGACGAGCTTGGAGGTGGGCAGAAGGGGCGTGATGCAGACTTGGTCATATGTTGGTGGGGGCTTAGGAACTGAGGATGGGTTGAAGGCATGCGGCTTGTTCGACGATGCCATGATGGATTCTAGTGCTCTGGGTATAATTTACGCGATTGGGGTGCAGAGTATGAACACAGTGCGCATGAGGGGTGATCTAGTGGAGATGACGTCACGCGACATGCCAACGCGCGAACAACCCGACATGATATGATATTGACCCCTCAATCACATTATCCGCAGGCATAGCGTGACTACTCGAGCCCGTCGAATCGGATGCAAGGCAACATGATACAGTCGCGCCAATGTTACATCATGCGCATGTGTAAACTGCGGGGAAAGCTTTAAGGGAGGTCTGAGCCGTTCCACGCCGCGTGAACCGAACTCTTGACAGCTTGACAGCTTGACAGCTTGACAGCTTGACGGCTTCTGGTAGCTGTCACTAACGCGCCACAATGGCAGATAGGCCTCCTGCGGTCCGTGTGCAAGTCGCGGATCAAGCGCCCCATGACTTCTACTTGCCGAGTTCGATACCAGCGGCGGGCAAGACGTTGACTTCCAACACAACCTACATTGATCGGACGCATTCCAAAACGCACGTCCATTCAGCCTCCCTGTTTGACATTGGCATCCTGAAGGACACGTTGATTCCATCGCTCACCCTTCATTCCGGACTCGCGGCCATCGCATGGGGCGCCGCGCGATACACGCAGAGAGTGGACGCGAAAGACTGGCTGTGGCCCAGCGGCCAGGTCGTAAACGCCTGGTGGTCGGCAATTGGACGACGCCTTGCTCAAGGATTGACCGTGTCCCAGGCCTTCAGTCGACTGTCATGGCACGAGCGCCTCATACTTTCGGGAGTCACGCTCTGGGGCGGTCGCTTGTTCTACCGCGTCGCCCGTCGTTCGATTGACCGAGGGAAGGATGATGCACGATACGATGAGGCCAAGAAGGACGAAGGCTTCTGGAACTCGGCCTTGTGGAAGGTGTTTCTTCCAGAGGCCTTCTTCCAGATGCTGATCAGCTTGCCTTTTACCGCCCCCTTTCGACATGAGGGGGCTGTCTTGACGGGCTACCACCCAAACATCCAGATGCTAGCCGTTGGACTGTTCTCTTCTGGTCTGGCAATGGAGACACTAGCCGACTACCAGCTCGATCAGTACAAAGCTGAGGGCGGGAAGGGTATCCTGCGGGAGGGCGTCTGGAGTATTGTTCGCAACCCCAAGTAGGTTTCTGAGCTCCTCATACAGCATTCTTGGACGCTGACACTCAGTAGCTACCTCGGCGATGCTCTCGTGCACATTTCCTTCATCGTTCTGCTGTACGGCTCCGACATGCTCGCCCCCATCGAACTTCTCGGACCGCTCGCAAACTACGCCTTCCTGCGCTTCTTCGGCGGCGACGCAGAGAAAGAGAAACATCAAACGCGCCGGTATTCTGCCTCTCAGCCTGAGAAGTTTGCTGAGCTCGAGCAGTTCCGTCACGAGAAGAACGCCTTCTGGCCCACTGCGCAGGAGTTGAGCAACAAATGGTTGTGGACTGTCATTGGCATTGGTGGGCTTGGTGTCGCAGTTGAGCAGACCCTCAGGACTTTGCACTAGACAATGACATTGATGCTGCATCGTTCCTGGAAGGAAAAGTATGACAGGCTGTCGAGTTTGATATCTCCGTTTATATTACCAATATCCAACTTCCATGATGCAGTTTGGTCACCTTTTTCCCCTGTTTTATGTCGTTTGAGGTTGTTCTACTGCACGTGGTCTCTGAACCCCATTGACCATCGTAGGCATTCACTACGCAGACAGTAATCACTAAATATCAACCCATGGCCGCTAGACAAACACGAAGATTGTTCACGTATCGCAAGGTTGCTTGCTCTACACATCACATCGCGAATCCAGATATGCTCCCCGGGAGAGGAAGACACAATCACATTTAAACATCGATCGTCACATTCTGATTCAAGGGACACTCTTCACAAAGATCAGACAATGAACTCTTCACGGCGACATTGAATCTAGACCAACAGGCGGAATATATTCACGAGATAAAAAGTCACTGCTATGCTTGTTCAAAGAGTATAGTTATCTGCCAGCGCACTCCCTTCCTCCCCAGACAATCAACGAAAGCTTGCTACGAATACAACAATCAACTCAAACTCCAATTTGTGAGTGACAACGCACCCCTCTGAATCACTTTTAATCCTTTGCGGAACAACCAGATATTTCACACGAAATCATCGATCAAAACGAACCTCTACAACACAGCATGTCACTAGACCATGGGCCAGGTTCACGCTTTCCAACCGGTGGCGTTAACTTCACCAACCTAAACGAGCGCTACTAGCCTCCACCACCCCCAGATCCAAATCTTCTCCGAATGGCGCCTAAGCGTTGGTGGTGTTGCCGGTGCGGTGGGTACAACGTGAACCAGAATCCATGCACGCATCCAGTAGAGCGGCCTAAGGGGCCTAAGCAATGTCGACATGCTTATTGTGATGATTGCGGGCGTTGGACTGATAGCATGATTACCACGGGCCGTCCTCCTCCCCCTAAGAACACCAAGAAAGCCCAGGCTGTTCCGGATCTGAACTATCGGGGGATTCCAGCACCTCGAAAGAAGTAAGAGTTGTGGGTGCCGATAGGTGTCTGTTTGTCTGGTATACCTTGCTTTGAGAGTAAGGTGCTGGTCACAGTGAGTACACGAAGTAGAGATGAGAAACTAGAAACAAATGGTTTGCTGCTGGTCAGCGGCAGGAATACACTTCCATGAATATAAATGGGTAGCGTAGGTTGCGAATGTGTAAACGGCAGGTTAGATAGGTAAATCATATCCATACTTTCATCACTATGGTACAAGCAATCATCAGCGTTACAATCGTAACATAGTTGCAGACACATTCAAAACAGACCACGATCGATATCACCAATTCAAATCATTATCATCATGCAAAGCTGGACTAACTCCACGCTAAAGGATACGCAAAGACAGAAGCGGGTATATAGCATCCCAAATATGTACAGAAAGAGACCAAAGTCCGGTCAATATCGGTCGTACATCATATCGTGTCATACCACGTCAGCCCATCGCTCAGCCTGTAAATCTGCAGTTGCTGTTCGCTTTGAAAACAACACGAAGATAGAGAGCTGAAGGTCGCCTATTGCAGTATCATAACCGTCAGTAAGGCCATCCACAGCCACATGCTGCTACTCAGGCTGTTGGCTGCACCTGTCGTGGACGCGGTAGGCTGTGCAGCCGACCCGGTGCCGCTGGGGCTTGCGGCAGAAGATCCGGTGGCGGAGGGGCTGGTAGTTTCACCACCGGGGCTATTTACTCCGTTGTTTGAGAGTACCGACAATTCCAAGTTCTGAATTTTGCCGCCAGATGAGCCGTAGACCTCTTGGCTGACTGTCCTCTGAGTAACAGAAACAAGCGCGCCGTTCGAGGGTGAGCTGATGCCGTTCGTGATGAGTGTCTGGCAGCCTGGGCAGACAGCCGGGATGGTGAAATTGGTGCTAAACTGTTGGGCTGTGATGAGGCTGGCAGCGCACTGTGGAGCTGTAATGCTGACAGAAGCGGAGTTTGTAGCTGTCTGGGCACTCAAATCAATGTTGTTGAATCGTTCCTGGAGGTTGTCGTAATCCTGAAGGAGGCTCACTGAGCCATTGGAGTTGATGGTCACAAGTCCATAGTCTGCCGATTCGAAAGAGTATTCGTAGACCAGACCTCCAGACAGCACTTTCATCTGATCACTGTATAGCGCCTCAACCTCGGTGAATACGCGAGGTTTGACCTCATTGCAACCGTATTCACTGAACTGAAGAATATGACGTTAGCAAAGCTTTTAGGAGAGTCTAGATATCTTCGCGGGCTTCAGTAGACATGAGCTGCTCTCACATATGCATGCGAGGTGTCTAGACATCAATTGAATGAGACAGGACTTACGAAGATAGGGATTGCAGTCTCGTTGAACATGCTGACCAATCCGTCGTACCCGGAAGTCTGGAAGGTGGCCTCGCCACACCAGCTGTAAGAGTTCAAGCCAAAGAAGTCAGAGGACGACATGTCGTCATCATGGGCGCATTGCATGTACGCCCATGTGTCCTGGAGAATTTCGCGTACATCAGCAGCGGAGTAACCGACGGGAATGGTACGATCAGCGTGGTTCTTGATGTAATTCTTCAAGTCGCGTTGAACAGCCTGAAAACAGTCAGCCTTCTATCTTATTTGTACTTGAAGAACATGGTCCCTGCTTACCCGGATATACTGAGGGTTGTATTCGGCGGTTGCCAGATCGTTCATTACCTCATTGGCAGCGAAGAAACCGAGAGTGTTAGGGAAATTCTTGAAGTTCTCGATAATGCCAAAAGCCCGTTGAAGGTAGTTCGAATTATACGTAGTCCATGGGGCGCTACGATCGATACTTTCACCCGGAAGTGGGGAGTTGACATCAATTAATAGATAAATCCCAGCGGCGTTGAAGATGGACACGCATTCCGAGTGGTTGAGTGTGGGAGAGACATTGTACACACGAATCGTGTTGACCTGTCAGGACTTAGCAGCTGACTCGGGTGATGTAGGCGCCGAAACTTACACCCAGCCTCTGCATGACGGCGGCATCGCGCAAGCAAACATCGGCGTTGGTCAACGCGTCCTCGCCGCTCTGTGGCTTGTAGGCACCTTGACCTCCAGGCTGGTAGTCGGCACCAATGATCATCAGACGCTGGTTTGTTACAGTATCAACAAACTCCTGCCCGCGAACCTCAACCGGATTTACGGCGTTGGCGGCCGAGAACAGCGCGCTGGCGAGCGCAAACGAGCGGAACAACTGAAGAGAGTCAGCAACCATCCAATTGGCTGGGAGAAAACATGGCATACCGAAGGCATAGCGAATGAGTAGTTGAGCTGTGGATTGCGCGACTTTGGTTGAGGGCGGCGAGTGCGTCTCTTGTATCTTTCGCAGCACCAAGCCTACTAAGAACCGGATCTCGGACAGCAAACGCGCTAGCAAACCTGGAACGCCGAGAGGGAAGGAGTGAATGATAAGACATGGACATGTCAATGTGTACCAATGCGCAGGTGCAATCTTGTGGTGCTTGTATCCACCAATACCGGTAACCTTGTGCAAGCGGCGTTTGCATGGCCTAGCCTGAACATCCTTGTGTCTCTTCACACCGCTAATGGAAAATCAAGAGATATCTGGTTAAGGCTATCCGGTCCCATCTATCGCGTATGCAATCTTTGCCTAACAATCGTGACGCCATTTCTACAGCATCAGATGCGGCGGCAGGCCCCAGAAACTAGCAAAATATAACTTGGCATGTCTGCTTAGGGTTACATCGGCGGGTAAACGCGAATAGCGTCCGCTCATGCCGAAAATGATCGGAATCCTGTTATGAAGCGCCTCGACATCTTGAACTGCCTTTCCAACACAACAATCTCGACCGTCTTTACCCTGTCCGTAGCAGCTGACCGCAGTACCGGGTTCCCTCATGGACTACTCTGGGCAAACACATTTTCTTACGATCGCTGACTATCCACATACGTAGTAACCAAACATCCGTGAAGTTGCCACATGCTCTTGGTCAGGCTCGTGCCCCATCGACAATCTTCTCAGTGCAACTGACATGCTCTGTCTCATCGGCCATCGACAACCATCTGCGACCCCTTCGCTAAGTCTTCCATCCACATAATTCCTCGCCGGAGGTGTGTTCACAGTCTGGTAATCGCGTCCAATGCTTCCTTCAATTGATCATACTTGGTCTTACAGGCATCCATCTCCTTTATGGCTTCATCCTTTAGTATGGCCTCTTGTGTGTGCGACGCAAGCGACTTATCTCTCGCCTGCTCTGCAGCACGTTGCTGAAGTTCTGCGTCCGACAGCTTCGATTCCAGACTCGCGTTGCATTCCTTGTACATTTCGATATCTCTCTTCTGTTTGTCGATCTCAGCTTTCGCGGCTTCGTAATCGGTGTGTTGCTTGCTGATCTGGCCTGTGAGATGTTGTTGGCACTTCAGCTGGGTTTCTTTTTCTTTTTGGGTCTGTTCGGCGAACTCGAGTTGGCACTTTGCGTGCTCCTTGACTTGTTTCCGCAGGGCTTCAACTTCGGCTTTTTGCTGCTGGCAACGTCGATGAAGGGCTCCGTTGTCATTCCTGATCTCCTCAATATCCACCTCCTTGTCTGCTAGCTTTTTCCTCCAGCTTTTCACCTTGCTCTTCGCGACATGGGCCTCTTGTTCGGCGGCCGCGGTTCTGCGTTCCTGCTCTTCCAGCTTCACTTGTAGCTCTTGAACATTTCGCAGGAGGGCTTCCTTCTCCTGTTTGTGCTCGTATTCCATTTCCGATTCGTAGCTCTCAACATGACCTTGAATCTGCATAGGGTTAGCTCCGAATGTGTGTTGACAGGGCGACAGAAGATGTGCAGGATTACTTACGTAGTCAGAGAAGCGCTTCTTTCGAGCTAATAACAAGTTGTTAGTGTGGATCAACCTATGCATATTAGGTAACTTACGAGGAGGCTCGGACATGGCTTGGGTATCTACGGGGTCGGTGATGTTGCGTTTGCGAGGCGTGCTACGCATCGTGTTGTCATGAACGATACGATCGATACGCTCAGTCTTGGTCCGTTCACGCTCTGCATGCTCACGCGCTTCGAGCTCAGTCGCGTCTTTGTTCGGTTGGAAATTGCGACAACCCTTCTCGAACAACGGGAGCAGGTCTTGCTCAGGTGGACTGAGGATGTGTCGAGTGCGCTCCGTCGCCAAGAACACGAAGTTGATGAATACATTGATCATCACACCTTTCTGAGTAGTCTGTGCCTTGGTCTTGCTACCAGTAACGCGGTCTGCGACGAAGACGAAAGGGCTTTCGAATCTGATATGTGATCGCCTGGCGTCTGGCACACGGAGGAGAACCTTATCCGGTTTTCCGGAGTAGAAACTCACATGGAAACCAGTGGCATGAGCCCAGGTCTGAGAGGCGCCTCCAGACGTCGAACCGCCTACTTGCAGCATCTCACGTTCCTGGCACTGGCTATCGTCATCGAGAAACACCTTGCGCTGGAATTTGTAGGTCTGGGCATTCGAGATCAGATCAAATTCGATTGGAAACCTCTCCTGCGCGAAGGTCGTTATCTGCTCGAGAGTATATACTCCCAATGTGGGAGCCTTCTCGGTCTTCAGTGAAGGCGGTGGCGTCTCTGAAGATGGCGGAGTCGCCATTGTCGAACGAAAAACGAACACAGCTAGTCAGGTATATGAGCGGCCGTCGTAGAGCAGAGTGTGACGTTCAAGATAAACAAAAGCGCGAGTGAACTTAGAATCGCAGTCAGTACGGCGGGTTTGTATGGAAGGAGTGACACGCCCAGGCTGGGGTAAACGCGCTAGATGCAAATCAAAACATGATTCTGGTAGTGAAAACACGTCCTCCTCGCAGGCCATGCAAACGGTTTGCTGTCAAACCTGCCAATGAACGGTAAGACGGGAATGCTGTGTCTCGCATGGGCGGTGATCGGGCGGTACAAACAACAGCTAGTACAGCTGCCTACAAACTGGTAAGATACGAGACTGCGTTCATGTCAAATAGATTAAGAAGGGGTTGGCCATATATATGATCAGAAGAAGTAGTCCTCCCGCTTGTGCGTGATCAGATATCTGCGAATGCTAAATACACTCAAGGCTTCGCCCACGTTTACCACGTCATAGGCAGTAGGTGTCTATTACCCATCACAGCTCACGTCGCGCCATAAGTACCATTCTCAGACCTCGTCATCCTCGTCTTTCCGCACAATCTGCATGTGGCGCGTGTATTCTTGGTACTTGAGTTTCGAGTCCCGCGATTTTTCCCCCTGCTCTGAACATCTAAGCTTCAATATTCCCCTCATCCGCAAGAATAGGAAGGTGTTGTTTCTGAAATGCGATCTCGCCGGTATTCAGGAACAACTCTGAAGTCATTGATGAAGTGTTGAAGCATGTTTGCCTTGAAATGCGCTAAAATGTACCTTGTTAAAGCTGTCATGTTGAATGACAAGGAGTGTGACCTAGTAGGTAGATCACGTAGGAAGATCTGTGATTATTTTAAGCTAAGACACGTAGTCACGACGGTATATGGTATCTTACCTTTGTTAGCAAGCTAGGCTTGAGGGAGCTCAGCTTCGCAATGTTTGTTTTTGAGATGCGTAAGTAGAAATATACGTCTAAACATGCTACCCAAAGGTAATGTAAGCCAGTGACCAGGTAAAAGAGGCGAAGGTAAAGGCAGCACCCAAGTTAGTAACTACCTAACAGCTTACGGCGATTTCTGAGCTACCACAGACAAAGACAGACCCATAACGAACGTGTAGGCAAATCGAGAAATGATAGGAAAAGATTGAAACTTCCTGCCAAGTTTAACATTATGACACGAGAAGTAGAACCCAATAGACAAACACAGTTGAAGAAACCTGCACAATGAAGACATGTGCTGCCCCCTGTCGACCTCATACCTCCTCCTTCTTCACGCGGATCCTGTCTTTGCACCTCCCATGTCTCTTCTTCAACTTCGCGTACTTGGCCTTGATCCCCAGATACTTCTCCTTCCAACGTGCCGCACTCTCCTTCTCGATGTCATGCCTCTGGCTCAATACTTCCCATTGCTCTTCCGCGTTTCGACAGGCACGTTGTTCCTTTGCGAGCTTCATTTGCAGATATCGGTTCTCTTCGCCTTTGACCAGGAGTTCTGCGTCAACCTCGGCTTCGTAGTTGGTAAGATGGTTCTGTAAACTTTAGCGGACTTGTTTCGACGATATTGGCAACTGGGGATAAGATAAATGGCTGTGCGATTGAAGAGCGACCTACAAGCAGAGATACGCGCTTAGCGTTGTCTATGCGATAGTTGTTAGACTTGTTGTCGTGTGATAAGGGTCGGTGTCACTTACGTCCAGGTTTCGGCATGCTATCGATGTCCGTATGTGCGCGTTTGGTAGATACGAGGTAAGCTGTAGTCTCTCGGGGCGCCATATATCGGAGAGTCTTCGTTGAAGCCTCATCAGGGTCGCGTTGTTCTTCTTGGCTTGCATCTGGAGTTCCGGTGGCCCAACCCTGTTGCTGAAGTGAGATCTTACGGCCTTTCTCGGACTTTCTATTCTCCTCCAGATTTAGGCATGCAAACTTGAGATTCGCGAGCGTGTTCGTGTCCTGTGGGCTTGGTACCGACGCAAGCCGACCTGTCAGCAGGAAGACCGAGCGAATGACGGTTTCGAACACCAAACGCTCGTACTGTCGGGTAGGGGTCATTCCGTTTTTCTTGCTCCCACTTTGAGTGACGCCCATGAGACTGAAAGGAATGGCGGGATAGATACGGGACTTGCGGGCTTCTGGCACAACCTCGCATATTTCATAGGACATGCCACGATAGTAACGTACCACATGGCCGTCTGTATGTACCCATGTCGGTGTACCTGTCTCCAAGTAGTAGTGACCGAAGAGAAGCATGTCGGCTTGACAACCCTCTTGGTTCTCATTGACGTAAGATATCTTCATGAACGTGTACGCGCCAGCATCGGCGAGCGCCGTGAACTGAGCTCGAAACTCGTTCTTGATGTCCTTCGCTGGGTCTTCGACGCCACGTTCCTCTTCGGACCGGATGTGCTCCTGCATGGATGTAATTTGGGAGATGGGAGTAGGTTGGTTCTTCGATAGAGTGTGATTGTTTGTCAGTCTTTGGAAGTCAGACTGGATAGCCTTGGCATCCAGCGTCGGGCGGGCCAAAATGGAAGGCGCGTTTGAGCGAAAGCAATTTTGAACTCTGCCGTGGACGTATAGTAGTAGACAGAAACTACCTTTAGGATTCAGTGGGATGTGTGAGTCAAAGAACTGAAAATCAAAGTAAAGGTGAGTTGCAGAAGTATGACAAACAAACACAGCAACAATCAACGCAATTGACATGAACAACGCCTCCACTTTAATCATAGCGAGCGAGGTCAGGACGCAAAGCACTATCAGGCGTTTGACCTAAACCTCCATTCGGTAACTCGTCAATGTATGAACTGCATCAATATTGTAAGCCTTTACAATACAATGAACGAATAGAATCGATCCGCTTACGATTTTCTTCTCCATTTTCTCAATCTACACAGATACTTTGCTAACCTTGTACTCTACTATGATCCCGTCCTTCCCCTGTTCCTTCACGAAGCGCCCCGCACCAACGTACGTCCCATTCTGCAGCTCCTTATACTCTTTGCTTCCCGTCTCGAACGTGAAGGCCACAAACGAGTCACCAAACTCTGTTGTCTTCGCATCGGGGGAGCCGGAAAGGATAGCACCGACGCCTGGGGTGAGCGCGACATTGCCTTTGTAGTACATGGCTAGGATGGTGTTGTCAGATGTTCTAGGCAGCTTAGTAAGTGGAAACAACGACCCCTGAAATATAGAGAAGGTGAATGGTAAAGGCGGAGTTTTAGGATACGCAGATGTATGAGGAGAGCGGTGGAAAAGAGATTGCAAGGGAATACAGAGATACGGAGGTTTGTATAAGAGCTACATACTTCACCTGACTCCTTACATCCAAACGCATATATCCCCCGTCTGAGTCGTTGTGGATGTAGTCGTATCCGACACCATGTCTTGGAAACTCATCAGCCTTGCCTTACTCCTACTAGACATACTTCGACTCACAACTCCCCATCAAGCTTGGGCTCAAATCCCTCCTCGCTCTTCACCGTTCCACTAATCATGGGCACAATAACCAATTGACTTCCAGCTTGTCCGCCGACAGGCATGGGCGCATCGATGGCGACGCGGACTGTGAAGGCCGGTTGGAGAGTGGGGAAACCTGACATATTGATTGAGAGGGGCAAGAGCAATATTTCTCGAGACACCAAAGTACTTGAACAATCTTTGAATGAGGATTTAGATTTAAAATGATAAAGTGCAGTGCAGGGCTGAACTGGCTTCGTAGAGGTCGTGTTGGGGAAAATGGGAGCTACCCCTCCATACCCCACTTTGAGGAGCTGAGCTCCATCCTTCCGCGCGGATGATGGCATGTGGCTTCAGGTACGGTGGACTTCCGATGAAACTTCTAGATACAGCAATATGGTTTATTCCCACGCGGCCAGAACACTTCTTACAACTCGTACCTGACACTTCAAAAACCACTAATCCTTCCCTTTCCCTTCTTTTTCTTCTTGTCCGGTCTCCCCCCAAATCGCCCAGGCTCAACTTGACTCTGTGGCATTACGAAACCTCCATGACCCTGAATCGCAACTTGACTCGGAAAAGGAAACTGACTGCTGTTCCCAAGCATCGGGCCCGGTGAACTCCTCGGAAACCTGCCAGGTTCCACGCTGGGCAGACTGACCGTCTTGGCTTTCATGAGATCATCTTCACGCTTCTGCCGCTTCTCCCGCCTCTCTTGCCTCTTACGTGCCTTCTCGCGCTGCTCTTGACTGACTTCATCGAACTTCTCGGGCCGAAGTGCGTGTTCCGTCGTATCCCAGTCGTATGTGCGAGGGTCGGCACCGAGATGCCAGTGCGCTAGGAGATTATTCACGTTGTGTGGGACCGTCGAGGAAGGTCGGCTAATGTCGAGATATTTGCTTAACCGGGCCAGTGGGTCGGAGGGTGGTGGCGTAGTGAGTGATGGTGTAGCGGGAGATGAGTGTGGCTGCGAGGAAGAGTACGGTGGTACTGAGGGTAGTGATTGAGAAACGGAGCATTGGGACTGATCTCGATCGACTGGTTTCGATGCCAGTATGGGTAGCGCAACGTTACGGCCTTGACTCTGGGTAGATTGTGACTCAATTGGTATATCATTGCGTCGTATGCAAGTACTGGCCAACATGACCTCCGCTGCGATTCGCCGAGCGAGTCGTTCCTTGTGTTGCCGAACACGAATAGGCACGTCTATGGGCAGCGGTGCAATCCAATTCTGGAGAATCGCATCGTACAGAGTTGAAATTGCGCATGCTTCCTCTTCCACCAGTTCAAGAACACGCACAGATGCAATTCGTTGAAGTTCGACGATGCATTGTCTATCCTCTGAGGGGAAGAGGGCGTGTAGTTGTGATGAGGCCTCATCTACGTCTGGCACGTCAATCTTCAAGCCAGCAAACTCCATTCTATGTTGATCAGTGTGAATCCGTTCTACCTGCTAGAGAAGATTACTTACAGAGTACCAACAGGCAGAGGCGAAGAACCGGCATCATCTACAAGCATCTGCTCCAATTGGGTCGTCACTATGGAAAGGCCTATTGACTCAGACGTTGCTTCGTGATCGGACCTTTTTCGAGTGAGGGCATCATGCAACAGTCTGTAGTCCCTCGCCTTTTGTAGCGAACCTTGGCCTTGAGCCTGTACCGATTCCGGGACCTGCATTGTCATCTTCGACCTCAGTACGTCTGTTGTTGTCGGTCCATCTGCCACAACGAAGTGATCTGTCTCGTTGTTTTCCCGGGCCGCACGAACCTCTTTTCTAGGGCGGATGACATTGCTCCACATAATGTCATCCACCGCTACCTCAGGTTGACCCGATTCACCTGCGTCAGACTCATGAGCATACACGATCACTTCACGTACGCTTAGGTCCGACAGTGTCACAAACAACTGATAAAACCTGAGATCTGTTTCCATATACAAACGACCAGGACCTGACTTGTGGCCTTGTTGTCCTCTTTCGCCAAAATAGAGAGGTTCCAAGTGTAGTTGTTTGATGTGTCCTACTTCGTCAGATGCAAGCTTGAGGGTTATTGGGTCTGAGCTCGACATAAAAGGAGCAGCACCCGATGCATGCTGATGAAAGATGTACAATTGAATGAGGTCATTGACGCGAGAGTAGAGAAGTACACCAGCTTCTGTTTCAAGTCAGTCATAATCTCAATTTAATACGAGAAACCATACCATCCTCTGTAAGCATCTGCACAGTCATTTGCAATGTAAAGTCCTCGCTTCCACGATAATGTCTCCAGGATATCAACGAAACCGCTCCCGCCTCGCCAGCGGTGGCATCCAGAGCCTCGCTTGAAGTGGTGATGGCCATGAGAAACAGACGAGCGGACGTAAGCACGAAAAAGCGGTTCCTGTATCTTGGGTGATTCTTGACATCCAGGATCCATTCTGATGATTGTTGGTTAAGGAGTGCGGAACTTTGAAGACGCTCGTATGAGTCCCCTCTGATACTCACAAGGCTCAGGTGTCTTCTGTTGCAGACCAGAAGTGTGTTCACGTCGCCTACCCAAAGAATCCGTGCCCACCCGTCTTCTCCAGCCAGTGTCGAATCTTCCGGCGGCACGATGTGTCCTTGAATCAAGCACGAAATTGAGTACGTGCTTCCTTTCCGAGCATAGTCAATGTCCCAAACACTCCAAGTGTTCTGCTGGTCGACCATACCACATTGGAGCTGGAAGTCGGGATTGAAGGTGACATCGGCATGGGGCGCCCCTCCACTCTGTTCGAGTTCTATACTCAGTATTGGCTGTGCGTCGACAACGGAGGAAGGGATGTCGTAATACTGCGATGGACGAGCAGGTTGGCGGCGCTGGTGGTACTTGGGTCGAAAGAAGACGGTTCTTGAGGGGAGTCGGACAGCAAGAAAAGAGCTTTTGTCGTCGGATTGTGCGAAGCACACTTGTTGTATCGGCGCTGCTTCCTCATTCCAATATCCACTGGGTCCGTCCGTCAAAGAGAGTCCTTCCAACCATACACTCTTGTCAACGCCCCAGCCATGCCTTTCCTTGACGAGCAGTGCCAAACGCAGCACGTTCCCAGCTCCTCCGGCAGGCAGCGCAGCGACACGTCTTGGGTTGTCCCACTTGTCTCCGAAGGTAATTGATCCCAAAGAAAAGAGACTCCCAACAAGAGGGTCGTAGGTCGAGGTCGTGGATAGAATGGCAGCAGAGACAACAGCGAGTTCGGGTAGCAGCGCGGAAGCTGGAGCGATTTGGGGGTAGTCACGGATGAGTCTTTCGAGCCGCTTTCGAGCGCCCGTGACGTTCGTAGAAACTGATGAGGTGGGGTTTTGTGTGGAAGCAGGAGGTGCACATGTCGGGTTGGGCGAAAGGTCTTTCCACGAATTGACCTGCTTCAAGTGCGTCTTTGCATGCTGTCTGGCGAAACTCCATGCTCTATTTTCCAGGTCATATAATGCTACACCAGGGTGGCCGTAGTTGAGATGGTTGAGCGATCTTTCAGCCATCTGGGTCGAGGGAAGGTTTGCGGTCCGTAGTAGTGCTGCGATGAATCATACTTTGGACGCTGCAGGCGAGGGGGAGTGTGCAGCGCAAGATGTCAAGCAACTAAAACTCGTGATTTTGGACGTGTTGGTCGCGGACGACGCGGCAGGTCGCAAAAGTTCGCTGACACGCTACCTAGCGAAAAACGCATGTGCACGTGCCTTGGTTGCGCATTGTTTACGGAGCAACCAGCGACAACAGTTCACCCCACCACTCCCGCTTCCCATCGCATACCACGTCACCGACTGCCCATAGTCACACTGCGAGCGCATCATCCACCATGACCACCTTTGAACCCTCGCTGAGCGCCAGCATGCGCGCCTCTTCACTGAACGACGCACCCTCAATGGCGGACCAGCTGCCCAGCATCAACTTTGGCTTCGATGACCTGCGCAGCCGCATGAACCAGTTCACTGCGCGCTTCGACACGTTTATTGAGAACGGGCGGCGACGGGTGCTTGAAGAACGCAACCAGTTCCGCATGAACGTCGCAGAAATGCACGGTACGTTTCGTTGCTTGCAACAAACATAACTTCCTCTTACTAATGCTTTCCACAGAGGACCAGCGCATGAAGAAGCGTGACATTGAAATCCTCGAACTCAAGCAAACCCAACACAGTCAGACGCTTTCCAAAGAATCCCAAGAAACCTCCGAGATGCGCGACGCCATCACCGAGCTCACTCTCCAGCGCGACGAGCGCCTCGCCCACCGCGATAACTTGCGTGCCCAGATCGCAGAGGTGCAGAAGAGCATCTCTGCGCGTCGTGAAGCACAGCTTAAACACCGCCGGTACCTAGATGGCCAGTCGAGGTACAATGAACCGGAGCTGGACTTCTGGGAGAGTTATCTGGGGCTGAGGATTGAGGGCTTGGGCAAGGACGACAGGCTGAAGTTTGTGTACACCAATGTGGACGAGCGGGAGTGGGACAGGGAGGCGTGGTTTGAGCTGGACACGTCCGACCGTGATTACAGGGTGCTGGAGGTGCGACCCAAGGTGGAGAGAGAGGAAGTTGAGAGGGTTGTGGAGAGACTGAACGAGACGCGCGATCTGGCGAGTTTCTTGAAGGGGATGCGAGAGCTCTTCGTCGAAGCTTGCAAGTAAGATTGGAAATGTGCGCAGGACATGCTTGACGTAACGAATCGGCGTTGGATTTTGTAGTTTCACTTTTCGATCTTTGGCAGCTATTACTTTCAATACCCAGACCTTATTGTTTTCAAGTCGAGCGGGTGTGCACCTAATTCCCTATGAACTAGATATACTCATGGGCATGTAGATTCTTCCTTCGGACTCACATTTTTTTGATGAGTCCTTGCAGCGAGAACAAGTTTACTACACGTCTCTTCTGAACTCCAGATCTTCATCCTCCCACTGATGATATACGAGCCCTTACATAGCCCCATATTCAATCATTTCGAGCCGACTCGTCCATCGTTTACCTCCCGTTTTTGATCTTATAGTACTCCGGCGCACACTCCGTCAACCAATCCATCTCCACAGTCGACAAATCACGGATATAGATCTTATCCCTCGAAGCCATGATCTCCGTATAGATGACCCAATCCGCCTTCCGATGGAAGAACACACTACTCGGATGCGCCCACAGCGTCGTCTTCCCATCCACCGTCGCAAAACTCCCGTCTGCTTTCATCCTGGCCGCATGCGCAAAGAACCCTGTTGTGAGGCACCGCCGTATGCGTTCGGGCAGCGGTGTACCGCTCACGCGAAGCACGTCTGAGGATGCTAAAGTAGATTCGACGACGTTAAAACGGGATAAGTACGCGGCGAGCTGTTTGCGCACGGATACTGCTTTGACGAGGGATTTGTGGTTGAGGGAGTTTGAATGGCACCACTGCGCATCCTTTCCACTCTTCACAAACGCTTCGTAGACATTATACAGCGTCAAGTGGTCTCCCTCGGAGACAGCGAATCTTCGTCTTGCTCTTTCGAGGGCTTTCTTCTCCCCGTCGTGTGACACAAACGCATTGCCTTGCAATGTCATCATCGCGGCAATTGTTAGCATTTCGCTCACGCAGCCAAATTCAGGGGACGCGGCGTTGAGCAGGGCTTTTGCGAGCATAGGTTCTAAAGGCAGTTCTGCCATGCGTGTTCCCATTGGTTTTGTGAGACGCGCGTTGGTATCGAGTGCACCGAGGGAATATAGCAAGTCGAGGGCGCGTGTGACAAGGGAGGAGGGTGGTGGAGACAGGTAGTCGAAACGAACTACATTTGTTATACCCAGATTCAGTAGTTGGAGAATGACAGGGGCAAGATTCGAGCGCTGAATCTCGGGGAACGTAGCGCCCTCGAGTTGGCTGAATGCAGATTCCGTGTACATTCTAAAGCATTTCCCTGGTCTTGTGCGGCCGGCGCGGCCAGCGCGTTGAGTTGCGCTCGCTTTGGAGACAGGCACGACGTTCAAGTTCTCGATTCCAAGACGCGCATCGTAGTTTCGCAGCTTTACATAACCACTGTCGATAACAAAAACGATGCCATCGATTGTTACACTTGCTTCGGCGATGTTGGTACTGAGGATTACTTTTCGCGTATTTGGCGGTGGCTTTTGGAACACAAACATTTGGTCTTCTGTTGGTAATCCAGCATAGAGAGGTAGAGGTTGGAGTTTTTGGGCTGTGGAAGGGAGATCAGCGATGCGGTCACCGATCATCTCTATCGCGTCGTCAATTTCCTCGCGGCCGGTGAAGAAAACGAGGATGTCGCCAGTGGACTCTTTGTCGTGTATATTCATTACTGCATCGACGGCGGCTTCGACGTAGTTGTGAATCGGCTCAACCAGGTACTGAATCTCAACGGGATGCGTCCGTCCTTCGATGCTGACGATACGTCCGTAGTCGTCCCTGCTTTTACCGTGTATCTTCTCTTCATTGTCGGGGCTGAAAAAATTCAAAAAACGCTCAGCTTCTAACGTGGCCGAACTGACCACAACTCTCAAATCATTTCTCTTCCTCAATACCTTTTTCAACAGACTGAGTAGGACGTCGCTCGAAAGACTCCTTTCGTGAGCCTCATCGACCATTATGACAGAATATCGGTTCAGCAACGGATCAACGAGCATTTCGCGTAGAATCAACCCATCTGTGATAAACTTGATCTGCGTGTTCGCGCTCGTCACATCCTCGAATCTTATCGAATACCCAACCGTCTGACCCAAAGGCGTCCCCAGCTCTTCCGCAACACGGGCCGCGACACTAGTCACCGCTATCCTTCGAGGCTACCAAGTATTAGCCAGCTCAGTTTTGCTCTATGGCTGCGATAACAAAAGGACCAGAGATCCAATCCCTACCTGCGTGACAGCTATTTGCTTCCCATCCGCGCACCATCCCGCCGAGAGCAAAAACTTAGGGATCTGAGTGGTTTTTCCGCTACCAGTCTCACCCACAACGATAGTCACAGCGTGGGTTTCTATTGTATAGAGTAGTTGATCTTTGAGTTGGGCAATAGGAAGAAGAGCAGGTGGTTTGTAGAGATCAGGTATGAGAGGAATAGCAAGATCTGTTTCTTCTGCCATCATTCGGACTTTGGTAGAGGAAAATGTTATGAGGAAATTTTAGTGTAGGCTTTGGGTTGTGATGGTGAGGAAGACGGAAGACGGATAGTCGTGATTTGGCAAGGGAAAAGACGCTAATATATAGTGCTAACTGCACTGGGTAATGCTGTCTACAGATTGCTCGAGAATAAAACCATACAAATTCACGCCATCGTACATCAGTCAACTGAGACTCACATGTGTATGGCTCAATCTCGTTGCGACGACATTAATTTTCTCCTTTTTAATACTTCTACTCACGTAAATGTACAACGCAGTCGTGAAGATCCATAGCTCTTTGTCTGGCTCTTCAACGCCAAGTCCATACACATGGCCGGGCTCGATACGAATCATACGCACGATCATGAAGCAGTGCCGGTACTGGAAGAGCTTCGGTTCTCCTAAAGCCCGGCATGCTCCCCGTTAATTTCAGCACTTGGAATGCATGCACCAGCTGCGAGATTCAGGGAATCATGCTCGATGCTGCGGTGGTATCGTCGAGAAAAACAGTGAAGTGGTTCGTTTGCTGCCCGTCTTTCACCCTGTCATCTCCACGTCTCGGGCCTTCCTTTTCAAGCCCCCCTCACCGCCTTCGATATGTCCATGAAACTTCGCCTGAAGAGCTTCGAGCAGCACTTCCTTGACCACTACAAGGCTGCCCACGGCAGCGTGTGTAGCTCCCTCGATCAAGGCGTCTGGATCTGCCCCAACGTCTCCTTTCATCCATATCTCTGTGATCTCGTCTCTTGAAGCAAGATAGCCAACCACACACGCCGCGACAACGTCCTTGTGCTCCGCTAGACACGGGTCCAATATCCTCGCCAACTCTTGCTCGTCCTTCGAGTTTGGATTCCGAACGATAGCCGCGACACCTCCACACACCATATCCACACAGTCGATTCCCGCATCTGTTATCGCAGCGCTGGCAACCGTTATGCACCCCGCAAGTATATTCAATAGCCCCCATCCGCTTCCGCTCGTACTCCCCTCGCTGCCATTGTCGCCCCACCAGCCATCCTCGTCGCCTTCAAGAATCGTAACTACGACCTCGACCCCACTCTTTGGCCAGCGCTCTCCGATTATGACTCCACGTAGCGCAGTCTCGAGATGAACCCCTAGGTCCCGTTCGGTAGCGTCCCGGATATAACCTCGTCGATTTCGTGTAGCGAAAGGTGCAAACTTGACGGTGGTAGTGAGGAGGAGAGATGGCGAGAAGGGCGCGCTGCGCGGAAGTGGTTTTGGGCCTTGGATTGAAGCGGCAATCTTGAGGGAGGAGGTCGGCGGTATAAGCGTAGATTTAGCAGAGGGCGACGAGCTGGGGATTTCAAGGTAGGCTGATCCAGAGGCGGAGGGAATTATCGAGGTCTGGAGGACTGTCGTGAGTTAGCGCATGTTTGACTATTTGAGTGGCGCGCTTTTTGTTGGAAGAGAAACTTGGAAAGAGCTTCAGTGATTCACAACGTAGCGAGCAGAAATTCCGGAAGTATGGTTTATAGCTTTTCATGAAGCTTCAGAAAGTGAGTCGGCATACTTACAGATCCTGCGGAGCTCACTCGGACCTCTCGATCGTGTCGGCCTCAATTGCTGGAGGTATCCGGCTTCTTTTACTGTGCGCGCAAACACAGGCGCAGACGTTCCGCCGCTCGGCGCGTTGTTTCTTCTCCTGTCCGTATTCATGGTGATTCGTGTGTGCTGTTGCAATGGCGGTCGCGTCCATGATGAGCTTGTGAAGTTCGAATACCGGGTGACGTAAGCGCCAAGATTTCGCGACTGCCTCTTCAATTTTCTTCGCTCGAGCTTCTTCTCTTCTCCCATCACACTCTTTCGCTCAAGGTACGTTCGCACCCTCACTTCGCGCCATCCGCTCCCTTTTTATGATTGATAACCCCTGAATACCGTTCTGGTGATCTTAAATGAGCAACGAACAACATGCACCACCGTCTGATCCTATCGATACATTCTCGCATAGTTTTGCTTTAGGACCTCGGACTTTAGCTGACTTAATCAGAAAACTATTCTGGTAGCCCGCGTCGCCGGTACGCCCCACGCTTGACGCGCTCTACTGTACGAGGTGGAACGACGCTTGCGGCGGTCAACCGATTCAGACATGCTGAAATAGATACGATACGCCGCGCTTGAGACTTCGCTTGAGACCCGCGGTTGTTGCAAAGACAACGCTCGCGCATTTGCTCCACACTAATACCGTGCTTCGCACTGCTCATACACTGACACGACGCAGTCGACGTGGACATGAACAACTTTTGGTAAGTGCGATCCAACCTACTTTGCGCTTCCTAGCCCCATCCAATGATGTGTGTATCAATTTCAGTTCTGCTACTGAATTCCCTTGAAGAAAATTTATACCGCTTACCTTTTTCTGATATTGGATTACCTCCATGGCTTTACTATGGCAACTCGGTGTAATCAGTCACTAACGTATGCCTCAGACACTCACATTCAAGTCATCCTCGGAGTCGTACACGCTTTCAAGGTAAGCATACTTCATTCCACCCGCTTGCCAAGAAGAAAACTAGTCTATCCATTCAACGACATCTGCTGCCGGGCCACCCTCCCGCACTCTACTGGTTTCGGCCGGAATGACGAGTTGTGGAGTTGCACTGCAGGCTAGTCCAGCGACGCGTTATTGTGGTCTTCGAGCTGAGGGTTGTGGTGGCTCGTCTTGGGCTGTCATGATTCGAGGCCGGTGGTGGGGAATGACTAAAAACGGCTTTCTGAGCACGAACCCTTCTTCTTCTGATTGTACTTTCATGACATCCCGCAGAAGCTGACTGGCTTCTTAGGTACCTGTACTCGCACTTTGACGGTGAGAGAACCTTGAGGGAACTTTAGTACGTAGCTTTGGGATGGCAATGTGTGTTTGGCATAGTAGATTTACAATATAACACTATGCAATCTTCAATCAAACCCATATGCCACAAATGCAAGACCCGGTCGGTTTGGTAGCTAAGTGTCTTCGTTTGGTGTTGTCCTTGCGCATCAGTAATTCGGGAAGTAACCCCACGATACCAAGTCAAATTCAATGGTGACGCCTATTGCTTTCAGACGTCAACGCGAATGTGCTTGCATTCTTGTCTATTAGGGTATCACAGATTCTCGATATCACAGATTCTCGATGCACTCAATGCACTCAACTGCTCTGATCCAATCTTGTTGGATACGGCGTGTTGCCACCATCCCCAAGTTCGGAAATGCGAAACGTGGACCTCCAGGGTGGCTTGGCGTGGGCTTCATCCTCACAAGACAAGCAGCTGAGAGCTGTCCGCAAGACTCGAACTTTAGCGACGGTCCCTATACCCCTTCTTCGGTTCCTTGCCGCTGCAATCTACGCCACTAAAGCTACAATACTGTATTTCAGGGACTAGCGGTACGTCGACGGTGGCCTTAGCGGAACGATTCCTAAGGCCAAGCCTGGTTATCTCAACGCGCAATCTTCCTGGGACACTCGCCGTTGCTCGACTCGAGTCTCTGGCAATCGCGTCAGCTCATTCTCGTGCCTGCCGTCGCCATCACCATCCAATTCGTCCCCAAGATCCAGACGACTGCTGCGGAGGTGCCGCGCTCTGCTCTGCACTGCAACTCGGTGATTTGGCGGGTCGACGGGACGGCTAGGGCGTACTCAAGGGATACCTCTGAGCGACAAGACTTTGGCTCATCTCCCTCTGAATGTTGCCCACACACTCGTCGCCGAAGGAGAAGATGCATCGTCATGCCTTCTCAAACGGGGCGTATCCGTCTACGGGAGGGAGCACCTTTTCCATACAGCCTCACAAGTACGTTTCGCGCCCCCCCCTCTTTCCCCATCACATAACCCTCTCTAGAAACATGACACTGACTTGCACTGCCATCGCAGATTCCAACCGCGCTCACAACCCGCGCTGAGACGGCGGAGACAGTTGATTCAACGCCTACTGTTAGCTGGCTCCATCTTTCTAACAGTGCTTTTCTTCTTCTTCCCCAATCTGCGACCAAACCTGGGCCACAACCCCCTCACATATCTTAACTCGAACGATGACTCGCAGCTCGAAACGGTGCGATACTACGATCTGAACAATGTGCAGGGCACGGCGAGGGGATGGGAAAGGGAGGAGAGGATACTCCTATGCGCGCCATTGCGCGACGCAGCGCCGCATTTGAACATGTTCTTCGGCCATTTGAAGAACCTCACGTACCCGCACAATCTAATCGATCTTGCGTTCTTGGTCGGAGACTCCAAGGACAACACCATTGCGCTCTTGACGGAGAAGTTGGAGGAGCTACAAGCAAACCCAGACCCTAAGCAGCAGTTTGGCGAGATCTCAATCATGGAAAAGGACTTTGGACAAAAGGTCAACCAGGATGTTGAGAGCCGCCACGGTTTCGCCGCGCAAGCTGGACGCCGCAAGTCCATGGCCCAGGCACGCAACTGGCTTCTTAGTGCGGCCCTCCGCCCGACGCATAGCTGGGTATACTGGAGAGATGTGGATGTGGAGACGGCTCCATTCACCATCCTGGAGGATCTCATGCGACACAACAAAGACGTCATCGTCCCGAGTAAGATCACATGTGACACATTACGAGTTCAATTGCTAACGAACGTATTCAGATGTCTGGCGGCCGCTTCCCGACTGGCTCGGAGGAGAACAGCCCTATGACCTGAACTCGTGGCAAGAGTCAGAAACCGCACTCGCCCTTGCAGACACCCTTGACGAGGACGCTGTTATTGTGGAGGGGTATGCAGAGTACGCTACCTGGCGACCGCATTTGGCTTACCTTCGCGACCCGTACGGCGACCCAGATATGGAGATGGAGATAGATGGTGTTGGTGGTGTCAGTATTCTGGCCAAAGCCAAAGTGTTCCGTTCCGGTGTCCACTTCCCCGCTTTCAGCTTCGAGAAGCACGCAGAGACTGAGGGTTTTGGCAAGGCGAGTTTTGTCCATGAATACGAAAGTCACGTTGCTAACTAGAAGTAGATGGCCAAGCGCATGAAGTTCTCCGTCGTCGGTCTCCCGCATTACACCATCTGGCATCTTTACGAACCTAGTGTTGACGATATTCGACACATGGAAGAGATGGAGAAGGAGCGCAAAGCCAAGGAAGCCGCAGAGAAGGCGAAGAAGGATAAGGAGAACAAACTCAAAGAATCATTTGATTCGAAATCTAGCGACTGGGAGAAGGAAAAGGCTCAAGTGCAGGACTTGGTTCAAAAGGCTAAAAACGAGGAACAAGAGAAGACGGAGGCGCATGAGGGAAAGGAAGCATCTAAGGATGGGAAGAAAGAGGATAGGAAGGAGGGCGGTAAGGAGGACAGGAAAGAAGACAAGAAAGCAAAGGAGGAAGACGAGGACGAGGACGAGGAGGAAGAGGACGAGAAAAAAGCGCCAGCGAAGGGAGCTGAGAGGGAGAGGCCATAGTCTTTACAGTACGTGTAGCTGCCGCAATATTCCAATGTGTCATCTAATCATGGTTCAGATGAAGCATTGCAGGGCAACATGGGGGAACCATGTAGCTCAGCAAGAACGACAGTAACGAATGAATTTGGAGGGCTCGGGCATTTGATTCTACTCGAAACACTACGTACATGACACGGAGACGAGCGATACACCCTCGTCGAGCCAGGCCTTGCCAAATTCGTGTTTTGACGTATGGAGCGTTGGGATCGGGTGAAGAGAGTATATACATTTAGACGGGCTGTTGTATTCTGGACAGATGTTCTGTAGACTCGCCGGCAATATCTGGGCGTTACCGTTCTGTAGTAACATTGGACACATTTTAGGTATTTGTAAAATTTCACCTTTATTCTTTAGAGAACACATAGCATGCTCTCCTCGACTCCTGAATTTGCATTTAGCCCATCTACGTGAAGCCTGGCAAACTCGATACGACATGGTTCGAAGGCTGCTATTCACATGTTACCTACAAGCATCAAGACATGTGTTCTGTCAATCTCGTGCTGCCATCATATGACGCAGTGCATAGTGGTAGGTGGTGCAGTGCACGCTGGACACCCTGGCCTTTCTCACTGCGGACTCCCGAGTGTGTCTTGGCGAACGACTAAATGTTGGAGACATGTCGAATAGATGCTCTTGTAATGCTGATGCCTATCTAAACTCATTGGTATTGCAGAGGACACGATACCTGTTGTTGTATATTAGTTTCTAACCCAGGCAGATGTATTCTAGAGGAAGCGTGGCCTTTGCTGAATTGGACATGTAGACAGTACAAGACAAACTACTTCGCGACGACTATATCAACGACACGTTCCCCGCGTCCACCACCTCTCACCATCTTCGAGTCGCGCCACACAGACCAACGCCGCCATGTCGAGCAACGGGAGCGAAGACAATGCCGCGACGACACTCCACGACGCGACTTGGAGCTCAGGCGCTCGTCCCCTATCAGTCGCGGTCAACCCCGTAGCTCTCGTGGTGACGGAATGTATCACCGTGACATCGGCGATGCGGAAGCATGCCCGCTGGGCGCATTCTTCCGTGGCTGCCATCTTGGGGGGGTCTTCGAACAAGGCGCCAGCTGTAGTACGGCGGGACCGAAGTGGGCAGGGTATTGCCAGCACAGGAGAGCAGGACGAAGCGGTGCCGAGCAGATGGGGCCTGAGGGGGAAGAAGGGCAAGAGCCTGCAGGACAACCCGCTCATGGCCGCCTTTGCGCGGCTGCGAAGCGACATGAAGGGCTGCAAAGGTAGACACCGACACACATGGAGAAGCCACACCTGAGCCATGCTGACACTGCACCAGACATCAGCACCTTCGACACGCCCTCGATGCTCCACCCCTTCCTGCAGGTCATCCGCTCCTCGTCCACATCCGCGCCCATCACCTCGCTCGCCCTTATCGCCATCACAAAGTTCCTCTCCTACGGCGTCATCGGCCACCACTCTCCGCGCCTCCCAGAGGCTATGCAGCAGCTCTCGTCGGCCATCACCCACTGCCGCTTCGAGGCGAGTGACTCGGCCGCCGACGAGATTGTCCTCCTCCGCATTCTGAAGCTCATGGAGGGCATGATCTCCGGCCCTGGCGGACAAGTCCTCGGCGACGAGAGCGTCTGCGAGATGATGGAGACGGGGCTGAGCATGTGTTGCCAGGCGCGACTGTCTGAGCTGCTACGCCGGTCTGCCGAGATCGCCATGGTGTCCATGTGCCAGGTCATATTCCGCAGACTGAAGACGCTGGAGATCGAGGCGCCGCACGAGCTGGATGCGCTGGATGAGGAGCTGGACGGGAAAGACGACCAGGACGGCCTGAAGATGGACCCGTCTGCCAACGGAACAGGGGAAGCTGCGAGGTCCAAGGTGGAGGCACCTCAGCAGAACAGCGACTCGGAGAAGGGTCACGATGAGCACGACAGCGGCGTGAACCCCGCGACCAGCACCTTGGATTTGCCAGCCACAGTCGAGGGCGAACAGCAACCAGTTGATATTAGACCTTATTCGCTGCCCTCGATAAGAGAACTCTTCCGCGTTCTGGTAGACCTGCTCGATCCACACGACCGACAGCACACCGACACTATGCGCGTCATGGCGCTGCGAATTGTCGATGTAGCTCTCGAGGTTGCAGGCCCATCGATAGCGAGTCACCCAAGCCTTGCGAACCTGGCGAAGGACACGCTGTGCCGGCACATCTTCCAGCTCGTCAGGTCAGACAACATGGCCATCTTGAACGAGTCGTTGCGGGTTGCCGGGACCCTCTTGGCGACATGCCGAAACGTTCTCAAGCTACAACAAGAGTTGTATCTTTCTTACTTGGTTGCTTGCCTCTTCCCAAGAGTCGAAATCCCCTTGGAGCCGGGCATCGAACCTTCACTATACGAAGGTGTCCCGCAAGCACCAAGTCTTGTCAAACAACCACCACAGAAAAGCAGTACTAGTGGAAGGTCGACGCCAGTACCAGTTAAGGACCGAAGACAACTTGGCTTGGAGGGTGGCGCGCGAAAGCCTGACGCTCGCGAAGCCATGATCGAGAACCTCGGCGGTATGGTGCGGATACCGTCTTTCATGGCTGAGCTCTTCGTGAATTATGACTGCGAAATCGATCGCGGTGATGTGTGCATGGATATCATCGGCCTTCTGTCACGAAACGCGTTCCCTGACTCCGCGACTTGGAGTACTGTCAACGTTCCTCCACTTTGCCTTGATGCACTGCTTGGGTTCGTGCAGTCAATAGCAGATCGCTTGGACGACGAGCCTGTGACAGAAGGTTTTCCAAGTGCTGTCGCGCTTCGGGACCAGCGAGCACGGAAGAAGATCATCATCCAAGGAGCAACCAAATTCAATGAAAAGCCCAAAGCCGGAATCGCCTTCCTGGCATCCCAGGGTATAATCTCAGACCCCGACGATCCTGCATGCATCGCGGAGTTTGTGAAGGGAACCACGAGGGTTGACAAAAAGGTGCTTGGAGACTTCATCTCAAGGAAAGGAAACGAAGGCATCCTCAGTGCCTTCATGGGCTTGTTTGATTTCACAGGCCAGCGTCTCGACGAAGCTCTGCGGCAACTGCTGCATACGTTTCGTCTTCCAGGTGAATCGGCGCTTATCGAGAGGATAATAACAGACTTCTCCGAACAGTATTACAAGATGGCGAAACCGGAGGACATTGCCAACAAAGACGCCATTTTCATCCTTACTTATGCTATCATCATGCTGAACACCGATCAGCACAATCCGAATATGAAAGACAAGCGAATGGATGTGAATGCCTTCTCCAAGAATCTTCGGGGGGTCAACGATGGTAAAGACTTCGATCCCGGATACCTACAAGCCATCTACGACTCTATCCAAAGTCGTGAGATCATACTTCCCGAGGAGCATAACGATAAACATGCGTACGATCATGCCTGGAAAGAGCTGCTGGTCAAGGTTCAGTCAACTTCAAATCTCATCATCTGCGATACCAACATCTTTGACGCAGACATGTTTGCGGCAACCTGGAAGCCGATTATCGCCACTTTGTCATATGTCTTTATGTCGGCTACGGATGATGCTGTTTTCTCGCGAGTCGTTTTGGGGTTCGATCAGTGTGCACAGATAGCGGCGCAGCATGGGCTGAACGATGCTCTAGACCGTATCATCTCATGCCTGTCGTACATCAGCACGTTAGCGCCTGACGTGCCACCGAGTACCTCGCTCAACACTGAAGTGCAGGCTGATCAGAAGAGTGTTATGGTCAGCGAGACGGCAGTGCGCTTTGGTCGAGATGGACGGGCACAATTAGCGACCGTTGTTCTGTTCCAGGTTATCAAGGGACATGAGGCCTCGATACGAGACGGATGGAATCATGTAAGTGTCAGTTACCTCATAACATTGCCATACTAACTATAACAGCTCATTCGCATCATGGTCAACCTTTTCGTCAACTCGTTGATTCCTCCCTACTTTCTCTCCTTCCAGAAGACATTAGCTCTACCTCCGATACCCCTACAGAATCCGGCGCAGATCATCGACCGCGCTGAACGTCCTGCCGACACAGGCATTTTTTCCGCGTTGACATCGTACGTGTCCAGTTTCGCCAACGACGAACCACCAGAACCATCGGATCAAGAGATTGAGTATACGCTTTGCACCGTCGACACTGTCAAGGAATGTCATTTCGAGGACATACTCGCCAATATCAGTCACCTACCAGTAGAAGCGCTGCGATCATTGTTGATGTCGCTGCTTGAGCACATACCCGAAGATGGCTCACCAAGAGTCATTGTGGTGAAACCCGAGATACCAGGAGCGAGCCCGCGTCAGAATGGTAGCAGGATAAAAGGAAAGGGTCCCTTGTATGACCCCAGCCTGGTCTTTGTTCTTGAGCTTGCGACAGTATTGGCGCTTCGTGATGAGGAGACTGTCAAGGAACTTGCCAAGGATGTCACCGATGCATTGTCGAGTGTTATCCGCGATGCATCGAAACACCATGCTGTGGTGGTTGCGCGATCGGTGTACTATCTTTTGAGCCTGTTGAAGGCTAGCAACGTAAGTCCTCTAGTCTCCCGATTATCAGGTATCTCTAACAAGCTCAGGAACATGATTTTGTTCGCGCACCTGTTCTCTTACATACTTTCTCAAGCTTCAACGAAGCCTTGCTGACAGAGTGTTCTCAACCACTTCTCCAGGGCTTGACAGACTGCTGCAAGGGTCCGAACGGTCTCCGCAGTGAATTGGCAGGCTCTCCCGACTTCTGGACCATCTTGAGCAGATTGTCTGGGGTACCTGACGCGGCGGGAGACGTCTTTCAGCTCGTCGAAGATCTAACAACGTCGCCTCAACCGGGAATCACCGCAGACAACTATGAGCCTGCAATCGCCCTCTTGAACGAATTTGCTACATCGGCTCAGGTTGGCGCGCGGGAAGAACAACTGCACGATCAAGCTTCAAGACGAAGCAAGGGGCCCAAGACGAAGAAGCCCGAGAGCACCGAGGTCGTTGTCCGCGGCAGCAAGGCCATGACGATCGTCTTCCAGATGTCCAGCCGTGTACCGAATTTCATCGAGCAATCGCATCTCGAGACCACAGAGGGTGAGTTTCCCACTAATTCGTGTCGGGGCTCATATTGATTGCTAACGTGACTTAGCATGGACAGCATACTGGTCCCCCATCCTCAAAACCCTCGCGCACCAATGTCTCAACCCGTGCCGTGAAATCCGCCAACAAGCCTTCAGCGCTATGCAGCGCACACTTCTCTCCAACGACCTCGCGTCCCCCGACCACAAAGAGTGGACCGCCATATTCAGCGAGGTCCTCGTGCCCCTCATCACACAACTGCTGAAACCGGAGGTCTACCAAAGTGACCCGAGAGGTATGAGCGAAACAAGAGTTCGCGCGGCAACACTACTAAGCAAAGTCTTCCTGCACTATCTCGTACTATTGAGCGAGGTCGGCGAGGGAGATTTGTTGAAAGAACTTTGGTTGAAGGTAGTCAGTATCATGGATCGGCTGGGGAATAGCGGACAGGGTGATAACTTGGTGAGTTTGTCCCTTTCCTTTTCTCTTTCTTCTCACCACTCCCTCACTTCTATTCTTTTTTCGCATTAGAGTTCTTCGTCATAATAAGCCATACCCTCGCTAACACCACCCCAGGAAGAAGCCGTGTCCGAAAATCTCAAAAATATGCTCCTCGTCCTCTCAAATGGCGGCTTCCTCGCCCCGCCCGACGAGAAACCAGAGCAGGAGGAGCTGTGGAACGAGACGTGGAAGCGCATCAATCGGTTCCAGCCCGAGCTCTTCAAGGAGTTATTTCCCGAGGAGGCGGGGAAGCCGAAGAGGGCGTCTGCGGAAGGGAAGAGCAAGGAGGTGGTAGTGGGTGGTGGAGAGGACGCGGAGAAAGGAGAGGGTGAAAAAGCCAGTCGACAAGAGGAGAAGACAAAGGAGGGTTAAGTTGATGGTGCGGGCGGGTTTGGTGTGTAGCGATATGGGATTGCGTCGGTCAGGGTGGAGTAGGTAATGGCGGTGAGACGCTCTCAAGACAATGCATGTTGTTTCATTGCAGAGCTGAACGAAGATATGAAAATTTCAGTGAACCTAGGTTTTGTGCGAACCTCATCCGATACTGATCAACGTTTTTTATGATAAACTAGGTTCTAGTCTAGAACCAAATAGAGCCTTCTACCTAGATATTCACACCCATAGCCTCCTTCATCATCGCCTCCTTCTCTTTGATAATCAGCTCATCGCCTTCCCCCTCCCCCTCATCCACACAGTCACATCCATACTTCATCCGGAACTCATACGGTGGCAATCCATCCAGCTTCTCCAACGCAGAGTGACTCGCCCTGACGCGAGCATACCTGCCACTCTGCCCCAGCGAGTAAAAGTGTACCTTATTGTGGATCATAACCATAGCCGCCACAGCTTTCCCTTTACCCGGAATAACCGTATCGGTCTCGAGGGCACCCATGCGCCAGTCGCTGCATCCGAAGTTGATAGATAGCATGCGGCTAAGTCGTGTAGTCGGATGATTCGAAGCGAAGCCCTCGTAAGCGGGGAGCGTCATGTCGACGAAAAAGGGCTTGAGATGCAGGTCGAAGAAGTGCTGCACGACGTTGAAGTCAAATTCCGAGTCGACGAACAGGGCGGCAACAAAAGCCTCGATCACATCGGCGAGACACTTGGGCGGTTCGCTGACGCTGACCCAGTAGTCGACTGCACCGTGGGCTTCTCGCTCGGCCTCCTCGGCTTCAGCCACGTAGTCCCGGATCGATGCGCTTAGGATGGCTGTGTTCTGGCGTATATGCGTGTGCCAACCGAGCTTGACGCAGAGCGCGCCCAGAAATTTGTTGGAGACCATGGGCGTTTTGTGCTCGGTAAGCCACTGGGGATCCTTGTCGGGATAGTTGTAGAAGAGATGCATGATGAATGCCATATCCAGTAGCGAATCACCAAGGAACTCCAAACGTTGGTAGTTTGGTATGTTCTCCCACATGAAGGGCTGAGAAGGATGCACAAATGCAGATCGAAGAAGACGCGGATACCTGAAATGGTATGGATGTACCAATTCGATCTTACGGGCGAGGTCCAACTGGGTAGCGGTTGCTTCGCCGACCTGGTATTTTGGCTTGATATAGGCCGCATAGTAGTCTGACCACTTCGCCATTGTATGGTCCTCGCTGTTGGCGAATAGCTTCACAGCTTTGACGGCCTCGTCCCAATCAGTTGGGTTCCACTGCCCGTCCTTGTGATGTTCCATGAAAGCGGCGCCGATGAAAGCTTCACAAACATCAGCAATACTCTTATCTCCGAGGTTGTGTGTCAGCTTGAGCCAGTCGTCTTCACTCTTGTTCATACCCTTTCCCTTGATAAGCTTCATGCCATCCGGGTACCAAGTACGTCTGATGAATGTTAACTTTGTTTTGAGAGTAGCGTTATGTGACCTACCGAGAGAATGAATCTGTACGGATGTAGCTATACAACTGTAGATCAAGCTCTTCACCATCGGGGAATGAGACCTTCTTCTTGCCCACGGCAGTCTCCATGAGGTTCTTGTTGCAGAGCATGACCATGCGTCGAACGTGAAACTCAAACTCGTTCTCGTCTGGCTGTTGCACAAACGTTGAGATGGACGTAGCCATTTTGAGAAAGCAATCACCCAAGAATTCGAGGCGTTCATAGTTCGGGCCCATACCACTCTTGAAATTGATCTTTTCTTCTTCGTGTTCATCAGAATTCTCTGAGTCTTTGGTCAAAGCTTCGAGGGCTAGAGCTGGGCTGACCTTCAGGTCGAGGACCTTACAGGCGTCCAAGGCAATGAGATAGCTCTCGAATCGGTGAATAATAGCCGGCAACACGTAACACATGACAACGAAGGAAGTCGCAAGCTATTTAGACATCAATATGGTACCGTCTAGACTGCGGAACAAAACTTACATTCGAGATGCGCATTGGCTGAGGACAAATGTAGGTTTTGAGAGTACCAAGAACCTCCTTCTCTTTGATTTCGACAAGGGCAAGGTGATTTCGGCGGAAAGGAATCTTCTCCGCCTCCAAGACGGGCTGCGATTGATTCCACTTGGCGATATCACGACTCCTCAGCCACTTACTATCGGAGTAGTCGAGAATGTTTTTCATGAACTTCTGATTCTGTCGCGGTACGTTCAAAGGAACAGGATCTTGAGGCTTGAGATGTGGCGCCAGCCGATCAGAGTAGAATCTCCGCCCTCCGTTCATAGGATCCACGATGTATCTGTCCAACAGATCTTCATCCATCGTTTCGGGCGTCCATTGCCATGTATGTTCATTGCATACTCTGCGCACTTGATCCATATCCACAATTTGTTCAAGTTCGGTTGGTAAGGTTGGTGCTGCTATCACACTTGGTCGGACTGGAACGATCCAGTATGACATCTTTCGAACATCATGCTCATATACCTTATTGTATATGTCTTCATAGACTCGCAGGGTGAACTTGGTGAGGGACTCGAGCGTCTGTTCAGTAATTGAGTGAGGCAAAGCAGAGGGACACGAGACAACGTTCGAAGATCGACCGTCCGTAAGGTATATGGGAAAACTCGGTAATTGTGGAAATTCGACTCGAGTAAGAAGGCCAAGAGGCTGATGAGGGCGATCCAGACCAGCATCGACGTTGATGACGGTGAGATAGAGGTGTTCCGGGGTAGTACCACGGCCCCGTTGCCAAAATGTTGGCTTTATAAGCATTGAATACATGCCCTTCTTCCTCTCACCAACGGCTAGCTGCGCATTCCTCATGGCTGGAAGAAACTTTCTCACCGTGGGGAGCAGATTCTCGTCGAGTAAGCCCCTTTTGCGAAGCTCCAAACACATGTTGAACGCTGCCGAGCACCGGGCGATCACCTTCCTGGATTGAAGTTGACCTGTCATAGAAATGACTGGTGAGTACTCAGGCAGTATGACCTCGCATTGAAAGCCCGTTCGCTGAGGATTGAAAAGATCAACGGTAACCTCTGGGTTTATGACGTACGTCGGTTGCAGATAGGTCTCGTGGCTTGGAGCTGGAAGTGTAGAGACGAAGTGGTTGAGAACGGTCAAGCTCGATCGGAAAGTGAGCTTTGCGCCGGAATTGGGGTCTGTATAACTGGGATAGAAGGTATCTTGCACTTCGTCACCGTCGGCGTCTGCTCCGTCAAGAAAACGATCCTGTGGGAGAGTTTTACAGAAGTTTCTCATGACATGCTCATCGCTCCTAGCTTGGTACAATCTCTCGCTATGAGCATTGTTACCCTTCTCTAGCATGTGCAAGTATTTCGAATTTCGATGTCTCGCCCGACCTCTAGATTGAACATATCCAATCATCGTACGATACAGGTCGAACCGTACAACGAGATTGCATTGCGGTATGTCAAGGCCTTCTTCTGCAACGGAGGTGGCAAACAGACAGTTCAGCTCGCCTCGTCGAAATTTCGCTACCGTCAAGATCTGAGACCGTAGCGATATGTTATGTTCACCGATCCGAGAGTTGATACCAACTAACATGTCGCAGTGGAGGTTGGGACCACCAAGATGCGCAAAAATGAGCTTGAGTAACCGAGCAGTCTGGCGCTGCTCAACAAAAACGATGGACCTAGCCTCATCACTCCGCTCATAGTACAGGTTGAGGTAATAGTGAAGTTGTCGGACTTTGGAGCTCAGATCTTGTTGGCTGAGTGTGGGTAAGCCGAAGTCATGTTCTTGTACAAAGAGTGCAGCTTCTTTCAGTCGAGCAAGGTCGGCATTCAACTTTTCTACAGAGCCACCTTCCTTGTGCTCCTTATTGTGCCGGTATTCCTCATGGTTCTGAAGCTTGCGAGCTTGTTCGTCGGTAAAAGCGAAGGACCAGTACATATCGGAAGCCCAGCGGCCGAGCTCGGAACCGATTCGCTTTGATGTGATGAAGAACTTCTTGAACGGTCGCACATCACCATATCGCGCCTTTACTTTCTGGTGAAATGGCGTCTCGAATTCGGTTTGCAACTGATCATATACAGCAATCTGCTCTTCGGGTCGACTCGTGCTATTGGAAGCAAAGGTACCATCGGCAGTCGTGGCGATCTTAGAGCAAAGCAGCTTTTCGAGGTCGCGAGCGGCGGCCTTGATGTCATTATCTTTAGAGCTCTTCACATCCACAGGCGAAGCTGTCATCCCAAAAACACGAGGTCGTTTGGTCTTGTCGGGCTCGCAGGCGTAGTAGTCTCTCATGATTCGAGCGTAAGGATGGTTGCTTTTGGCATGATGAGCTTCGTCAAAGATAAGGAGGTTGATCTGCCTGATGGTGATGAAGGAATGCATCATGCACTGTTGCAGAACTTCTGCTGTACAGATAATGACCATGTTGTTGGCGAAAAGTGTGTCCCAGGTGGGCTTCTGCCATAGTGATGCGCCCATGGCGCCGCAAATAGCTTCAACGTTTTGGTCGAGACCGCATCGCAACACATTTGCCTGTTGAAAGACGAGGTTCACCGAGTCCACCTGTCTCGAGTCAGGAATACGATGACAACTATATCAACATCCTTACCAGAAAGAACGCAATCCTGCGCAAGCCGCCTTTGGCTCGATGCTCGAGTTCTTCATCAAGGACGTGCCTAAGCAGCAAAGTTGCGATATGAGTCTTGCCCGAACCAGTATCTAGCACAGCGACGATGTTTTCTGTCTTGGCTTTCTGGAACAGCTCAGTCTGGTAATCGCGGGGATTCGTGATACGGACAGTCGTCTCCTGGTTCGCCAGGATGTCGCGGATGGAGAGCTGTTCATCCTTAGCACCTTTGACAGCGTCTTCGACCTCCTTCTGTGTTGCATGGGCACTGATGTTAGCGGCGAAGGCTCTCATAATTTCATTCTGGGCTCTTCGCCTTTCTGTGGTGGTTCTGGGACCATGAGCGCGACCAACGTCAGCATCGATGTCTGAACTCTCATCTTTGTGCAGCTCTTCTTCTTCTTCTTGCGGCTCTTCTTTTTCTTGCGGCTGTTCCATCTTTAGAGCAGACTGGGTTTCATCTCCGGACACGGATCTCTCATCGCATGAAGCGTAGTCCAACTGTTCTTCTTCGATGTCAGCCCATGCCATGTTGCTAGCCGCGGTGGTCACTTGAGCGATGGCTGGCGCAGGTTGAATTTAGAGAAGCGGAGAGAGATTTGAGAGATTACAATCAACAAGTGGGTCTTTTGAAGACTGAAGGTGAGAGACGTCTATGTAAGTTTGCTCATTGGTCCCACGTCCTGATAGAGAGCAAACGGAGCAGAGACCCGGCCTGTCACCGCTTTGTCGGCGGTGAGTCGAGTTTTTCAGACTCGGGTATACTGAGCGCTGAACATGTCCGTATATCTGTGCAGCTCCGAGTAATGGTGAAGCGAGCAAGTGATGTTTGGAAAGTAGTGGCGGGGTACGCGTTCATAGTGCAAGCGCAACCGTGCACCAAGACGCGAACGCACGTGTCCTTCCTAATCACGACTTGGGGCTTCCTACAGCATCTGCAACTTCAACACACAACTCTTGCGTAACTAATTTTCAGAAATGGCAAACGAACCCCAAAGCATACGAGGTCTCTTTGTGAGCGCTGAACGTGCGCGCAAGGACCTCTCATCTTCCTACGATAGCAACAGTCCCGCTTTCCAAGAAAACCTCAACACCGCAATTGCCACATACCAAGAATGTCTCAAGCTCGCCGAACAAGTCTCGCTCTTCAGCCCGAACGAGACTCTGGAAGATATATCCTCCACTGACCTGCAGTCCGTTTCTCACTCTTTTCCCCCACTCTCAACTTTTCGCAACTATCCGGGGTTCTTGGCATCTTGATCTCTCGCTTATACATTTGCTAGGTACATGACCATCAACCATCACTTGGCGGAACTCGGACAAAAGATCTCGAGCACAGATGTATCCGTGAGAAAGAAGAACATCCTGCAAGCGCGGGTTTACTATGAGCGGTTTTTGAAGCTCCTGGATTCTTACGATGCGCTTAGCAAGTCAGATGCGAGGCTTTTCGAAACCTACACTGAAGATAAGGAGAACTTTGCTACTGCAAGCACGCGGGATGCCGCGGCAAGAAGAGATGCGAAGATCACACGGTTCCGCGAGGAAAAGGAGTTGAAGAGAAAACTAGAGGTATGTCGCGTCATATTGAATAACCCTAATGAATGGGGCATGCTAAGGCATGTGCACAGTATCTTCAGCAAAATCCCAAACTCGCCGAGAATGACGAACAAGTGGTTCGGGAGTTGCACCTGACGAATCTGGCATTTATGGTTCACCAGACATTCCAGTCGCTCGAGTCCATTGCACAGGAACTGCACATCATTTCCCTAGCACCCCCCACGCCCACGCAAAGACAAATCGCGCCAGGGCCAGACGAACGTCAAGATGGCAGGAACAAAGATACGTATTCTGAGCGTCTGGACGGCCAACTACCCGGGCTTAAGTACTCGGGACCCATCCTCAGCCCCGACGGCAAACCAATGCGGCCATTTACGCTTCTGGACAGCCGGCAAACGTTGAAAAAGAACGTTTTCCGACCTGATCATAGTCTGCCAACCATGACAATTGACGAATATCTTGATGAAGAGAAGAAAAGGGGTGGTATCATCGAGGGGGGTGGCCCACAGAGTGAGATTCGCCCTGAGCCGAACGAGGACGATCTCGTTGCGGCTGATGAAGAGACGATGAAACAACGTGCATGGGATGAGTTCACGGAGGAGAATCCTAAAGGTTCTGGAAATACCCTCAATCGGGGTTGAGTGGTTATGGAGTTCTGTCGTATACCTAGATCATGCTATTTGCAACATGACGAGCGTCTATCCAAAGTGTCGCTTGCTTGTTGTTAGCAAACTCACCTTGACATAACTCATCTTCTCTATTGTCGTGAGTCCATCCAAGACAAGGGAACTGTCCATCCCTCAAAATCGTCGTCCCATCAAAGACGCTCCGGTGCCAACTCAGGCCACTTCCCCACCACAACCTCCATCAACCCCTTAGACAGCACCGCATACCCCTTGACATCCAGATGCAATCCATCCGTAAACCAGCCCTCCCCAAACTCCTTCGCGCCCACCAGCCCACACCCCGGTAACTTTTCCTCCCCATACTTAACCGCCTGATCCTCCGCCCCTCTCCCCTCCACCTCCAACGCAGCATCAATCAACGACCCCCAATAATCCAGCCCCACCACCCTCCCCGTCTCGCCATACTCGGCCGCGATCTGCATAATCTTTTCTGCATATCGCCTCTTACTCACATACGTCTTGTATGCGTAATCTGATTTCTCGCCCCATTTGGTCGTCGGGCGGTTGATCGGCGGGGGCGTGATCAGCACAATTTTCGTCGCGGACAGGGCGTCTTGAGTCAGGATTGTTTCGACAAAAGTGCGGATGTTTGCTGCGAAGGTGGAGAGCGGGACATATTCTTTGTTGTCGGCGACGAGGCAAGCGTCGTTTGCGCCGAGGAAGATGGTGAAGAGGAGGGTGGGTGGGGCGCGTGGGGAGACGGCGCGCGTGATGATGCGGTCGAAGTCTAAGGCGAGGTCGGTGGATGTGTAGCTTGTGAGGGTATTAGTCGGGTTTGCATTGGATCTGCTATGGTATGATGCGTGTGTGTGTTTATTGGATTGAAGTGGAGTGGGTTGGAGTGCACTACCCTGCTTGGCCTAGTCGTCAGAGTCAGGGTCAGTATCGGTATGAGGATTTTCAGCATAGTCTAGTCGACCATTGTAGTTTGAGTCAGTACCTTCGTTCACTATCTGTGCTTTTCCATGATATTGCTGTTCGAGGAACAACCCGAAGCCTTGCGTCTTGTCGTCGAAGCTCCATTCGGTCAACGAGTCGCCGAAAAGCACAAACTCGGGCAAATCGTCAGAAGATATCATAGCTGGGAGATGTTCGTTTGTTATCTGGCTAAATATCAATGTTGGTTATGATCATCAATCTTGACGGTGGGTGTTGGCTGATCAGGCAGCTGTTCTAAGCCGCATTCGACATCACCGCACGTGATGCCACCCCATCGTGGTCTCCATCGTCGTTGAAGCATGAAATGTTGTTCTTCAGTCAAAATACGTGAACAACAGTTGCGGTACCATACTTGCTGCGTCCTGAGCTTCAAGACGTCTCGCTCAGAAGCACTCATCATCCGGAAGCGGTCATCATGACCTCAGTCTTTCGTCGCGAACAATCGTCATTCGTCGTGTCGCGCAACTGTCTTCCAGCTTAAAATGTATAGTTCCTGCTCTCACTCGACTTCAAATCAAATCTCTTGGAGTCGAATTGCACAAACATCAACTTCGCCTACCCGTTGATCAATCACCCATATACCTCACCCAACCTACACAAAATGTCCTTCCTCACCAAATTCCGCCCTCTGCAGCGCTTGGCTATTCCAATATCCGCCCGCCCACTCAGCACCACGCACTCGGTGCGATCCGATAATGACAAACTCATGGGCGACAACCCAAAATCTAATTTCCCCGACCCTTCCCCCAATTCGTCTGCGGCGCCCAACCGGAAAGTGCGCACCGAACCTCAGCACAACGATCAGCAGTCGAGTGCCTCAACCGAGGAGCACAAAACTGGCGATGACCATCCAGCAAAGCAGCCTGATTACCAGGCAGAGCCGTCAAGGAAGACAGGGATTGGCGGTGGAGAGGAAGTCAAAGGTGGTAAGGAGGGACTAGGAGAGAGAGGGGACAAACAGTAAGATGGCAGTAAGAGGCATGAGATAGTAGAGACAAGGGAAAATATGGATATCGATGTTGTAGATTGAGAAGAGAAGGCCCTGATTGAATCAATCTCGTGACCATCGGACAAGATTATCTACCAGAAGTTGCTGTGAGGCTGTCGACATTCGCTTTAGTCGTGCCGATAGGTTGAGTACAAGTGGTGCAATTCGAGCATTGTAAGAATACGGAGTACGATATTCTCAATAACCTGCTTAGCCAATCAAGAGGTCCGCTCTTGTCGCGCCGTATTTCCGTATTTCATATTGCTCTGGGCTGCACCTTTGTATGCGTGCACAAGGGTCGCTTCTTGGGACGCGCTAGAAGCTGGGGTATCTTTCTCACATGAGAACCATGGATCTCTATATCACATGCAAACTCATACACTCAAACTTGTCCTGGCCGTTTCCATGGGTCTGGCGTAAGGATGAGATGCTGGATGCTCCTGAATCCTGACGCGTCGTAGATGACGGACAGTGATACGTGGAACTACAGGGTTGCCGTGCTTTACCGGCCTGCAACATGGAAACAGGGATGAATACGTACAAATAGCGGAGATGATATACACAGTAGAGATTAGCAGTCGAGATAGATAAGAGTCATTGGCCTGCATCGAATCTTCTACGGATGCTCTGGATGCCTAGGGTCTTGCGAGTAAGTAAAACAAGGGCCTCTCCCTCGCGTAGGGAGGGCGCTTCGAATCTGTCTCCACAGTTAAACAGTCTGTCGGGTTACCAATTGCGTTATATGGCCTGCCTCCGAAGTGTCAAGTTGGAGACATCCTGGAAACATAATGTGTGTTCTCTCCGGGTCAAGGGAGTCAATGAAACGCGAAATCCAGATCCCTGCAATTGGGCTTGCAGCAAGGTGCGAACTGCAGGAACCTACCGGACTTGGAAAAAGTAACCAAGCTCTCGGTGTCGGCAAGCGACGTCTGCATCTCATTTTTGACGGCGCATTCCGTGTCTCTATAGAAAATGTATGCTTTCACTCTTCAGATAAGAGAGGGCTTGCTGATAGTAAGAGGACAGTCTAACCACCACTCGTGGACTATACGCTGTGTGATTGGACAACGGAAAGATGTGAACGACCAGGATGGAGCGCATGTTCTGTGGGGCATGGTGAGATTCCAGGGGAGAATAGGGACGAGCCGAGGAGCTGTCCTCTGCAGACACGATGATCCATTTGGGTACTCCGAGGTAAGAAAGGACGGTCCCGAGCAGCGAAGATAACAATGCGGGCTGAGGCCAGCAATCACGGAGATTGAAGGGCGGCTGGGTTCTCAACGGAGGTGGAAGGTCCTAAACAGTCGACAATGGTGGTACTGGTACAATTTCGCATCTGTGGGATATCACTCCAATGTGCGAAGTCTTCGAGGAGAGAGTACAGTAAAGGCTGTGGGACTGCTATAGGAGGCCCGTGGGGTGCATGTACACGCAGCCTTATTTGGTAAGGTCAACCTACCGTGTATGCTAAATACGATGCTCAGACGATTGATAGGCTTGTATTGGTCAGGTTAAACTTCAGCTGAGCGGAATGTGTTGCACGGTTCAGACGTTGATTTGTTATCGCGGGTGACAAAGAAGAACGGCAAAGAGGGCGGCGGGCGAGCTTTCAGGGGGATCCACTCAACAGCAACGTGAGCAACGTTGACGGATGGCAAGACTAGCCGCACAGGCCTCGATGTGGGAAGACCGACTAACCGAATCCCGCCTTGGCATGTACGTCGAGCAGCATATGCGGGCTTTTGCGTAACATTTGTTTGCGGCAGTGCAGCGCGCATCTTTGTTAGGGGCAAATAGCGTTGCAAAGATGCCGCAGGTGATGGTGATATACCGGCAACCACCGCACAAGCACCATGGAGTTTGATAGCATGTCACGGCTGACGCTCGCCTTCCCTGCATCTCATCTCTTACCCCACGCAGCCACAGCCCGTTGTCGAGAGCTCCGGCGACTCGCGACTCGAGCACCATAAGCAGTAGCATGCTCGCCATTTCTTGGGCCTAGGTACCAGACTCGCCAGTGACCTCACTTTGCGCACCTCGTATCTCGCACACAACCAAGCCATCGTCACGCCTGCCTTGCGCCTAGCTGCGTCGTCGAACAAGTGCAGTAAAGAATCCATCCGGGTGCAGCCAAGGACGCGACACAAGATGACGTCTGGGTAAGCTAGGCTGCTCTGTTCCTGCGCTTGTTGCGCTCTAACACTTCCACAGGTCCATGCGAGAGGCCATCAAGGCTCTCAACACGACTTTCTCCGCGCCCACAGCACCCTATCCGCTGCCCGACGAACTACGCGACACCATCGCCAGCTTCCTCGAACGCTATGACAACATCGACGACTACGACTCCCAGCGCTTTCATGACGACCTCCACGCAGTATACCAGCGGCATGTTGCCGGCAACCCAGAAAAGCTTGGCGCTTTCTTGTCCGCGCTGCGACTGGTACGGCCTGCCCTCACAGGGGAAACGCGTTTGACCACTTGGTGGGACCTGGTGCTTAAGCCCACAATCGATGGGATAGGGCATAAGAGGCGGGTCATCGACGACGCAAGCGAGTTCTTACAGGGCATACTGGTCTACGATGCCGAAACAGACCACAACGGGGAAGCTGCACGTCTCTCTAGCCTCTTCACAAAGAAGTTGCTCGACGCATACCTTGCCCGAACCAACGTGTTCTCTTCTTGGGAGGATGCCGTGAATCCAGAGAACGAGTTTGTGTCGCATGAGCTCGAAGCTGTCTTGATGGTATTTGGGCGCAAAATGCCAAAGGTGCGTCCTCGACTTGATCCACACACAGTCTCCCGCTGAACCGATTAGGCTCTACTCCTTGCTCTCGATGAGCTCTTCGTCCAGAAACAATACCGTATCCAGGCCTTGACTTTGTTGAGCGCCTTCGTCAGGCTACAGCCACCACATCTCCACCTCGTTCTCGAAACACCCCTTATACAGAACTTGCAGAAGAGTCTCCTCATCGATACCTCCTCGACTGTCATCGAACTCGCACTGGTAGTCCTGATCATGTTTCTACCCCACATTTGCGGAGCTTTGAGCTCTGACCAAAGCCTGAGATTAAAATGCTTCCTGATCTACAGCAGGGTACTGTGTTGGGACAAGCTTGGAAATCCCGAGGATTCAAAATCTTCGTACAACAATGTCGACGACCAAAGCAATGAGAGTCAAGACGAGGAGGAAGTAGAGCCCGAGCAAGCGTGGGAACGAGTGCAGCATTCCATGGACTACCCTGATTCATCCCCGCCAACTCTCATGCATTACTTTACCTTTCTCTACGGCCTGTTTCCACTCAACTTCATGAGCTTCGTTCGCAAGCCACGGAAATACCTAAAGTCACTCAACTTTCCAGGTGCTCGCGACTTTGATCTTGATCAGGACCTCATCCACAGTCGAACCGAGCCATATCGACGGGTCCATCTGCTGCATCCCAACATGTTCACGACTACGATTGAGGACGAATTGAGCGACCACAGGTGGTTGAAGAGCGATCCTGTGGACGTTGTGACTGAGTGTATGGATCTCTGTGTGGCCGTATCGACAACGCTAGATGATCCTGGACCACCACCAATGGCAAAATTACCTCCTATTCCAGACGTTGCCAATGAGTTTGCATTGGACGAGGATGAACCTACTACGAACGATTCGAAAGTAAGCTGGAGGAATACACAGGCGACTATGGTGGTGCCTCTAAGCGAAGCCCCAGACATGCCAGAGCTTGAGAATGGCCTCTTTCAAAATACTGCCAGCACCATAGAGGATTCGTTGAAGCAAGCAAAGGATGGACTGGCAGTCAGGTCACCGTCCCCTCTACCGAAAGATCATAGTATAATGGATTCGCCTACATTGCCACCAGTCAAGGATACAAAGAAGCAGTACGCTATCGGTGCGCCTGGAACAACTCAACGGTTCGTATCTCGCAAATCTAGCCTCGACAACTTCGCTCAAAGCGTAACCGGAGCCACCTCCCCTACGCACCCCGGTTTTCAGAATCAGAACATGGCCTCTCTGCAGAGAGAGATCATGCTTCTTCGAAACGATCTCAACTTCGAGCGCTACTTGAAGATGCAACATTTGGCCCACATTGGTCATCTCCAGCGGAAACACATCAAGGAGGCAACGGCAGAGGCGGAAACACAGAACCTCATCAACTCGAACAAGACCTTGAAGGCCAGGCTTGCCAAAGCAAATGAGCTGTACGCCCAGTTGAAGAAGGAAACACTTACAAGCCGGAACCAATCGAAGAGATGGGAGAATGACTTGAGTGCGAAAGTCCGGTCGTACAAAGAGAGCGAAAAGTCATGGGGCAGTGACGGAGAAAGCTTGCGTTTCCAACTGCAAAAGACACAGGCCGATTACGAAAACCTCAAGGATATCGTAGAGAGGGCAGAAGCTGAGCGTCTCAAGGCCCAACAGCGAACGCGAGCCCTAGAATACGACCTGGAACATTACTGCGACGTGCAACAAAAACTCGAAATCGCACAGGAAAAGATTATTACGTATGAGTCTCAGAGCAAGGACCTCAACATGTTGATCCAGGAGCGGACCACATTGCGGAACGATCTAGAAGTTACCAATATGCGGTTGAACAGTCGGGAGGCGGAACGTGAGCGTGCTATCAAGGCTTACGAGCGACGGATCATGGAGCTTGAAACACGATTGCAGATGGCAGAAAGGAATACCGGGAAACCTGGGCAACTTCCTGCCTCGGTTCAACAGATGTTAGATTCAGCACTGGCAGCGAGCAACAACAGGCTGGAAAAACTGAAAAAAGCAAACCAAGAACTTCACAGACAGTACACGGAACTGAGTTTGAAACATCAGGATCTCCAAGGTGAGCGACAAGCTGAGCTTGACCGCTTCCCTGTACCGCAGAGTTCCAAAACTTTCGAACTCGATCAATCGCAAATCAGTCGCAGCTCCAGCACAAAACGAGCAAACAACTTCAGCCCAAGGTATGTGCCTTCACTCACAACCGACATGGCACCTAGCGAAGAGCGTGAATACTTCCCCGACTACCAATCCCCTACTTCGGTGAGCAACTCACCAGGGATTTCTTCTCCAGCTCGTCCTGTTCGGAGCGAATCCTCGAGTTCCCAGAGGGCCCACACATCTCAGAAGCCACAGGTTCCCCAGCTGTCACCTCTATCACACCCCGCGTTTGGCGGTGGTCTCGTGCCAGAGTATCCTGGACTGCGTGACGGCACTGTCCATAGTCTCTACGGGGCACGAAAACCGACTACTCCCAATGCTGTCCAATCGAGCGCCAAGAGCTCGTGGTCAGTCCACACCGATGGCAGTGGCAGCAGAGAAAAACAAGACAAGGACAAACCGGAACCAAAACCGGAAGTCAGGGTCTTCGGTCGTGGTAAGTCTATTGATCCATATTTGCTTGAGCTTGTAAGCTAATGAACATCAGGTGGTGCCCAGAATATGAGCAAGAAACCCAAGGATAAAGAACCGAAGAAGCCGGCGTCTTCCAAAACGGGAGGCTTCCGTGGACTGAAGGGCATCATGTGAGAAGCATAATTGCATCGTCGGCCTCTCTTCGCAATGCAGCACATATCGTGCTGCCTAACATCACCCAACAATCTCCGACTTATTCACCTTGAGCCGTACAATCTAAAGCGGCATTCCAGTTTAGCGATTTCTTTCCCACGTTACCTTTGATGCAACGATTGCATCTACGATTCTATTTTGCTCATCGTCACGATCATTTCATTTGTCTTCGATACTTCTGGGGGTTTCGTAATGTCAACGCGCTGAGAGCGGAGGAAGAGGTTTGGCCCGATACTGCACAATGTAGACACTCTAGACATAGCTGGACTTGTCTGTTTTTCTTGTATTCGTATTATAGTGTACTGTGCTTCTGAGCTGCACATCCCAGACCCAGAACGAATCCCATTTACACTTGACGTCTCCGCACGTTTCTCATGAGAAAGACCATGGTTCTTTGAACCCTGTGTTGGGTGACCGTGATGATCGTGCATGTATATGCCCAATGGTAAACGTTATGGACAATACACAGAGAAGAAGGGCCGACAATGAGTGATTACACTCATGCTAACAGTCACATAGATACTAGCATAAAAAATAGAGTTTCTCATATCACAAAACAACAAGGGTATCGTATACGGACGTAAATCGTAAAGTAACAGCAGCATCATAACAACCATCCTCACACTCCCTTCTCCCCAAGCAGCGTCTCCTTCTCCTTAGCATCACCCACCTCCCCGCCCTCATACGCCTTCCTCCACTTCTTCAAGCCAGCGTAATTCCCATGCCTAACAATCTCCTTCGTATCGCCCACGGTCCCAAAACAGCAGTGTTCCACCTTGCCCAACGGGCCTTCTCGCGGATCATCTTCGAGCAAAACGCCGAACCTAAGCTTCGTATTCTGCAGTTCCTCGGGAAAGGGATCGCCGCCAAGACAGGCGCCGACGCTCAGCTGGTCGAGCGTGGGGTTGCGCGTGGTGACGAGGATGCGCGAGAAGAGCGTGTCGGACGCGACGCCGTTGACGTGGATGGCCCAGCTGCCGACGACGACGGACGCGACGGTCAGCACGAGCGCGACCGTGTAGCCGAACCATAGCGAGCGCCGGTAGTACACGTACACGACCATTGTGCGCGACCTGTCACAGGGGACCTGGCAGGTGTCGGAGATGACTAGGCTTGGGTCGCTGAGCAGTGTGATGAGCATGTCTTCTAGCAGGTCTTGCACTGCGTCCATTAGGTGTGATACTGGGTATGCGGTTGCGGAGTCGACGAGCTTCGTCTCGGACATGTCGGAGCGCGTGACGATGAAGACGTTGGATGTCTTTTCGATTTCGCCGCGGAGGAAGTTACGCAGGAGCGCTGCGACGGAGTGGTATGCGGCTGTGAGTTTGTAGGCTGCTACGTCGGACCTGGGGCTGATGAAGTTTGAGCTCGGGCTTGCTACCCAGTCGGTGTTGTTGTTGCGGGCATCGTGCGGTGGATGTGTGACTGTGGTGTCGACGACTGGACCTAGATAATCTCGTTGCTTGATGCTGGTCTGTTGGGTTGGCGAGTACTTCATCTCGATTGTGTAGTTGGTGTGGTGCAAGACGCATTTGAACATCTTGGACTCGTGGACATATTTCCACTTCTTGGCATATGGAGAATCGTCGGCGTAGAGTTCGTTTGTCTTCTCTGCATAACCAATCCAAATGACTGGCTCGCTGTCGAAGACACCAAGCCAATCGGGATAAGGAGCACTTTGTTTCGGGACACCTTCGACCGTGTCGATTTGAGGAGATGCGTAGTCGTGCGTATCGAGCACTGAGTGGTAGATGAGGTCCCCTTGAGGGGCAAGTATATCTGAGGTAAATGGCAAGTCTGCAGACAGGGTATCGTTGATGTAGTCGCATTTGTAACCTGGCCCCATGAAATTGATATTATACGTGCAATTCCATCCCTGATCGCATGAAATTGCAGCAGCATTCTCGCGCGCTTGAGCTTTCTTCAAGTAGGCAGCGCTGTAGGCCGAGCGTCTTGCGTTTTTGCTTGGCTGGTCGTAATAATCGAAGAATCCTTCTGTCTTTCCATATCGGTCTGTCGTGTTGTAGTAGCTCACAGAAGCGCCGCTGAAATTGGCAGAGTCGGTTACTCGAAAATTGTAGTAAGACTCGCGCGTGAAGTTGAGAATCGGGACATTTGGACAGGTAGTTTGGTCGTGGTACGTTCTTGCTTCGGACGTAAGGGAGGCTGGCGACAGGACGGATGCCATTGGGATAAGCCTAATATGGCATCAGTATCCATCTCTGCATTGATTGGCAGTTGGCTCACCAGCTGCAAAGCGCCATGACCGTCGCGAGCTTTCCGTTCCTCAGCATCTCCCAATTCAAGAAGAATTGTGTTGGATCTTCTGTCGCAGAAAAGAGTCCGTCTATGCCATTCATTGTCATGGCCTTTGTCCGAAATGTGTGCCATATCCGCTGCCTATAGCAGATGACAACGGTTCCCACGAGCATACTCTTGAAGAAATAGGCAAACGCCGTCCCATACCTCACCATCATCAACTGCTCCGTGGCGGGGTGTCCATCCAGGCTGGCGTAGAAGAGATGATGACCTATTGCCGCCGCCACGCCAGCCGTAAACAGACCAGCTATAAGCGCTGGGGTCGTCCAGTGCACATGCCATTTCGCGAGTTCCCCCGCTCGCCGGTCAACGAGAGCTTGCGTATCAGCGTTTGTAGTCTTGTGGTGGTAGATGGAGTTCAATGTGTATATCGACTCTCTCCCCGTAGGCCCTGGGCTCGTATTGCGCTCTCGTAGTGGTTCATACTGGCCGCTGTCTGGTGACATTGGGAGGAACGTGCCAGGCCGTAGACTTCGCCGTGCCTCTGAGGGTCGATCGCGCGAGTCGTGAAAGTCCTCAAAGTGCGCCAAAGGTCCCGATAGGAGCGACATCTCGACGGGGTCCGATTGCGAGTGAAAGGTATCGTAGTGCTCCAGATCATTGTCCGGCGACATGGATCTGGAAGATTGTGGTGAGAGGGGGTCTCGCGAGGCCATTGCAAAGACAGAGCTGGGCTACTCAGAGTCGCGGCTGGAACATCTAAAGCTACACTGCCATTCAAAGAATAGCCAACAAAGTGGGGTTGGTTCGGTCGCACAATGTCTCAGCCTGTCAGTTTCCGTCCAGTCGTCGCTGGGAGCAGTTGTTGCAGAGTAAGCTTCCGGCGGGCCTTGAGGGTAAAAGGTGAGAGCTGCGGTACGGATCGAGACATGGCTTCATTGTGTATCCCAAGATAGCGCGATGCGGAGAGTGGGCGAGACTTCAGCCCTGGGAAGCTAAGCATCATAAGCACATAAGCAACATCAGCGCTAGGGAGATCAACAGCCGGGCGAGTGGCTCAAGTGCAGTGTATGATTGGAGGCCTTACCGACTATGGGGTTCGCGAATCTCGATAGGACTGGAGAGAATGCCGATGATGCGAAGGGGGGAAAAAGCATCCCTAGGATTGGACTCTGTCTCTCTATTTTGGGTGTGCTCAAGGAAGACCAAAACATGCGACTGGTCGTCGCTGAATTGTGGCGCGTACTACAAATCTAGGTGTCGAATTTGAAGCCTTCCTGTTGGTGTGTCGAGGTCATGTTCATGTGTGGCTGCCTGAGCTACGCCAGCTCCAAGGGTTGCGTACTGCTCTGCCTCGCTGAGTGCATGAGAGGCGCAGAAGGGGACCCCATCGGCTGTAGAAGCTGCGGGAGACTGTTGAGCTGAAGATTTAGGTCTGAAACCGGATTTTTGTCATGTTTGATAGATAGAGTAGCTTGTGGTGTTCTGGAGCATGCAGAGCAACAGTGCGGGCACATTCGGCTGAATGCATGAGCTTGCCCATCTTCTGATCATGGAGTTCTTGCTTTAAATCATTCTTAACGGTCCGAAAGAAACTTGCAGACAATGCATTCAAGGAATAGAAACATGTACGCGGTAATGGAGTTGCAGAGACGCACTTAGCAGGGTCTTACTGTGGGTCGTGTACGAGCGAGTGGATCAACTATGATATTTCATGTGAACAACAAGGTACCCATACCCTATGGTAATAGCTTTAAGTACCCCACAGCTTACCAATCTCGCATGCATTTCAAAGCAATTCAGAATAGTGTTGGAACTCACAATTCATGCATTGCAAGAGCAGCAGCGTTTTAGACGCCCGTTGTGTTCAAGATGCATGAAGAATCGAAAGTCCGAACGATCTCCGGATGACGTGCACCTTAGTTTTGTCAAAACATCAATCGAACGAACACGACTCTCGAATCCCCCGATTTAGCTATTCACCTACGAGCATACCCACTCGGGTGGAAGGAGGTAGATCTATGCCAGCCTAGGCTCAAAAATTCTGGGAGCTCTAACAGCTTAGAAATGCCGGCAGCGCTACGACCGAGTTGTGTTATTCTTGCGTCATAGTCGACATGGTATCGTTGCTATATAACTGAAGTCCCCGCCATGGAATAACTTATCAGTCCTCACAGGTATACACTGTGTTCTTGATCTTTTCTCACTACCCAATTCGAGCAATCTAATTCACAACGCAAAATCACCATAATGGCGCCCACAACAACCAAGCAATGGACGGTGGAAGGAAAGGACGGGTTTGAAGCGCTCAAGTTCAACGAGAAGGCTCCCATCCCAGAGATTGGCGACAAAGATGTCCTCGTCAAGAGTATGTACCTCGAACCGTCTCCCCCAAGAGCCATACTAACCATATACCAGTTCACGCCGCGTCCCTCAACTACCGCGACCTGATCATCCCCAAGGGCAGATACCCCTTCCCCGCGAAGGACAACGTCGTCCCAGGATCTGACGGCGCCGGCACCGTCGAATCCGTCGGCAAGAGCGTGACCCGCTTCAAGCCCGGAGGTACATACCCACAACGCCCTCCCCCTCCCATCAGCGGCACCACACTAACTCCTCCCCAGACAAAGTAGTAACCCTCTTCAACCAAGGCCACATCGCCGGCTCGCTCGACATGCAATCCCTCAGCACCGGCCTAGGCGGCGCCGTCGACGGCACCCTCCGCGAATACGGCGTCTTCGCCGAACAAGGCCTCGTCGCCATGCCCACAAACCTAAACTTCCTCGAAGCCAGCACCCTCAGCTGCGCCGCCCTCACAGCCTGGAACGGCCTGTACGGCCTCGAAACCCGCGCGCTCAAGCCCGGCCAAACAGTCCTGACACAAGGCACAGGCGGCGTCAGCATCTTCGCGGTGCAGTTCGCCAAAGCAGCAGGCGCGCGCGTCATCGCCACGACATCATCCGCGGAGAAAGCAGAGCTGCTGAAGAAGTACGGCGCCGACGAAGTCATCAACTACAAGGAGACGCCCAACTGGGGCGAGAAGGCAAAGTCGCTCACCCCGGGCCAAGTGGGTGTGCAGCACGTCATCGAGGTCGGCGGGCCGACCACAATGGCCCAGTCCCTCAAGGCCGTTGCTATCGACGGCGTTATCAGCATCATTGGCTTCGTCGGCGGTATGTCCAAGGACCAGCCTACCTTCCTCGACTGCTTGAACAATATCTGCACCGTGCGCGGCTTGTTGGTCGGCTCGCGTCTGCAGATGGAGGACATGTGTGCGGCGATTCAGACGAATGACCTGCACCCTGTTGTGGATGAGAAGGTGTTTGATCTTGAGAATCTGAAGGATGCGTACCAGTACATGTGGGACCAGAAGCACTTTGGTAAGCTGACTGTGAAGGTAGCCTCGTGAGGGCAGCAAGGCCGGTAAGAATAGCTTCCGTATAGCATAGCATAGCATAACGAGAAGACTATTCATCACGCTCTGCTTGTTCGAGATCGTGGTGCTGATTGCGTATATTGCGCGTGAAAATATACAGCGTCACCTACGCGGATAGATGTCGGGCTGAGAAATCGCAGTGCTTCAAATCACTATTCATTAACCGCCCTGAAAGCACGACTGACAAATAACTGCCCAACCTCATAAGTCCTAGATGAAGTATTGTCCCAGCAGGCAAACCTGGCTTGGTTGACCTCCTCCATCCACATCACAAGATGGGGAGGTGGATATGGATATACAGGGGCCAGTCAATCAGTCTGTCAGTAAACATAAACACAAGATACCACAAACATATTCATCAACGTTAACCTATATGCTCAATACCCCCTATAATATCAAAGAATATCCAATCCAATTCCCCCCTAATCCGAAAAACAATGTCCGAAAACCCCTGCAACGCCTCCCCCCAAATCCCAAACCCCAAACCCCAAACCCACGACCAAAATCACGCGCCCTCCAGAATATTCCGCGTCAAGTCATTAATCATCTGCATGCCAGCATGCATCTCCTCCCTACTCCCCGTCTTCTGCTTCTTCCTCAACTGCTCCACAACATCCTCCTCATCCTCCTCCCCACGCGCAAGCTTCCCACTCTCCTCCTCCTCAGCGCGCTTGCGCTTCTCGCTGTTCTCCTTAGCGGCCTCGTCTTCGACGGGCCAGAAGCGATGCGGCGCGCCGCCCCTCCCGGAAATCATTTCATCGTCGATTTTGCGCTCATCGCGCTCCTGAGCCGAGAGCGCAGGGAGGTCGTCGAGCGGGAGTTCAAGCGGCGCATCATCCAAGCGGAAGAAGACGCGCTGAACGAACTTCGTGCGCGAGCGCTTGCGACTAAAGCTATACCTGATAGAGCTGAAGGGGAAGTTTCTCGCGAAGAAGCCGTAGTCGCCGCCGTTGTCAGGCACGGTGAGCATATCCCAGCGGGCGTCATGCAGCAGCAGGGGGAGCGCGGTGTGGCCCCAGTCGTCGTAGATGTCGTTTGGGATGTTAGCTGTGAGTTTTTTGAGGTTCTTGAACTGGCTGGCGTAGCGCGCCCAGAAGCGGCGCCAGCCTGTCATTTCGCGCTCCATGAGGGCTTTTTCTGCGCGTGTGGGCCGTTTGGCGGCGCGCATCCAGCCGCTTACGCCGGGGACGTCGACGGGGTATTGGATTGTGAGCTCGTCGACCATGGGCGCGATGTGGGTTAGGTTGAAGGAGGCTTGTGTTGGGAGCACCATTTCGAGCTTGTCGTCGTCGTCGCCGATGAAGGTCTTGTAGTCGCCGAAGTAGAGTGACCCGTCCAGGCCGGAGGACGGACATGTGTTGCTGCGGTCGCCGATGGAGATGCGGATGGGAATGTTCAGGTCGCGGAGGGTGGACACCATTGTTTGTATGCGGGAGAGGACATCTGGCTTGGGAAGGAAGGTTCGGTTGGGTTCGAGATTGGCTGGGAAAACGTCACACATCATCGAGTCCCATGCGAGGATAGGCTTCCAGTCACACTTTTGAGCTAACCAACGCAGCGCTTCCTGGACTCCCTCATTGGCGATCGGGTCGCTTTGTGCTTGGGCGTTGTTTTGAGTGAGCTGCGGGAAGTGATGTCGTCGCTGCATGACATTGACGAGGTGAAACGGGTGTAATGTGATGTTGTGGAGGTCACGGATCGGCTTGATCTTGATGTTAGGGTACTTCTGGCTGATAGTCTGGAGACTCTGTAGTAGATCTTCAAACGAGGCGCCGACTCCTTGAACGACGTCGTTCCCTAGAACCATGTGATCGCGTTTGCAAGTGTCGAAGGTCTTGTCGTCGAACGCTTCCTCCTCGTCGCGATGTGTACTCCCAGCGGTTATGCGGTATGGTATTGGACCGATGACGTCTCGCTCGCGGCGGTCCTCCATCCAAGAATAGAGGCCAATCTCGACATCCGTGAGGCGTGACCATGCTGTGGCGTCGGTCGAGAAGAGCGATCGGTAGGGGGCGTAGTCGTGAACTCTCAGCTTGGTCAGTGTTGATGAACAGTGTTCCTGTACGCCGTCGACGAGACAGCATACGCGCTGGTGAACCTCCCACTCATTCCATGTGCTGAGCCTTGAAATTAGCAATCGCGTTATTATACTTGACGTGTTGTTACTTACTGGAAACCAGAGTAGCGCTCTCGGATGGCAAGCGTTTTGAGTTTTGTGCACGAAGGAAATATCATCTTGGCGATGGACCCGCCATCTCTCCGCCTCGATATACGGTACTTCTGCTTGAAGCGATAGTCGTTGTACGAGTAGCTATACTCGATGCGCGAGTGTGCGGTGTAATCGGCCCAGTTGGCTACCTCCAGCTCCTCGAGGCGAGCAAACAGGTTTGGACAGGCATCCGCCAGCATCTTCCACGTCCAAGTGAGTTCGGGCGTCCAGACAAAGTCCTTGATGGCGGATATGTCCAAGCCCGTCAGCGAGGGCAGGTTCTTTTCTATCCACTGGAAATCGTCGATGCTCGCCCAGTGCGACATGGCCAGCTTGTGCACGTAGTTCCGGTTGGAGTCGTTGATGCTCTCTTTGAAGGCCTCCCACCGTATCATGCCGCTGCCCCTGTACTTCCAGTCGCCCAGCCTGAGGTCGCGCACCTCGTTCAGTTGTATGGGGTAGTTGTACAGCAGCTGGTTCACCGTCTTGCTGGTCGCCATGCCCTTGCACAGCTTCTTCAGGCTCCATGCCGCGTCGCGGTCGAGATAGTCGGTGACGCAGCGGAAGATGTCGTCTGGCAGCCTCAACAGCGGGCACTTCAGATTCTCGGCGGCCTTGGACGTGAGTTCATTCGGGGCGTCAAAGGCGGAGGGGCTGGTGTCGCGACTGTGCATGTGCTCGTGGAAGTAGCCGTCCATGCTGGGCGACGAGGTGTCCGACATGCCAAGGAACGAGAGGAGGCTGAGGGAGGGCTCGAGATTCATGTGGAGGGTGGGAATAGCGGGCGGTACGGTTTGTGGAGAACGAGGTGAAAGCGGGCGCAGGGCTAGGCTGGAGCGCCGGGTGGTGGAGTCACTGCTTCAATTCACGTGCTTGTTGTTTGCTGCTTGCTTGTCTGCTAGAAGAGGAGGTCGGCTGGAAGCACCTGCAGTGCTTGGAGGAACAAGTACCAAGACAGACCGATGCAGTGTATGGCCGTCATGGCACGCGAGAGTGAGGGCTGGAGGTTGCGGAGCATCATCGGCGGTTGACCCATGGAACTCCGCGAGCTGCCCTGGTCGCGCTAGGGCTCACGCTTTCTTTAAACACTCCCCTCCAAAACCTTCCAGCAGCCCGCACAGCCGTCGCACACCCTGCCTCGATCTCTCCGCCCAAGCGCAACACGCAGCCCGCCATGGCCGACGCCCAAGTCTTCGAGGAAACCTTCAGCATCACGTCCATCAACGACGAAAAATACGACCGCGTCTCGCGCATCTACGGCACCTCGCAGGACAACACGCTGACCATGACCCTCGACATCAACCACGAGCTGTTCCCCGTCACCGTCGGCGAGCAGCTGAACATGGTGCTTGCCACCACCCTGAGCCTCGACGGCACAAAGGAGGAGACGAGCTGGCGCAGCGTGAGCAAGTCGGGGACCACGACCCTGGCCGACATGTACGACTATGTGTGCTATGGCAAGAACTACCGCTTCGAGGACGGGGATGGCGATGTCATGTGAGTCTTTCCTGGAGAGAGGGTGCGTGGGCGAGTGACGGAGTGCTAATGGGAGACAGGAAGTACTACGCGAGTTTTGGGGGGCTGCTGCTCTACATCGAGGGTCCCTTCAGGAAGCTCACAGGCCTGAAGATTGACAACATCTACATGCTCCTCAAGCACTCCTGAGCGTATACACGTAGCGCGAACGACGGGGAAAGTTAGCATGAGCGGCGTTTGTTTTTTTGGCGGCATATGTGGTGGCATTAGTGCCATCTGGTCTGGTGTATTTTGGCACGGCGTCCGGATACCCTCAAAAGGAAGTCCCTTGGTCTCCCTCGTTTCCTCATAGTGTAGGAAATTCCAACCTCCTGTGCAATCTCGACACAATCTCAATATAGTCCTTTTCGTTCTCGGCCGTCAATATCCCGTGTCGCAGGAAGAAGTCCAACACGACCATGGCGCAGTTTGGCTTGAACTCGCCCTTCCTCATGGCCTCCTGCACCTCTTCCACCGACCACAGATAAAACTCCTCCACCTCGTCGTCACCCGGTTTGGGGATAACTTCCTCCGGTAGCTCCAGGTCGTAGATGTACTGACACTCCGGCTGCATCAAATTCGTCTCCCCACCTGCCCTCTCGTCGCGAATATACCAATATGTGACCGACCCACTCGCCTTTGCCTTCCCTCTAACCAGCTCTTCCGATAGGGAAGCCTCCTCAGCGCATTCTCTAACCACGCTCTCGAACGGCGACTCTCCAGACGAAATACCGCCCGCTACAGCATTATCCAGCATGCCACCATAAGTCTGCTTGGTGCGCGCGCGCCGAGGTGTCCAGATTTTGAGTTCGCCGTCCGAAGTCCGTGTGTAGGCGTTGAGGTGGACGCCATAAGTAACCACGCCCAGCAGTGGGCTCGCGCTCCTCTCCACATTGAACAACAGCTCTTTATCGCGGCCGTATACAGCGTACAGCTCCCCTCTCCACTTGTCCAGCACTTTGAAGTGCCCTGTCTTCCTCATCGCCAACAGTGTAGTTTCAACAGCTTGAGAGCGCTCCGCTGCTGTACTGCCGCCGGTGAGGGTCAGAATGCGATCCTCGTCGTCCATATCCCAGTTGGGGATTCCGCGGAAGACCTCGGCGACGGAGGGCAGCATGTAGCCCAGTGCATAATCGTGGTCTGATACCCGGAGCTGGTAGTATGTGTTTATGCTCGCGAGGTAGCTGGTGGGGTCCGTTTGGTGGTAGGGGAAGCTGTGCGGTGTTAATTCATCTGTTTGAGGATTTGGGCAGGGGATGGAGTTACCCATCGCATTGGGCTACCAGGTCGAGGTTTGAGAGAACCATTGTGAATTTGCGGATGTGAGTTGGGGGAGGAATGAGTGTAAGGGGAGCTCTCGGAGTTCAGGGACAGCTGCGTCACTAGCTTATGTGAGATTTGGCGGGGCTGGTGGGGGTGAATTGGACATGATCACTTCTGCATCTGTGCAGCCTTGCGATGTCCAGTGTCTAACTTGATTGGATGTACAAGCATCGAAATGGTTGCTCTTGAATATTACGCTTTCAAAGATGTGATTTTCAATCATCAAGTTTTTGTCTAGCATCGCCTACTACTACTACCCCACAATGCTCGTCTCGATTATTCTGGCCTCTTTTCATCACATACAACAATCGCCAGCCCTACTGCTCCCCTACAAGACGCCATGAACAATTGTGAGGATGTGGACAAAGCTCAAGCATATGTCGTTCTCGTGGTCCCCAAACAACATGTCAAAACCATCAAGTCGGCCCTGGAACGCCATAATCTATTTGACAAGACGGGGAGGATCACATCCGACGCAAGAGAAGAATCAACAGCGGTACAAACAAACATCTTGACCGAATCCAATACTCCCACTTCATCATCTGGCGAGACGCGGAATAATGACTCTACCGTGGGGAATTCACCGCAAGAGAGTGGACGATTTATGGAGCAGCGGATGCGCATCCCAACAACCATTCCGTACCCTTTTGTTGGAGATGAACTGGACGAAGTACTAAACCGCCCCGACACATCCTCGTTGAAGCAAAAGATTCTCTCCGAAACAGCGCTCACCCACCTCCACCAAGCCATTTCCATACACTACCACCTATCACCTACCTACAAAACCGCGCCCGCGCAACGAAACCCGGTCATCAAAGCCCTAAAAGAAGCACTAGATGCCCTCCCAGCCAACCTCCTATCCGACATGGACCTCACATCCTCAGCACTCACCTCCTCCTTCCCAGACACCCACTCAATATACAAGCCCATGCTCCTCCTCCCGCAAAAAGCCTTCTCCTCCCCACCATGGACCCTCTTCCAATCCACACACCCCCCCTCAAGCCCAGCCTTCCAATCCCTCCTCGCCCACATAGCAGCCGCAACACACACCACGCACATCGCCCTGCAGTCGCCCATCCCAGACCACCTCCCCACCACCACCACCCCGCAAGAACCCACACACGAAAACATCCTCCGCCGCCCCCAGAACATCGCCCCGGTATACGGTTCCTTCGGCCCCGCGCCAACCCCACACTCCCAATCCACACCAACACACTCCGACTTCGCCGCCGCCCTCTGGGTCTCCACAACACAAAACGGTATCCACCAGACCTGGGCGCCGCGCTACACAATGTTCAGCCGCGGCAACATCCGTGAGAAAACAAGGATTTTGCACCACGCCTCCGTCACGGCTCATAGTAGCAGCGGCGTAACAGCCCTCGACCTCTACGCCGGCATCGGCTACTTCGCATTCAGTTACAAGCGCGGCGGCGGCAGCTCCATCCAGCGGCTTCTATGCTGGGAGCTGAATCCATGGAGCGTCGAGGGTCTGCGGCGCGGCGCGCAGCGCAACGGGTGGTCGAGTCGCGTCGTGACTTCTTCCGATATGCCGGCTTCGCGGGCGGAATGGGAGGGCTTCGCAACACAACTCCAACAAGAAGACGACGATGGTGCGAGGACGGATTTCCTCATCTTCCAAATGCACAACGACACTGCACCGGATATCATTCGGCATCTCCGCTCAGTGCTCCCGCCCGTCCGCCATGTTAATCTGGGTCTTCTGCCGTCGTCGCGGGGGGCGTGGGGCGCGGCGGTGGAGGCGCTGGATAGGGGGGGTGGGGGCTGGATTCGTGCGCATGAGAATGTTGGGGTTGGGGAGCTGGATGTTGTGACGAGGGGGGTGGAGCGCGAGTTTCAGGACTATGCGGATGCGGGTGGAGGTGGAGGTGACGATGGTGATGGTGCGCTGCGACGTCGGGTTAGAGTCGAGCATGTGGAGCGTGTGAAGACGTATGCGCCGGGGGTGCTGCATGTCGTGTTTGATGTGCATGTTGAGGGGACGGGGACGGGGACGGGGACAGGAAAGGAGAATGAGACAGAGAAAGAGAAGTAGAAGCAAGGAGGAAGAAAGACACAAGATGCCATATCAAATACCAGACAAACAGACAAACAGACATATTCCACTCGAAGAGAAACCACATAACATCACATCACAACTCCCATGACACATTCTGTTGAGTTTTAATCTTTTCAATTCAAGCCACCTCTACCAAATATTCATTCCATTGCATTGCACTCCCCACCGCCCAAACAGCACCCTCATATTCTCTGAAAGAAAAAAAGAGAGAAAAAAGCAGGATTGCAATAATACACATTGCCGAGCTTGCTTCGCTCGGTAGACACACGCGAAAAAACAGACTAGGATATAAAGAAGCCAAGCCGGGTATGGACAATAACGTCTCGTTGCTGGCAGACAGGCCTCATTACGCCGATGCGATGCATTGTACGTTACAGCAGTGCGCGAAAAAAAAAGGATCTGACCGTGTACAGACTCTGGAAAGGCGGAAAGCCTGGGAAACAAAACAAACCAAAACAAAACAGGTGGGAGGTATCAAAGTGTTAAAGCAAGGGTAAGAAAAAAAGCGCCTTCCTCATCATCTTCACGATCTCAACGTATCAGCCGGCTTTGCATCGCCGGCAAAGGGCCCAGTCACAAAGTTGGGCGTCGTCTCCGTGTTCTGACTTGGAGGGCCGCGATACTCGGTGGGCGGGGGGGCGAGGATGGGTTCGGTGGCGTTGGTTCCAGGGTGAACTTGAACACCCTGCTGGGATTCGAGGTCTTGTTTCACGGCGTTGCGGCTGAACCTGATCGAGTCGTTTTCGCCATCGCCAATCGAGGGAGACCAACCAGCAACACTTCCTGCGACAATACCAGCCATGACGGCCGCCGGCCCAAAGGCAGAGTTGGAGCGAGACCTGTTGCGACTGCGGCTCTTGGAGTCGGGTGTCGGTGGTGCGCCTTCCTCGACCGTACCATTGTTGGGAGTGCTTGGTGCCGAGAAGCTGGGGCGCGACTTATGGAAGATCTCCTTGGGGTGCTTGACCTTGTATTTGAGGTTGTTAAGGCGTCCGCCACGAACCTTCTTGATGAAGGCAAGCTCGTCCCGAATCTCAAGCATGCTCTGGTTCCATTGGTAGTCGTCGTCGGATAACACAAGCTCTGGGGTGCTCTTCCTCTTGAAGAAGTTGGGAATGCATTTTGCGACGAGCTCGTCAGGAATGAGACGGATAATCACACCAACAGGGAGAGATAGGACACCCAGAACAATGGAGATGCCCCATTGTGTGCCATCAATCCTGACGACAGAGAAGGCTGCACCACCAATGAAAACGATCAAGGTTTGACCACCAATCATGATAGCCAGGATGACAATGAAGAAGATGTTGCGATGTATACCCTCGAAAACGTTGAAGCGATTATCGAGACGACGGTTGTTCAGAGCATTGAAAATCTGCATCCACACAAAGGTATTGAAGACGAGTGTCGACAGAGAATCCCTCTCTTCTTCAGTGTCGTATCCCAGGATAGAGTTGCCAGCGAAGTACAAGATGAGTGTAACCACCAACTGGTAGATAGCTTGCCCGATGATCATCTTCCACATCCTCAATGTGATCAGAGGAGCAGACTTGGGATCCGGCTTCCGGTTGAGAAGGCCTCGTGTGGGTGGATCGGTGGCAAGGGCGAGCGCAGCGAAGGTGTCCATGATGAGGTTGACCCAGAGAAGTTGGACAGCGGTCAAGACGGAGCTTTGGTCCGAGCTAGAAACAGCAGAGATGAAGGTGAGCAAGACAGCGGTGATGTTGACTGTGATCTGGAACTGCAAGAACTTCTTGACGGCGTCGTTCACAGCACGGCCCCAAAGCAGAGCCTTGACGATAGAGGCGAAGTTGTCATCCATAAGAATGATAGCGGATGCTTCCTTAGCGACCTCTGTTCCAGCAATGCCCATAGAGAAACCAACATCGGCGGTCTTGAGCGCTGGAGCGTCGTTTGTTCCATCACCAGTCACCGCAACAGTCTCGCCCAACTCTTTTAGACGCTTGACGAGCCTACGCTTGTCCTCAGGGCTGGAACGGGCAAGAACACAGAGCTTAGGGATGACAGCATCCATGTCCCTCTTAGATAGCTTGCGGAAGACGGGGCCTTCCATGACAACACCGCCGGGAACGAGAATTCCACAGTCTTCAGCAATGGCCTTTGCAGTAAGAACGTTGTCACCAGTCACCATTCGAACGTATACACCGGCACCCTGGCAGTCCTTGACGGCTTCACGGACACTAGGTCGAAGCGGGTCCTGGATACCAACGATAGCGAGGAAGGTCATGTTTGCGAAAACTCGTTCGAAGATGGCTTGGCTTGGGTCTTCCTCGTTGCGTGCTGCTGCAGGGGGCCAGCTCTCGAAGTCGCGATAAATTAGGCCAATGGTTCGGAGGGAGCGCGAGGCGTATGTGGTAATGACGTGTTCGAGTGCTTCGCGGTTATCCCCAGTCAAAGGAGCCTCAGTCAACTGCTTCGCCGCGTCGGTGACAATCTTGTCGCACTTGCCTAGAAGGATCTCGGACGCTCCCTTAACGTACATTCGATAGTGGCCATTGTCGAGTTTCGCAACAACTGCTGAGCACTTGATCGCTGAATCGAAGGGCACGACCTGGACGATATTGGCGTTTGAGCGCTCTTGGGTAAGATTGCCCATGCCCATGTGATCGCGTGCAAATCCAAGGAGAGCGGTTTCCGTTTTGGAGCCAATGAAAGGGTCGGGCCCTCCATCCTGGCCCTCGAAGGCTGTCGTGTTCTGGATGATGGACTGTTCAAGAACATATTTCACGTCTTTGCTGAGGGTTGATACGAATTCTGGCGCGGACACATCGTTGGGACCATCAACAGGCGACTCTACAGTAGCCTTGTCGTTAGTGACATCGCCCTGTGCTGTTTCAGAAACTTTGAGCTTGTGATCACCGAAGCGAAGAGCAGTTCCCAGAGAGCCGGCCACAACAGTCATCTTGTTTTGAGTAAGTGTACCAGTTTTGTCGGAGCAGATGGTAGTTGCGTTGCCCATGGTTTCGCAGGATCGGAGTAATCGAACGAGGTTGTTGTCCTTCAGCATTTGTGTGGTAGCAAAGGCCAGGGCAAGCGTGACAGCAAGAGGTAAACCTTCAGGAACGGCAACGACAATGACCGTGATGGCGACGATAAGAATGTCCAGGAAGTTCTGGCCCTTCTGCGCCGGGGTATCACTGCTGCCCTTGAGCGCTACAAGGAACTCAATGAACAAGACGATGAAGAGCAACAAGGCAGCTGCTCCACCGAGCTTGGCGATTTGTGTTGCAAGAACGTTCAGCTTGGCCTGCAGAGGAGTGACCTCGCTTTCCTCGCGAAGAGACATCATTGTCTTGCCGAAGCTCGAGTGGACTCCAGTAGCGGTAACCATGAATGTTCCTACACCCTCTGAGACCTTCGCACCAGAGAGAATGAACGGGTCGACCTTCCTCAGATTTCGGTGCTCCTCGATGGCGCGGAAAGCCTCGTCTCCTGGCATCTTCTTGAGCAGATCAGATTCACCAGTAGCAGAAGATTCGTCGCACTTGATGCCGTGGCCCTGGATCAGGATACCATCAACGGGAATCATGTCTCCGGCCTCCAGATTGACAACGTCTCCAACAAAGATATCATAAACAGAGATCTCTCGGATTTGGCCAGAGCGCATCACCTTGATGTAGCGATCTTGCTTTTTCTGATTCAGCTTGACGAATTGTCGCTCCTTTTGCCAATCATTGGCGGCACCGACGACGACAACGATAGCAATAGCGACGATAATAGCAACACCCTCGACCCATTCAACCTTTGGCGTGCCAGGTTCATGTTCACCACCAAACGTTTGGTAGAGACCAAGAGCAAGTGAGATAACGGCGGCTCCGGTAAGGAGCAAGAGAACCTTGTCGTTGTAGGCTATCCATGCGAGCTGGAAGATGTTCTTAGGCTTTCGAACGGGTAGACGGTTGTCGCTGAAGACGCGCTTACGGTCGGCAAAAGAATCCGGTCCACTCGGCGCAGCACCGGTACCCGTAGCCCCGTAGACTTCAGCCTTGGAGGGGTTTTGAGAAGCAGTTGGGAGAGTCGCCTCCTCGAACGTGACAGTACCATCGAGATGATGTTCGTCGACGCTCAAACCAGCTTTTCTATCGGTTCTCAGACCCTTTTCTAGACCGTCTAACCCACCCATAGCGTGGAAGGCTCCTAAGCTTTTAGGGTTGTACAGTTTGCCCAGCTGTCCAGGGGAGAAGGCGAACTTGTTGTTCTCGACGGCAAAATCCGCTTCTGTCCCTGGATCGGGCACAAGCGCTTGATCGTCGCTTAGAATATCTGAAGGACCTTGATCCCCCCTTATTGTCTCGCCTTGAGAGGAGGGGATAGTAGCCTCGCCATTCTCAGTGGACGAGTCCATGGAGTTGCCGCGAGATCGCGAACCCGGAACTGAAAGAAAAGTTTGTCCGTTATTCCATGGCGCGGAAACATTATGGGGCGACGTCGCTTTGATGTCCTTGTTTTCGAACGAGGCTGTGTTGCGCGCGTCCAACGGCGACTGATTAGGTGAGATGTTGTTATCGGCATTGAGTTGTGTGTTTATTCTATTGTTTTGTAGGTCGCCTAGGGGGGCAGATTCACCCATGTTCGTGTCGTTGGGATTAACAGCGGACGTGTCGATGGTTATGGTAGGAGCCCTTTGGCGTCGAGGACCCGGCGACACGTCTCGCGAGGAGTTGTCGTAATTAGCCATGATGGTAGCCTTGTGTAAGCCCTAGGCTGATGTTGGGGGCTGTGAAGTAGGCTGAGTACTGAGTATGCAGGCGGAAGAATGGGGAGTAAGGCGCTCTGCCGGTGAACTACAAACAAGACTGCATGCGGATGTGCAGAGAGTTTATTCAACGCGAAGGCAAATCGGTGGTCGGTGGTTACGCGTTGTTCCGCAGTCAGAAGTAGCAGCGGACTCTTGGTACAGGTAGAAGACTAAGGCTAGAGCCACCGAAAGGTCAGCGTACACATTCACTCGTCCAGTGTGTTGGCTTCGCACAGCCACAACAAACCAAGCTGAAGGCGTGCGCGTGTCTATGGTCTGCTATGGTGAACCGGAGAAGGCGAGAGCTTACCGTGGGTGTAGAATTGCTTGGGAGATGGCGAAAAGCCCGTATGAAGCTGGGCAACAGCCTAGTTTGTGCGTGTGAGCGAGGCTGTGTCGGGCGCAGCTCAAGGGGTGGAGAGCTTGGAGTGAGTTGAAGGAGTGGATATAGCAAGATCAACATGCACGCAAGGACTTCAAATTGGCGTCCAGAATCAAGCAGGCATTCCGGATTAACATAAAGGAAAGTGAATTCGCAGGGAGAGCCAGCGCGCCGTCCTGGCGATCGTGTAGCGGACTTGCACTGCCCCCTCCTGGGCATCGCCTGGGCGTTGAGCTTCCACAATCGCGTAGCCCGATGCAGCCTAGCTAGCCTGACCAACTTGAGCACCCAAGAAACAATCACGGCATTGAAACTTCGCTGACGTTTTGTCCTAGGAGTCCATGTCTGTGAACATGTTCTTCTCGTCGACATTGCATGTGCAGACATTCAGCGACCAGCAGCTTGCCATGTGTCGCCCGTAGCAACAGCAGGTATACCCAGGTTATGCACGCTAAATGAGTGGTCTCCGCGCGGCCAGTTAGATGAAAGCCAAGCATGCGCCGTCTCCGGGCGCTGGAAACTCGCCAATATTCTCTCCGCCTTCTTATTGCTCCTTTCACAGACAACGACAGGAGAATATGGTGTTTGTATTGGTTGGAGCTGGTTGGGAATTGGGGAAGTTGTCTGAGTATTGTTCTTTGCCGCCAGCACAGCCTCAGACGGTGTCCCTGGGCAGCAGGATCCCCATTCGTGTTATATATCCACTTGCCGCCGGCGGTTGAACGTCCAGTCACTTCCAGTCTCGAGCCGACCAACAAAGGCCTAAAGATCGAAGAACAATACCTAAGCCAAGCAGTACAGCAACCTTGAATCCAGCCAAGCTCAGAAATTGGCACCGGCGAACTTTCCTAGGAAGGCATGATAACGTGCGTAAGAGGCGCCGAGGAGCTGCCCACAAGAAACTCATTCTCCTCGACTATGATTCATGCAACGATGCTGCCATGCTTCTTGGTACGCAACACAGCCTTCGAGTCGTTACGATTGCAAAGTTTGCGTGGCGGGACATGATAGCATTGGAAGGAAAGATCACAAACGCAGCGGGTATTGAGCTTCGTATTAGACATTTTGTGCTGACGGGCTGATCCAGGCAATTAACACACGCGTCATTCAATCTGCGACTGCTCGATGGCCAAGGTTTTGGGGTCAAGCCTTGAGTCTCCGAGTTTGACATGGCTTCATGCTTGCAGTACAATCGATCACAGACTGTGCCCAGATGACCTTGTCTTTGACCCTGGCCAATCCAGTTCGTCGAACCGCAACGCTTGCGGAACATACTTCTTGGCTGCCATCAGAGCTTGTGTCACTTCGCATCCTTCCCGACCAGAAGTGTTGTCAAAGTACTTCACCGCCTCGATGCTTTTTGGCGGTTGGGCCGGAGAAGGCCGCCAGTCGTGATGTCTTGGGATTCATTTACTTTCACTGACACGTAGTAGCAAATCCCTTTCGCTGGCACACAGGATACGTGGATTTTCAATGTTAAAAATACAAGTATACTATTACTAGGCATTTGTAAATCTAGCGCTATGAGCGTTACTGAGTTGCTCAGCCTTGGAACCTTCTCCACTATCTGGTCTCGCCAATAATTCTCTCCCCTCTTGTCCTTCTATTCTGGCTACATCAAATAATTGAGACACAGCGGGGCGGCGGCTGCTTCAGTAGCTTATGAACAGGGAGAAGATGCTCTCTCAAGCTTGAATATTGTTCTCTTTCTTCATTATCAAGACCTGGGCCAGCGTCTGCGCTAGACTATAGCATGATACCCAGCTGGTAAACATAGTGGAATAAAAATACACTAATTTTAGTCTTAGGTGTAGATTGATTCAACGAAGACTTCTAATCTAGCCACAAAGACAGAAGTAGGACGTTCCTGAAATTCCCCAGGGCCGCCACTTACAAAGAACGAATAGAAAAAAGCAACAACCTATCCCAAGACCTTCAAGCAGACCAATGTTCGTAAACTGCGCCACACCTCGATACCGGACTGCGATTCATCCGCTCGCCACTCCCTCTTTCCAACAACTCGTGTAACCATATCACAAACACCAGATCATTCACATGCAAATCACACAGTTAATACCTACAACACGCCACACATCCCATCCGAACACGGTAATTTTCCTTGTACGCTAGCCTATGCGCCTAAGCTTCGGCTAGCACAGCCCCATCTCGCAACACCAGCCAAAAACCAAAATCAACTACCCGTTCAACTGCCTTGACGAGACGAGTTTCCGCTCTTGGCCGCCACCGCAACTCATCATAGATATTCGTACCTGCTTCATTTGGCCTCTGGATGTTCATAGAATGCGTTCTTAGCATCGAGGCTGTGTGCAGGAAACGAAACGACCCACAGGGGACAATGCGTCAACGTTGCGGTAGGATCCGGCGACGGGATGTACCGAGCGTTTCTGGGTGGGTACTGGTGGAGAAAGGTTGGAGGATGAGGGGGTTGAGTGAGGGGGTGGATGGTAGTGTACCGAGAAATGTGGAGAATACAACTGGCAAGATGTTTTGAGTGTGAAACGTCGATATACCAAACGGCCTGGAACTGAAGGTGAGACATATATGTGATTTGCCGAATGGGGATTCTACATGCGCTCAGGTACAGGGTTTGGCTTTGGGTTTGAGGCTGCGGGGTTTGGTGTTGGGTGGAGCGAGTATCTCGCGATGTACGTGCTTGATTAAACTTCATAGATTATGTGGATGTGTACTCTCGTTTGATCGAGAATCGGCAAGGGCAGGCCGCTCAGGGGAACAAGCGTAGAGTTTTTTTCTGATAGAAATGGCATTTCGAACATGCCATACACAGCATCTTTGATTTTTTTCTACCATTTCACGTCTACCCATCAACTCCACAAGAAGGACCAATCACCTAAAAGTTCTAGACAACACAGCTCAAGCCAACCACATTTTGCCATGAGATCTTCACACCACACACCAAACATTTCCCATCAGGATCATCCTCCCAACAGTCCTTGCACAGCCTCCCCGAAAAATCTCGCTGCGTGTCAACGAACCAGAACATTCCATTACCCTTTCCATCACACCTCGCATCCATGCTTACTACCACAGCACAGCCTCGCCGCCCCTATCCGCGTAGATACCACTACCTCCAACCCAATCAGATCTAACCCTTACTCCACATCCTCAACATCATCTTCCCGTTCTTTTTTCTTCAAATGCGGTAGCTCGATCAAGAGTGTCAACACATTGACGATGATGAAACATGCAATAGCCGAGATGAAAACGATTCGCAGACTCTGGCTGTATGCCTCGATGACTATGTGGGACGTGTTAGCGTCCGGGCTGTGTAGAGATTTGAACTATCGGGAAACTACGTATTGCGAAGGCGGGTATATTGGTAGCGGGATATGATGGGAGGGTAGTGCTAGGTTACCTTGGCTTTGGTGTTTGGGATCTAGATTGATGATGCTTCGCACTGATTTGCGGACGCGGAGGATGATCTGACGGACGCGTGTTAGCTGTGGATGGCAGTTGTAGAGTGATGACGGTGTGATAAGATGCTGCGGCGAGATGACAAGAAGGCAGATTGGGAGGCGGATCTTAGAGTCAGAGGGAATGAAGCCTAGGCTCACTGCTGATCTTGGGTGAACAAGATCTTGAGTTACTCAAGGCAGTGCAAGGTAGTACCAGGTGATCTGGCTGTGTGATCGTACTACGTACCTCTTCTTTATGGTGACCGGTAACAAGGCGCTCCAGATACGCAGTCAGGGCGTTCTGCAAAATCAGACTGCTGAACGAGACGCCCATCACGATGCCCAAACTGCGCCACAGTACCAGTGTACTCGACATGGCAGCCTGGTCTTCTTGTGAACTTGTCGCAAGCACGGCAAGGGATGTAGCAGGGAAAGAAAGACCTTGTCCAATGCTCGATGGGACGAGGAAGATCGTTGCGAGCCAGATGGGTATGGAGCTCCATATCGACGATAGACACACTGCTCCAATGAGCATGCAGAAGGATCCAAGGACGATAAGCCACTTCATGCGTCCTGTTGCTGTCATGATGAAGCCTGCTGATACTCCGCAGATTGTCAGGGCAACTGAAGGTCCTGCTAGGCGGAACCCAGACATAGATGCGGATTCCAGCTTCACAGCTTGGAAGTATAGGGGCGCGTTGAAGAGGATAGTGTTCAGACCGACTTGCGCGAAGAAGTTGTTGAAAACGAGGTTACCTCGTGGTTTACTGAATAGCATGGGGAGTGGCATGACGGGTCTTTGAGCTCGCGACTCAACCCGAATGAGAGTTGCTCCCGCAATGACGGCAAGAACCAATGATACGATGACAATTGGATGAGTCCATGGGTAGATGTTCCCTCCCAGATTGAGTCCTAAGATCAGAAACGCAACTGATCCCGTCAGCAGATAAGAGCCAGCGACGTCGAAGCCTTTCATAGCATCACGGATGCCCAACCCGGACCGCTTTGCCAGGTTTGGTCCTAGTGAGGAGGGTGTAGAGAAGATGGCGTTGATGAAGAGAGCGACGAGGATCGGGATTTGGATAGCAAATGTCATTCGCCATCCGATTTTATCACAAAGAAACCCGCCAAAGGCAGCGCCGCAGGCTGATCCGCCGCCGTAGAAAAGGTTGCTGTACGCCGTTAATCAAAGTCTCACACAGCATTTGAACGTGCCTGCTCACATGTATGCTTGGTATGTACCTCGAACTTCGATACTGACAAGGTCGTTGGTCATTACATTGCCTTGACGCAATTAGTATATTGTTTTTGGAGACAGACGACGGAAGGGACGTGATTCTCCTTTTGAGATCAGACTTGGTATACATGCGCTCAACTTGTATTTCTTTTGCGTTAAATTCTCGAAATTTTCAGTCCTTTTTGTTTTGAAGAAAAGAACTCGACTCACCCATCGACAGTACACCGGCCGCACCAATGCCACAGAAAGCTCTTGCAGCAATAAAACTTCCAATGCTTTGCGCAAATGCACACCAGGCTGTGGTCGCTGCCAGAATTACCAGGCCAATAAGGTATAATGGCCGACGTCCAATGGTATCTGACAGCCGACCCATGAACGGTTGGAGCGATGTGGAGGTGAGTAGGAAAGCTGTCGACAACCAGGACGCCGAGTTTGAAGCATGAAAATAAGATGTGATTACAGGATGACTTGATGCCATGAGCGTGGAATCGAACATTGCAATCTACACCATGTCAGTGGCCGTCAGAAGTAGATAATCCCCTGCAAAACATGAGAAAACTTCGACTCACGAAATATCCCATCAAAATTCCCCCAAACACACATCTGAACTTCCACTTCGAAACCCCCTCAATTAGTCCATTCTCTTGAAACTTTACAAGATCTCCTGGCTCTGGTCGCGCGGCCTCATCCGACGCGGGCCAATGACCGTGCGATAAACTCCGCGTCTTCTTCACCGCTGGAAATTGAGGTGCACCACCCTCCCCCTGCTGTGCTACTTCTGCTGCTCTTACGTCGCCATTACGGATGACTGTGTCATTGCTTGATGAGGCTGGCTCGAGAAGGGGTGTCCGCTCGGAAGGCTGCGAAGAACGACCGTTTACGCCTGCGGGCGACGGCATAACAATGTAGAGATAGAAACTACCAACTCAACTACTTCTACGCGAAGAAATACAAACTAGAACAATATTTGAGAGCTCACGACGATCTTCAAGTGTCATGGCAAGAATCCAAACCCTCCAGGGCTGAAAGTTTGCCTAGGATCATGTCCTCCATACCCATTCCCGTTAGACCTCCCGCCGCCGTTATCAAAAGCAAGCCTCTCATGCACGAGTTGCAGTTTCACAACAGCAACAGCACAAATCTCAGAACATTATGGTTTCCAAGCCTCTACGAATAGCCATTCTCGAATGTGATACTCCGCCAGCGGATGTTGTCGCAAAATATGGTCGCTATGATCGTATCTTCACAACGCTGCTGGAGACGGCCGCAGAGCAGATAGGCTTATCTCCGAAGCAGGACTTGAAGTTGAGTGCGTATGACGTGGTGACGAAGATGGAGTATCCGAGTTTGGAGGACGTGGATGGAGTGTTGATTTCTGGGTCGAGTATGTTGTCACATTTCTTTCGTGTTGAGTATTGATAATTCAGTATCAGGAGTGGGGTGCTGATCGAATTCGTAGAGCACAATTCCTTCGACAACGATCCATGGATCTTGAAACTTGTCGACTTCACAAAGAAGCTGCTCGAACATGACCGCGTCAGGATAGTTGGTGTGTGTTTCGGGCACCAGATTTTGGGGAGGGCTGCGGGTGCCAAGGTGGGACGGAGTGATGATGGGTGGGAGATTTCGGTGCTACCTGTCGAGCTCACGGCGAAAGGGAAGGAGGTTTTTGGGCAAGATAAGCTTGTGAGCCTCACTCCTTACAACAACCTCTCCACGTGCAACAACGCTCAATACTAATCATCAACACTGTTGTAGTCCATCCACCAAATGCACAAAGACATCGTCTTCTCTTACCCTCCAGACGTGGAGCCACTCGGCGGATCTCCGCGCTGTCTTGTGCAGAGCATGTATAAAAAAGGCAAGCTTATTTCCGTGCAAGGGCACCCAGAGTTCACAGAGGCGATTGTGAGCTATTTGGTCAAGATGCGGAACGAGCAGGGTATCTTCAACGACGAGCAGGCGAGAGATGCACTGGAGAGGGTGGGGAACGCGCATGATGGTGTGGTCATTGCAAAGGCGTTTCTAAGATTCTTGATGGAAGAATGAGAAGTCAAATGTGGTATTCTCGAGGATGACAAACGGCCGAGCGATTGCATGAAACACTGTTTCAAACGCCGATGGCGACACCTAGAGTACGTGCGTGATTGGTCGGTACCAAAGCGTGTTACAGAATCGAAGTCACTTGAGCTTCAATGCGATGGACACTCTGGGACCGCCCTGTTTAGCACGTGAAGATGAAGTCATTGCAGAAGGATCACACCCCTACACATTTACAGCACGCGACATCATCAATCAGTCAGACACTGGACGCAGGTTATGCGGCAGAAATAGCGGGATGGGAGATAGATGGCGCAATACGAAATACCCAGATGTCACTCCGTATTGCGGGATTCTAAATTTGGACGTGGGGTGGGCGATGAGGTATTGAATATTGAATTCCCACAGCTTTCGCAGAGCGAGTCGGCTCAGCAGGCCGTTGACAGGAGCTGAGTCTAAATACTTCAAGGACTGGGTCGGAAGTAAATGACCACACGGTAGCAACGGCAACCCCTAGTCCCTCCACCATCGTGCCTTGGTTCGTGGACGTTGAAGCGTGGGGTGCGCCACTAGTGTGTCGGGTCGGAGAGCAATATGCCTTCAGAAGGTCAACCAAAAGTCATCGGCTCCCCGACAATCACGTCGCCCTGTCAATCGCTTACTCCGCCTCTCTTTTTCAAGTTTCAATCGTTGCCGCATACATCGCCTTTCGACTTAACACCTTCTAATATTTACTGCTGTTGTTGCTGCATGCACAGTTGTTAGCAGCTGTCTGGACCCTTGTCATTCTTCATGGGAAAGTGTACGCAATCACCTCCGCTCGACTGTCAGCCCCGCTCTACGTGCTAGATACTGACGAGACTTGGCATATAGGGAGATATGGCGTTGTTCTGGATGCTGGGTCCTCTGTGAGTACTCAGACATTGCCACATGGTTGTCGCAGGGCTGTAGCTGACCAGCTGAAAGGGGACGCGCGTCTATATCTACCGCTGGCTGAACAGCGACACGGCGCGCAAGCAAGCGACCGACGCGCAACTGCACACTCTGCCTGTTATAGAGACAGACAAGAAGTGGACCAAAAAGATTCATCCAGGTGCGCAGGCCAGATCATGTTGCGATGCGCAAGTTGGGCTAACACGAGGTTGCGCAGGTATCTCGACTTTTGGCGAACACCCTCACGATGTCGGTCGTGACCACCTCGACAAGCTCCTCAGCCATGCGCTCAAGAAGATCCCACAACAGGATGTCCCGAACACGCCACTTTTCCTGCTTGCGACAGCGGGCATGCGAATACTGCCTGACGGTCAGCGGAAGGCTGTGCTAAAGGAGGTGTGCGACTATGCGAAAACAAACACAAAATTCCAGCTGCCGGATTGCGATGTACATATTCAGGTCATACCAGGAGAGACGGAAGGACTGTATGGTTGGATTGCGGCGAATTATCTGCTCGGCGGATTCGACCAACCGGAAAAACACGACCATGGCAAGGGGCACAATACGTATGGATTTCTGGATATGGGAGGTGCATCGGCACAGATTGCTTTTGCGCCAAACGTGACGGAAGCAGAGAAGCATGCGAACGACCTAACGCTGTTGCGATTACGAACGGTCGATGGGACACCCTTGGAGCACAAGGTCTTCGTTACAACGTGGCTGGGATTTGGCGTCAACCAGGCAAGGCAGCGATATGTCAAGGCACTTCTAGCTTCTAGCTCGTCGAAAGAGCTACCGGATCCCTGTTTACCCGCTGGTCTGAAGGTCGAGGTCACAAAAGAAGGCAAATTCATCCAGCTGGACACGGATGACGAGGACGACGAGGCGCAGGAGGCTGCAGCGGAACTGCTCGGGACTGGGAAGTTCGCAGAGTGTATGCATCAGACGTACCCTTTGTTGGAGAAAGACAAGGAATGCACGGATGCACCATGTCTGCTGAACGGGCAGCATGTGCCGGCGATCGACTTTGACGTAAACCATTTTGTGGGCGTATCTGAGTACTGGCATACAACGCATGAGATCTTCGAGAAGGGCCACAAGGACAAGGCGTACGACTTCACGACGTACCAAAAACGAGTAGAGGAATTCTGCAGTCAAGACTGGAAGGCTATTGAGAAGGGGATCAAGAAAGATAAATGGAGCGGCAAGATGGACAAGGAAAAGGCACGCGAGGTCTGCTTCAAGGCATCATGGATCATCAACATGCTACATGATGGTATTGGAGTCCCGCGGGTGGGCATCGAACCTCTACCCGACAGCAAGAACTTGACGGAGGAGGTTGTTGACAACGCAAAAGAGAAGGGCTTTCTCGACCCTTTCCAGGCAGTCAACAAGATCAACGACGTCGAGGTGAGCTGGACACTCGGGAAAATGGTCCTCTACGCGTCCAGCGAGATCCCACCACCCTCCGAGAAAGCTCTTGCTGTGGGATTCGGCTCCAACGTCGCCGGTATCCCATCAGACTTCCAGTACCCCGGTGGCGCCTACCTTCCACATTCCGCTCAAGACGACGAAAGCGTCTGGCACCGTCTTTTCATCAAGAACCCCAGCCGCATCCCCGCCTTCTTCATCATGGTCTTCATCATGTTCTTCATCATGGGCATCATACTAGGCCGCGAGCGTCGGGCCTCAGTACGCAAAACCATCAGCGCGCTCTTCACAAAGAAACCCGGAAAAACGGCGCCTCAACACCGCCGGCGCCGCGGCTTCCCAGGAAAACTCTTCGGCCTCGGTTCCTCCTCCTCCTCGGCGCCCACATACGAGCGAGTCGATCTCGAAGACGGCACTGCAGATCCCAACACGTTCGAGCTCGACGAACAGTATGTTGATTCCTCGGACAACGAGTTCTCCGACTCGTCTGAGGGGTCGAAGATTGGCCTCACGTCTGGCTGGGCGACGCCGCAGATCAAGGAACCGGTGGGCACGCAGGGGTACTTTGGTACTGCGGATGTGCTGAGTGCGGGGGCTGGGTTGGGACTGAGACCTGGTGGATTGCTGTCCAGGACTGATAGTCGGGAGAGGATTAGGAGTCGGGCGAGTAGCCCGAAGAGACTGAATACTTTGCATAAGCTGGATGAGTAAGGTCTGATTAAGGGCGTTTTGTACGGGTGTTTTGTTGAGCATTTGGAAGTGGAGTTGGCGTTTTCTCTGGGTGTGGGTTGTCGTTTGGGATTGGAATGGGGATTATGATGGGGATGAGGATAATGTGTTTTCAGCGTTGCAGAGGTGTGGGTTCGAGTTTGTCCTTGTGCTTGGAGATGTGAATCCTGCACGATTACTTGTGTATACAATCAAGTACACCAAGTTGCTCCTCGTCTAGAATCTGTGAATTGACCGTTGCTTAACGCGTACTTTTCTAGTGATAGACAATCATAAACATCTTGAACCCACAAGCCCATCCAGAGGCGACCGAATCGATAGGAAGCACCGTCACGTGCCATCGAGCTTAGCGTGACTCTCCAAACTTGGCGTCGAAGATCGGAAGCTCTCGAAGCTCCAACTTCCGACTTGTACCTGCATTCGCCCACCCAACCACCAACGCACCACCACAGTACAATTACAGTTACAGTCGTTCCCCCCAAAGTCGCCCAACATGGCAGACAAGATGGAGGGTGTAGTCATGGGCGGAGGAGGAGGCGGGCTAGTCGATCCCAGCAAATACCCCGTACCGATCGAAACGTAAGTTTGTAGAAATTCGCAACGGTAGGTCGGAACCTGAAAAGCTAATGAGACTTCTATGAAGAATATACGTTGGTTGACCCCTTTGCACACATTGCACTTTCAGTGGCGGGGTGGTTTTGCTAAATAGTCATAGGTTAATAACCTCGAGGAGCGCGTTAAGATCGATACTATCAAGGAGGCGCTTACGCGGGTTTTCAAGCACTATGGACCGATTCTGGATGTCATTGCGAAGAGCAGTCTGAAGCGAAAGGGCCAGGCGTTTATCGTGTTTGATAGCGAGCAGTCTGCGCTCGAGGCGGTCGAGGAGATGAATGGGTTTGAGATGTACGGCAAGGTGTTGAAGGTGCGCAAGGCGAGGACGCACAGCGACGAGACGGTCAAGCGGAAAGCGGCCGACATGTTCGACGAGCATAAGCGCAAGCGCCTCATGTCCAAGGGTACGCTCTTTCTCACGCGGATATTCGTTACTCGTACTGACTTCACACCCCCAGACTTCAAGCGCGCAGAGGAAGACGCAAAAGCGCAAGCCAACCCCGTCGCAGCCGAGAAGCCCCGCGCACCAAAGTCCGGCGCCGCCGTCGTCCCAGACGAATACGTCCGCCCGAACAAGACGCTCTTCCTGCAGAATATCCCCCGCGACGTCGACGAAGACGACCTCACCACCATCTTCGAGCGCTTCGAAGGCTTCAAGGAAGTGCGCCTGGTGTCGGTCAGGGCCGTGGCGTTTGCCGAGTTCGAAAACGAGCAGTTTGCCATTACGGCGAAGGAGGCGACGGCCAACACGCCAATCGGAGCTGAGGGCAAGCCAATGAAGGTCACGTACCAGCGGCAGTAGGTTTTATTGCATTGTGGACTATGACGTTTTTTTATGATACCTTTTGTTTTGCGATTATGATATCGACTGCTGCTATCAACTTCGCCTGTTTTGACGCGTTCTGTGAAGTATTTTCTCATCTTTCAATCTAGGGAGGTTCTGTCTGCGCCTACGCCTGTCGCGCATGCACATCCTTGGATCCCCGATTACGATAGATCAGTTGAGAACGTCAGACAAGAGCAGTTTGCGTATTACTCGACTGGCTACAAAAGCAACAACCCCTACGCCCGGCCTTTCTGACCGACATCGACAGGCCTCAGAAGATGACGTCTTCGTTGTCCTTGTCCCCGAGCAGATCCTCGCTCTCGGCTGCGTCCTTGGCTGGAGCACTTTCCCCCTTCTCGTGCTCGGCCTCTTGGGCTGCCTCTCTGGCTGCATCTTCGGCGGCGGCATCCCTTTGCTTCTTACCAGACACCTTTTTCAGGCGGTAGAATTCCTCGCGGTCAAGTTCGTCCAGCTCCGAGTTGATGTACTTGATCGTATTCTCTGTGCGGGGGATGATGACATGCTCACTGTGGGGTGTTAGCTCAGACCTGGTAGCTAGCTACAATACACGGAATATACCCACATGGCGTTGACACGGCGATTGACCACCTTGATGACCTCATCTAATATGACAAAGGCAGTCTGCAGACTGGCCAGCTCGACCAGCGTCTCTACGGCTCGCGCATACGTTTCTCTGCACCTCTGCACCTGCTGTCCTCCCTTGCCCAGGCCCGTCAAGGCGAAGTCGTTGCTTTCGGCCGTGAAGCATTCGAACTGAGGGAGGAGCACACCGGAGACGTTCTCCTGCTTGGTGCGCACGCGGAAGCGCGCCTGCTTGACCGACTCCTGGATCTGGTAGCCAATGTCGCCGCCGACGGCGTATGTGACTTCGGCGAGAGAGAAGGCCGCGACCTGCATGACCCGGCCCATCTTGCGCTTGGCCTCGTCGATGCGGCGTGTGATTTCTAGACGCACACGTTAGTGAGTGCCGTGGGTGGGGATTGCAGCGGGATATGTCGCACCTCGAAAACGCCTGCCAGCCAGTTAGCATGGCTTGGATAGATAATGTTGATGTGGGTGAAATGCATACTTTGTCAGGGCCTCGCTCTTCCGCTTCAGCAGGTCGTGGCCTGTCTGGGCGCCCTTGAGCTTGCCCTTCATCAGCGACAGCGATTGCCGCGTCGCAAAGACTGCTTCTCGAGCCTGGTGCGAGGGTCAGTATGGGCCGTCGCATGGATGACATAGATGGCGCCGGGCGCGAAACGTACCCCGCTGCCGGACATGACTGCAGACGACGACGATGACGACGAGTGGGCGGGTGGGGTGTCAAGGGGTGCACAAGGCAGTAGGCGCTGATGGGGGTGGTGCGAGGGTCGAGTGAGCGGGCTGGTGAATGCGGCGGAAACGTGACGACAGCTCTGGGAGCTCTCCTGCTCGATACCAGTAGTGGCTCAGTGGGTCTGGCTAGCGCGGGTGCCAACACTGGCGGGTGGAGCGGTGCCGTCGTGTTGCCGGGCGGTGATTTGCCCTGGACGGCGCTCAGACCGCGTCTCGAGAAGTTTACCGCAGCACGACGGCCCTCCCTCGTCGCCGTCGACCAGCCCTCACGCCCCCATCGCACGCCCGCTCCCACCGCGCCCCTGCCCACCCGGGGCCGCCACACGCCTTGCTCCGGCGACACCATGCCCGGCGAACTGATCCGCAACCCGGCCGCCAGCGTCCAGCGGCCCAGCAAGCGCAAGATGCCGCGCCCGAGCGACCACCTCTTCCTCGTCACCGACCACGACGTCGCGTACGAGCAGGACATCCAGCGCAACCCCGGCAGCGTCAAGCCGTGGCTGGACTACTACAGCTTCAAGAAGTCACGTGGCACCGTGGTCGAGCTGGCGTTTGTGCTGGAGCGCGCCGTCAACACGCTGCCGCGCTCGTACAAGCTGTGGAAGCTGTACCTGGAGCTGCGCACGCGGCACGTCGGCAGCAAGAACCCCGCCAAGTTCAAGCCGCAGTATGTAAAGGTCAACGCCCTGTTCGAGCGCGCCCTCGTGCTGCTCAACAAGATGCCGCGCATCTGGGAGATGTACCTCGACTTCCTCATGCAGCAGCCGCTCATCTCCACCACGCGCCGCACCTTCGACCGCGCCCTGCGCGCCCTGCCCCTCACCCAGCACAACCGCGTCTGGCTGCTGTACCGCCCCTTTGCCCTGTCCGCCTCGGGCGAGACGGCCGTCCGCATCTGGCGCCGCTACGTCCAGATCCACCCCGAGGACGCCGAGGACTTCATCGCCCTGCTCAAGGACATGGGCAAGTACACCGAGGCCGTCAAGAAGTACATGGACATCCTCGACAACCCGCGCTTCAAGAGCAAGGAGGCAAAGGGCCCCTTCCAGTTCTGGACCGAGATGATCGACCTCGTCATCGACCACGCCAAGGAGATTGACACGAGTGATGATAGTGGTATCGACGTGGAGAAGATTATTCAGAGCGGCATCGTCAAGTTCCCCGACCAGCGCGGCGTCCTGTGGGTCGGCCTGGCGCGCTATTGGATGCACAAGGGCGAGTACGAAAAGGCCCGCGACGTCTTCGAAGAGGGCGTGACCACGGTCATGACGGTCCGCGACTTCTCCGTCGTTTTCGACACGTATGTCGAGGCTGAGGAGGCCATGATTGGGATCAAGCTCAACGAAGCTGCAGCGCGGTCCGAAAAGGGCCGGCTCGACGAAGCTGCCGACGCTGACCTCGACATCCGAATGGTCCGCTTCGAGTCGCTCATGCAGAGAAGGCCCTTCCTGCTAAACGATGTCATGCTGCGCCAGAACCCGCACAACGTTATCGAATGGGAGAAGCGCATCGCCCTGTGGGGTGACAACAAGAAAGAGGTGGTGCAGACGTACACGGACGCCATCGCCGCCATCAACCCCAAGAAGGCCGTCGGCAAGTTCCACGAGCTCTGGACCAATTACGCAAAGTTCTACGAGGCGGGCGATGGCCTGCAGAATGCCCGCGTCATTATGGAAAAGGCCGTCAAGGTCCCCTTCAAGGCTGTGGCGGATCTGGCGGAGATGTGGTGCGAGTGGGCTGAGATGGAGCTTCGGAATGAAAACTTCGACAGGGCGGTGGAGATCATGGCAAAGGCTACGCAGGCACCGAAACGCTCGAACGTCGACTACTTTGATGAATCCCTGACCCCGCAGCAGCGTGTGCACAAGAGCTGGAAGCTATGGAGTTTCTACGTCGACCTCGTCGAAAGCGTCAGCACCCTCGACGAGACGAAAAAAATCTACGACCGCATCTTCGAACTACGCATCGCCACCCCCCAAACCGTAGTAAACTACGCCAACCTCCTCGAAGAAAACAAGTACTTCGAAGACTGCTTCAAAGTCTACGAGCGCGGCCTAGACCTCTTCAGCTACCCCGTCGCCTTTGAGATATGGAACCTCTACCTCACAAAAGCAGTAGACCGCAAAATCGGCATGGAACGCCTCCGCGACCTCTTCGAACAAGCCGTCGAGGGCTGCCCCCCTAAATTCGCGAAAATCCTCTACCTCATGTACGGCGCGCTCGAGGAGGACCGCGGCCTCGCTCGCCATGCAATGCGCATTTATGAGCGCGCTACGCGCGCTGTCTCCGACGAAGACCGCCTGGAATTATTCAACTTCTACATTACGAAATCCGCGTCGAATTTTGGGCTTACGTCTACGCGGCCTATCTACGAGCGCGCTATTGCCGCACTGCCTGATACAGAGGCGAAGGAGATGTGCCTCAAGTTCGCGGAGATGGAGCGTCGGCTCGGTGAGATTGACCGCGCTAGGGCCATCTACGGCCATGCGAGCCAGTTCTGCGATCCCCGTACTAGTCCTGAGTTCTGGAAGAAGTGGGAGTCGTTTGAGGTGCAGCATGGGAATGAGGATACGTATAAGGAGATGCTGAGGATTAAGAGGAGTGTGCAGGCCCAGTATAAGTATGTCTCCTCGTTTCTCTCCTTCCTTTCCTTTCTATATCTCTGTCGTACTTGATTTGTATGTTGGAATGGTAAATGCTAACGCACACCCAAGCACCGACGTAAACTTCATCGCCTCGCAGGCCGTCGCCCGCGGCCAACATCCTGCCAATACTACAGATGACGCTGACGCTGACGCCGACTCACCCCCCGTTGACGACACCGCAATGGCCGCCCTCGAACGCCAGGCCAGAGCACCCGTTGGTTTCGTCGCTGCTAGCTCGGGTCCTCTCGGCGGGAATGCAGCGCCTGTTGAACCGGCGGCGGCGAATCCGGATGCGATTTCTCTGGACGACGAGGATGGGGATCTTTAAGTGGTTGGTGGGAGAGAGGAGAGAGAGGGGAGGGGATGTGCATTTATGGCGTTTTGGGGGGGGGTTACTTACTTACCTACCTACCCTTTTTTTTTTTACCTTTTCTGGCTGTATGTTTGGTTGTATGCTTGGTTGTTGGTCTGTCTGTCTGGCTGTGTGGGGTACAGTTTGAGATCTCGTCTGATTCGATGCGTTGTTGCGCACCTCGATGGGTGTGTCGTGTTTGCATGGCGTGGCGTTTCTTTATGGTTCGTTGGTTGATTGCTTGGTTGGAGGCTTGGAGTGGATAGGTGGATGGAATGGAGAAGAGATAAAATGTCAATTTGGTGGAAGCGGATGTCAATGTGGAAGGAGGGTTTCTTTTGTCTTGTCTTGTCTTGTTCATGAGTGGTCCTACCACACATACACACAAATTGGTCGTGGTCGTGGTGGTGAATTTTTCCTTTCTTCCACCTTGTCGTTTTTTCTTTACGCAGAATGATTGGAATCTTTTTTTTTGGAGACTGAGATTGGTACTGGTACTGTCTGGGGAAATGGAATGGATTGCTCGCCTCTCACTTCTCAACCGTATATCTATTTATCGAACCTGACTGGACTGTACATCTCTATCTATCCATCCATCCATCCAGTCCATACCGCACTGTAACATACATCACTAAACATCTACAAAAAACCCTTCGCACCTTTCCACTCCCTTGGCCATTGACGCTTCACTACACCCTTACCACGCCCTTACCCTTAGTTTTGCTTTTTGCCTTCCTAACGCGTCTTGTTTTGCGGGGTACATATTCCCTGTTTACTATTTACTCTTCCCTGTTTGTTTACCCTTTTCCCCATCCATGCCTAACACACACATTTGTTTTTCCTGTCGTCCAGACAATCTATGTCCTCTGCATCCTTGCCTGCATGCATATGCAGTGTATATGCAGTGTAATCCCCCCTCATTTCATTTCATTACCTCTCGAGTTTCGAGTTTCGAGTTTCGAGCAGAGTTTCTGTGCAAAGTCTATGTCTGCGTAGAGATGTTAATGCATACATGCAAGTCTTGTGCTGGAAGAGATTATAGTAGTGATATATCTTTTCGACGAATCATTCCATCGGGCGCGAATGGAGAACTGGACTCCTGGGATTGAGATGTGGAATATATATACACCTCACTTTCTACCCAGATATCCAGAGCGGTGCGAGAATGAATGCCGTCTGTGCCTACGTATGTATATCTACGACGCTGTGCTGAGTAACGTGTGACTTATCTTCTAGTTGCTTGATCCCCGTCTTTTGATCTGACGATTGCATGTCCATGGACAATCTCTCTTTCGATTAATCTTGAAAGTAGTCGTTGTGGAAATTCATGTTTATTGTACGGAATGCAGATACTTGAGATGGGGGCAGATATCGAGCGTCGACTTTTGTGTGGGAATCTGGGAAGGGAAGGGAGGTTTTATGTGGATACATAAAAACTACTGTATCGACGGATGGCTGTAGTGAGAATTTTTGTCGGATTGAATGTTGTGAAAACACAACTACAAGACGTCGACGCAAGTGAATAAATTACGCAGATAGAGCGAGCGCACCACAGGAGCAAAATAATAAGTTATTGCTTGATTTGGGTATCATTTCTACCAATATCATCGTAACATCATATACCACTCCCTTTGCCATCAAGCGAAGAGTACCACTACATCGCCGCCCACTCGATCGAGAACGCACGAACCGACTCATCCTTCGGGTCGCCCCCTCCAATCATATACGCCTTCTTCGTGCCTGTGCCCAGACGTCCACCCCCGACAACGTCGAGAAGATCAAACTCGCGATCCCAGTCCATGCCCGTAGCGAGGAAGTGACTGTGGTAGCGCAGAGGATCGCCCGGGTAGACGGAGTAGTTGCAACCGAAACGCAGACCGGGCATGTGAAAGTAGCCGCGAGAATGCAGATAGCGGAAGAGTGGGTAGCTCGCCGGGACAGGAGGGAGTGGAAGTGAGGTGTCTTGTGGAGGTGTCGCTAGGAGTGGGTAAGAGGTCGTGGGCGTAACGTATTGGCGTGAGACATTGACGCCCTTGAGATTGGTGCTGTTGACAGACGGTGAAGGAGACGCGGGTCTCGAATCAAAGAGGGTTGTCTCGGCGGCGGACGCATCGATGCTGGGTCGGGTTTCCTTAGTGGAAGAGTCCAAGAAGGTTGATCCCTTCATAATGAAGCCAAGGTCAGATCCCGCATCGCTGGAGGATTCTGTACCAGACGTCTCATCGACCACGGTATTTTCTGCAACACTGCCCACGTTCTGTCTCTCTAGCACTTCTCTCCTCAGCCCCTTCTCCTTCAACGCCTTGTCCTTCTTCCTCTCCGCCTTATCCATGCTCTCCTTGGCTGCATCGATACCCCTGCGATCCATCTCCTCGAGAGCGTTCAGTCTGTCTTCCCTGCTCATCTCTATGAATCCCTGACGATGTACTTCTACATCATCAACAACGTATGCGTTGCCGTTCTCAACAAGAACCCTCGCCTCTTCAGGCATGAGCTCGAGTGGAATACCCAGGAAGACATTCTGTTGAGACATGTTCGGGATTGTGCCGACAAGCATGCCGCACATGTTGTGCTTGCGCCGACAATGCGAGACGACATCCACATCGAAGAGGAGGTAGCGACCCGCAATGCAGGAAATAGGAAAAGGTTCCGTAACTTGGGTTGGTGCCGAGGCTGGCGCCATGATGAGGTCTGAAGCGAAGATCTGTTAGCTTTGCGCTTCCAATTGACGTGGTAGAAAACAGGTCAAGTATGAGGTAAATCATAGTGTGAATACAAATTATTGGATCATCAAAAGCCACTCTATGGTGACTTCAGGGGATTGACAGATTAATTGTTATTAATCATAGAACCGTGCTGTTGTGCGAGAAAAATTGGACGAATTTGCTTACCTTCACTTGTATGGTTTCATGATGAGTACATGAAGAAGAGTGAGCTTGAGCTTCCGCGAAGTTTTTGTAGGCGAGCGCCTTGGCGCTTACGTAGGCAGCCGTCCCCGCGACGCGTCTCCAAACACCATCACGACAAGAGAGAAGAGACGCAACAATGGCGACAAACCGCGCCTCAACTGCTAATGGCGGTAATGCCGCGCCGGAGAAGTCGTACTTTGAGCAACAGCGTGAGCTCCTAGTGACTGAAATCGCTCAGGTATGTCAGGCACTTTACCAAGTTTGACTCGAAACGTTGCGCGCTGCTGCAAATGTTAATACCGACTGTAGAGTCTGGAACTCGTCCTCCAAAACATCAACAAGCTCAACCGCTCGCTCGAAGAGGTCACTCAGGTTGGCAACGAATTCGCGCCTGTGGAGTCGCTATGGAGTCACTTTGAGAACGTCATGGCGAAAGACCCAAATGAGAGTCAGGAAGGAGGACATGAGGGGCAGACGGAACATGAAGAGGGGGAGGAGACGGAGTTCACTGAGCATCAGAAGTGAGAAAAAACGGTTAGTTTGGATGGTGATCAATGCATACGATGCGAGGGGAATGCATCTGTTAGGCGTTATGTATTCAGGATCACGGAAGATACCCAGGAAGGCAGGATGAGGAAGAATGGCGAGAGACCATGAGGTAAATTCACAGAAAGTACAGAACACTAGGCAAGATGGTGCAGAACTATGCTTCAGAATTTACTCCCCAGGCGCAGGCGACTCTGGGCGTGCCCAGGCCTGCTCAAACGCTAAATACTAACGAATACAAATATAAAATAAGAAAGTACAGATGTGAGCTTTTAGAGGGCAAAGCCTCGCTCTTCGCTGCATCAATCGCTGTCCAAGAGCAATTAGAAACGCCACCGAACAAGTACATGTAGAAACCGCCCTACGATGAGTTGTAGCAAGCAACGAGCAGTCATTACAAAGAGTATCGGACAGGTTCTGGTGTAGAGATGTGAGGGTCATGAAGCATCTTGATTGTGTCGTCCAGCGTCGTAAATCTCAATGTACCCACCTCAGGCGATGGCGTGGGGCAGCACTCAATACCTCAGGCTTGAAGGAAACACGGCCAAGAGTAAGCTCAAAGCACTGTGCACGCGGTCTTTTTGTTCTTCTTTTTACCAGCCGTAGGGAAGGCAGGACCTGACCCTTTTGACGTCGACGACGTTGTGTTTGTTCGCTCGGGTGATTTCTGCTCTTCACCCACTGCCACTGTGACAGCCATGTCGAAGATTTCCTCAACACCATCCTGCTCCTTACTACTGCACTCCATGTACATGGCGCCCATTTTCTTGGCAACAACACGACCCTGGTCAGGGGTAACGGGTGTCAGGCCTTGGGTCTTCAGCAGCTCGATGCAGTTCTTCTTGTTGCGCAGATCTGACTTGAGCCCGAGGAGCATGAGGGGCGTTGTGGGACAAAAGTGGAGGACCTCTGGGTACCACTGAAGGATGTTAGTCCAAGGTCAATCCTTGTGGGAGCTAGTGCTTACCTTGTCCATGACGTTCTCCAGCGAGTTGGGGCAATCGATGGCAAAGCACACGAAGATGATGTCGGTTTCAGGGTAGGAGAGCGGGCGCAAACGGTCGTACTCCTCCTGTCCGGCAGTATCCCAGAGCGCAAGCTCGACCATCTTCCCTGTAGGGGGATGCGGTGTGTGGGTGATGTAGTTTTCGAAGACGGTTGGTACGTATTTCTGGGCTCAGTCAGTACGGCTGCAGATGGCTGTCATGTGCAGCGCGCCTACCTCTGGGAAGTTGCCTGAGCTGTAGCTGATCAACAGACATGTCTTGCCGCATCCACCGTCACCAACAACCACCAGCTTCTTCGAGTACGCCGGTGGCTCGGTGATAGCCGTATCGCGTGTGGCCGTCGTGCCATACGAGCTCACGGTGCCATTGCTGTTGCGCTCACTTGTTCGGCGAACGGGTGCGATGGACGAGGGTGTGGGTGTCTTGGTGCTCTGCTTGCGGCGAAGGTAGTCGTAGTTCTGCGAGGACGCCGTCTGGGTGGACATATTTGTGGTGTAGAGTTTGTCGCTTCACGGTGGTGTGGAAGGAGGACAGTGGTATCAATACGGAGGGTGAGTTTTGGGAGCTGGAGCTGGAGCTGAAGCTGGGACTGGGTTGGGAGCGAGAGTGGAGCTTATCCTGTAGTGTTGATTGTTGGCCTGGTCGCGAGGGCAACGACGGCGCCACCCCACGAAATTGACTGGCCAAGGCACAACCCTGTCTCCGTCATCATCGAGGCACAGCCCTGCAATCGAGGCACAACCTTGTCGTTGTCGAGGCACCACCTGGCCGCGAGAGATGGCATGCAAAGGCTAGACTTTTTCTGCGCCTGCTCCAATGTCTCCTCCGAATCATGGCCCGGCGACGGCGCCCGTGACCATGGACTTTCCAGGGCAAGAACCGCGACTGGACGCGGGGAACAAGCATCACGACCACTGTGTGTGTCCAGAGCCCGAGGTCGCAAGAGACGGAAGCTAATGCGTGCAACACTGAACAGACGCTCAGAGACTCCCACAATGGCGGAATGCTCTGCGCCAGCGTCTGCTGCCCATAGTGCGCCGGGAGACGCATTACCTCGCCCTCCTCCAAGATAAGATGCGCTCGCCAGCCCTTGATTCGTACTTTGCATATACTGCCAACCTGGGAACACACACCTTCTTCATGGTCTTCCTGCCCATCCAGTTCTGGTGCGGATACACCAGCCTCGGGCGAGCGTACGTCCGCCAACTGTTAACCACCCTAGCGCGACCTCTGACATGTGTAGGACCGTCTTCATGTTGGCAGCCGGAATCTACTGGAGTGGCTTCCTTAAGGACATGCTCTGTCTACCAAGACCACAGTCACCTCCACTGGCTCGAATTTCAATGTCTGGCTCTGCTGCCCTCGAATATGGCTTCCCTTCCTCGCACTCAACCAATGCAGTCTCGATAACTTTCTATGTCATACATACCATACGGCAATCGCCTGACCAGCACGATCCATACGTGTACATTGGCTTGCAGGCCGCCTTCTACTTCTATGCCCTCTCCATCATTTTTGGACGCCTGTACTGCGGCATGCACGGCTTCCTCGATGTCGTTGTAGGAAGCACGCTTGGCGCCCTGATCACTGTGTTCCAGCTGGCATGTGGCGAATGGATGAACTCCCGGATATTCAGCGGATCCTATGTGGACATTGTGATTGCGACGTTGATCATCTTTGTGCTAGTCCGCATCCATCCTGAGCCTGCAGACGACTGCCCGTGTTTCGACGACAGCGTCGCTTTTTCTGGAGTTCTTGTAGGAATAAACCTTGGTGGCTGGCATTTTGCACAGACTCGCTTCGCCGTAAACGATCCCATTCCCTCGACGGTTCCCTTTGATCTGCAGGAAATTGGGATTGTCAAAGCAGTCGTCCGGGTTGTGCTCGGAGTTGTGATGATCTTCGTATGGAGAGCTACTATGAAGAAGACTCTGTTCAGGATTCTTCCTCCCTTCTTCAGACTCCTGGAGCGTGCGCGTTTGAATCTCCCTCGCGCATTCTTCCTGAGTGCTTCAAAGTACACGTCGATCCCGCCCCTGCGCGACGACGACAACGTCATTCCCCCTATCTCAGAACTGCCACACATGCTCAGAAACCTCACCCATCCACGCAAACGAGCCGTCTCCTTCGGCCCTCAATCTGCCGCAGACGCCTATGAAACACTCGCCTACCGCAACAGAAAGAGAGCAGAAAGCATCACCTCGCACGACGGTACTATGCCCGAAGGCATTACCTGGTCACCAAGCCCTCGCTCCCCCGCATTGGAGAAGGGTGAGCAGCACCTCGGCGCCAACGTCCTCCCCACACCCATGACCTCACGCGTGCACTCCTACGAACAGATTATGGGCACAGAGAACGTTCAACCACAAAACACCACATCCACCCCACCAGACAGCGACTCAGACGTCGCAGACAAAGCCATAGATTTCATGCAGTCATCCGAGGAAGCAGCCAACGAGAAACGGGAGATATTTATGAAACTTACAAAACCGCGGGTACGGTATGACGTCGAAGTCGTCACAAAACTGATTGTATACAGCGGTATGTATACACCTCCCCACATAGCCGATACCCTATAACTAACGTCTCCTAGGCATCGGGTGGATAGCCGTCGAAGCCGCCCCTGTAGTCTTCGAGCTGGTAGGCCTGGGTATGGGGCGTAGTCCATGACCTGCTGCGCCGAAACTCGCCCTATATATTCCCATACATCAAACCAACATGACTCATTCACTTTCTCTCCCATCCAAGCATCCACCCACCCCCTGTCCCCGCCACCGTTTGTCTTACATCATCTGTTCCCGTATCCAAGCCCCCGCCCCCCCTCAGCGCCACAATCCGTCCAAGTCCGTGTGGTGCTCGCTTAATCGCACAGTTTGCTTTGCTTTTCTCGAAATTCGATTTCAACAAACCCGTCCCGTGTGTGAGTTCCCACCAATATATTGGCCATGAAAACAATTTCACACATCAAGAAGATCATGGTCTTGTGGTCTAGTGGTATGATTCTCGCTTAGGGTACTTCCTGAGCACACTTGCGAGAGGCCCCGCGTTCGAGTCGCGGCAAGACCCCTTCTTTTTTGCCCTTTTTCCTGCCCTTCTCTCTGCTTGGAATGAAACGTCAGGAGTCGTATTTTCAAACCCATGGGGCCATTTTTTGTTGCAGTCTGCACGCAATGAACTCTCGCAAGAAGAATGTATGTATGGTGTAGAGAACCAAGTCTCTCAAATACCCATTCATTCAACATATTTCTCTTCAGAACTCTAAAGCCGCAGCATCTACCTTTTTACCTGCTTGCTCTCCCCCACCACCACCATCCTCAGTCTTGGGCCCTTTGCCTTTTCTATACACGCGCTGGTCGCGCGGATCAAAGCCGCCGTTGCCCCAGAGCGCCCACTCCGGCGTCTCACCGCCAACATAGTCCTCTGGTCTCCAGCCCACCACGGCCCCATTCTCCATCCGCGTCCCCTGCGCCTTCCCCTCGTACAAGTCGAAGAACCTCTCAAAGTCTATGCGCGTCGCCCACCGCCCATCGCGCTGGAACCGCGTGCGATCCGCAAGCAGGACGCAGCACGAGTGTGCGTGTTCAGCGCCAATACCGTACGTCAGGCCGCGGGAAGCGAGTTCCTTCTCGAGATGCGTGACGAACTCTGCGACTTCTTCGTAGAAGGGCACGTTTTGCATTGTGAGGCCTGCGGAGCCCGCGGCGCTTGTCCCGCAGTACGTGACGCCTTTTACCTCGACGAAGCAGGGGAGGGCGCGCTCGACGAGATCGGCGTAGCCGGCTACTTCCTCTGCCATGTTGAAGCCCTTGACGAGGGTGAGGCGGAAGACGGTGCGCTGCTCGAAGCGCCTGTTGCGCAGGATGTCGAGGCAGGCGCAGAAACGCTCCCAGAAGTCTCTGTGTAGCGGGCGGTCGATTTTGCGCAGGGACTCTTTGTTGGAGGCGTCGATTGAGACGTAGAGTTGTGTGACGGGGACGAGGGCGGCGAGTTGGGCGGGGTGCTGCGCGTTGCAGACGAGGAAGGTGGAGATGCGCGACTTGTGCATGATTTCTAGCAGCTCGTTGATGTGTGGGTAGAAGATTGGCTCGCCGACGAGACTCAGTGCGCAGTGTCGGATGCGCATGGCTTCTGCGAAGCGCTCAGCGCGTACGCCAGGTACACCTTTCATCATCTTGATCTTCTTGTAGTGCGCGGCGGTTATACCGTCGAATATCAGGTCTGGTGCGTCGGTTATCCAGCGCCAGGTTGTGCCCACCGGATTTGTGCCATGGCGCCAGCAGAAAACGCATTTGTTCGAGCAAGAGAGGGATGGCGTGGCTTCCATGCAGAGATGTGACTGAATGCCGTAGAAGGAGTATTTGTAGCAGGAGCCGCGACCTCGAAGTGCGGACTTGGTCCAACGGCAGATTTTCACGCCCGAATGGGAGCCGATTATGGAGTAGCCTTGTTTCGTGAGGGAAGCGTAGGTTGGGGATGTAGTGGGTACCATCTCTTTGGGGCCGGTGGTGGATTTAGACTTTGGTGCAGATTTGTAGGTGGTGAAGTCGACGGGAATTGCTGTCGAGGAGGAGGTCACCATGGAGCCTAGATCTTCAACGTCGTCGACTCGTGTCGTCTGGCCATTAGAGTCCTCTGCGTCGTCTATGTCTTCCTCGTCACTTTCTGCTGCGTCTCCACTGCCACGTACACCCTCACCCAGACCTCGTCCTTCTGCGATCTCCACAAGCGCTTCTTGAACGCCTGTCCGCCACTCTTGTAGACGTGCATCAGCGTCTGCCTTGACATCGCCCATGCCTAGGGGGTATGCTCGTTTTCTCCCTGTCAGCCTTGCCATCCATCTGTCCACTTCCCTGGCTTGGCTACAAAAGCCATCCTCTTCTGTGGGCCATCCCTCCTTGTCTCCAAAGCCAAACACAGAATATCCAAGCAGTCCACTCAATGGCGCCGTATCAATTCTGAAGTCGTTGTGCGTTTCTTGCAAGCTCTCGAGGAAGATGCTTAGAACGGTGTCGATGTTGTAGGTCGGTAGGAGGATGAAGTAGAAGTGCTTGACATTTGGCTCAGCTTTCGGCGGGCTGAGGAAGTAGTCGTCGAACTCAGTATACGAAAGATCGAATGTTTGTGGTTCGAGGAAGGAGGCAGACTGCTCGCATCCCGTTGTCCACTCGGTGAGAACCTTCGCGAATTGCGCAGCGAAGCGCTCCGTTGTCCCTGAGAGAGACTGAAAGAAGACCAAAGGCTGGATCTTGTCTGTCTTATGATCAAAGCTTGGAGCTGGTGTTGCGATTTTCTTTGAAATCTTCTTGCCCTTCACGGTCTTTGGACCTTTCTTTGCCTTTACAATTGTAGCCACCGCGATCGCGTCTTCCTCGGCATGGTCGTCCAAGTTCAAGTTCGAGACATTGAGCGTCGTGTTTTCAGGAAGCCATTCAGGTCTCAGCTCGACAAGTTTCTTTTCCACAGGCGAGGCGGGCGCCGGGGACACGGAGACTTTCTCTCTTTGACCGCGTAGATATATCGCGAGGCGCACAACGGTTACTAGTGCGACAGCAGAGAGGAGGAGAGCGACTCGATGAGTGTGCCAGATGAGAAGCAACTCTGCGCATGTCAATTAGTGGACGTGAAGCCACAGCGGTAGAGTACTGACCATTTGGCAGCTGTCCCAAATCATAAAGTAAAGCCATGGCTGCTGCGTTCCGCACAGCAGAGCGTGAACTTTTGGCAAAATGATCGCGTGGGGTCGGTCGTGAGCGGGGAAACTCGATGCATGTGATTGGCTCCTGGAAAGTGTGCTCCACAGGATCTCGCCTCTGTCACAGGAATCAACGCTTTCTTCTTTGCTCATTTGGGTGCAGCTACATGTCAAACAGGTTGATACGGCAAGCAAGTACAAAAATGAACAAGTGATGATTGCATTACTCACAAGAAATGGAGTTGGCTATCCGCTCTTTCTCAAACAACTTCATCAACGTGTGATACGTACCACTAAGTACATGTGAGTGCTCGTCGTTGTCATATTAGTCGCCAGACTCGAGACAACGAAAGGCCATCATTCGCAGTTACCAGGGAAAATACGAATAGGGGTAGTCCCATGGGTTGGTGTATAAAACAATAGTCAAAAATATGTGATCATCATTTGTAGAGGATTGAAGATCACAGAAGCGAGAACTAATCGTGCGCTGAAGATGGCAAATGGTGGGGAAATTGTGCAAGGTCAGCCAAGTGGTAAACACGATGTGGGACAAGAAAACAATCATCATCATGCTCAAAAACTTCCAAAACAACGCGATCATTGATTCTCGTAATATGCACAGTCCCATGAACACCTCTCTAATACGGTTTACATGAGGTGCCGGCATAGCAATAAACTTGACTGAGACGAGTCTCCCATATTTCAGAGGTGTCCAAAGCGTCAAGTCCCTAACGCAGCGATTGCGCTTGAGCAGCATTCGTGGTTGCACTCTGACGGCAATGCGACTGCAATGGGTGCTCCTCGTCGATAACGTTCCGGCACAATTAGTTTCACCAAGATATGCAGAATGCTTGGCAATTGATGCTCTAAAGGAAGTAATCCGGAGTCCTGCGTGATACCATGGGTTCTCCAGCTCGCGGGCAGGGGTCGAATTGCAGGCTAAAGCATGTGTGAGCAAGGAACATTGGGGTTGAACGCAGTAACTTACAAGGTGTACTTGAGATGCTCATCGATCTCCATGATTGCGGCTTGGTTACCACATCTGTAACAGTAGTTTGGTGCTGTAGTCGTAAGCAAAATAAGCGGTTCGAACGACCCAAGGTCGCTTACCTGAGAATATTGTGACAACATTCCTATCCTGCGACCAGTTGTAACCCTCCATGACAAGCTGGTGGGCTCTGGCCACGAGAGTCAGGCCGTTGTTGTGATTGAACGCCTCCGAGATGTCCTGTCCAAAAGTGTATCCGGCACCACGGGGAGATATTCCCCAACCACACCTGTCATCTGGGTCGGACCAAAGCAGGTCGCACATGGGACCTTCGTGCGGTACCTCTTGTATACGATCAAGCGCCCTGATGTTATCGAGCGTGTCGATGCTAGGAGACAAACCGCCGTGGAGACAGAAGATCTGATTGTCGATCAGAGCAGTGAGCGGGAGGTAGTCGAACAGATCTGTGAAGTACTTCCAGACGTTGGCGTTGCCGTACTTTCGCAGGCACTCGTCGTAGAAGCCGTAGACCTGGGTAATCTGTCGAGACTCGTGGTTGCCGCGAAGAATGGTGATGCGTTGGGGGTAGCGGATCTTGAGTGCGACGAGGAGAGTTACAGTTTCGACGGAGAAATAACCTCGATCGACATAGTCACCTGTTATATGTTAGCACACGACACACGATACTACAGAGGCGTCGGAAGACGCACCCATGAAGAGGTAGTTCGTGTCGGGGTTAGGACCGCCAATCTTGAACAATTCCATCAAATCGTGGAACTGGCCGTGAATATCACCACAGACAGTGACGGGGCATTTCTACGCAACGATAAGCTGGGCTGTCACGAGTGCAGTAGATGTCACATACCACTGGCTGCACGTTCGACTCGTCCTGCAGCACCTCGCGGGCCTGTCGCGCAATGGCCGTCAGCATACACACTACACGGAATCGACCCATGCACAGCAGAACGTGCATACCTTCTCGCACAGCCTCTGCACGTCGCTCTCTACCAGCTGCTTGCAGCTCATGAGGCTCTCGATCCAGCCGTCCAGCGTGGGGATCGTCGTAGGCTCGGAGGTCGGGGCAGACGACAGCTGCATGGGCTCGGGCATCTTCACGTCCTCCATGTTCGTATCCATGGTTGTGGCGCGGGTTGGGTGGAGGTGAGTGGGGGGGTCGGCGTGTTGTGATGGAGAGCTGTCGAGGGGTTCTTGCCCTTCAAACTTGGCGGATGACGTGCCACTGGCGGGCGCGCAGAATCGTGGGCGGGGAGGTTTGCAGATGGGAAAGAAAAAAGTCTAGGGGGTATATCAAGCGTGCAGGGGTGAATTGAGGGCGACACCAACGTCAGGCACAGGAGTCTATCGTGAGATGGGCTGCGCACGACCACACCGGCGCTTGGCTGCGTCGCGGAGAAACCCCTAGGCCGGTGAGGCGGACATCATGTGACGTGTGCTCTTCCGGGACTAGCACGAACGATAGTTCGCAGCTAACTTAGCGCGGGTCGCACCTGCCATCATCCGCGTCTCTTCACCGCGTCTGCTTTGTCTCTCCCACCACACACATTGTCTACGCCAGCTGCAACTCGCAACCACCACACTGCGAACAGCAACTACGCGTTGGCAACTACCACCACCTCCCGCAATGGCCAAGCGCGACTTTGGCTCTGCCTTCTCCTACAGCGAGCCTGAAGGCATGATAGTCGCGACCGGCAACGGTTTTGACGCTCCCCAGCCTCAGGTTTGCTCTCAGTTGCTGCTTTTTACCCAGATCCAAGCTCACGCGACAATAGGCGCAGCTGTATGCACCAGACTCGCCGACTGCGCTGCTCCGCATTCCAGGGCAATGGCCACAAGAGCAGAGCTTTGTCGCAGAAGATGAAGCGTCGCACTTCACCGGTGCTTCCTTCTTCACAACCGAGAGCAAGTTTGCAACTTGCCTGACTTGTATTACACGTATCCTCGCAATGCCTGTGCGCCTTGCGCAGCGCTTCTTGCGCCAGCAGACAATTCGCGCCCTTCCTGTCATCAGCGAGCAGGGCGCCAGGAAAAAGCGTCTTGTCGATGCGGGCCCAGCAGATGCACCATACACACCTACGCGACCGCGCGCGAGAGTGACGCGTCGCCACTCCCCTTCAACACCGACGCCCATATCTCAACCAACATTCACGCAACGTGCCATCAGCCCTGTATTCTCCAGGCTGAGTGCCGCTTTCCCTGTCACCGCATCTTCATTGGCGGACTGGTCGCCATCGCCAACTCCACCAAGCAATCGCATTGTGGACAGCCCGGTTTTGGAGTCTCTTGATGTGGATAGCGACGACGATTTCTCGTTCTCAGATGTTGTATCTGGTACTCCACCTCACAATCCACACACCGGCTCGCCCGTCAAGCGAGTCTGGAACCCCAGGACATTGGAGTTCCAAGCGCGCTCGCCCGCTATTCCTCTGCTGCAGACATCGCCCTCAGGCAGCCCACACATCAAGCAGTTTTCACCTAGCGCCCATCAACGCATTCTCCGCAATGCAGCAATCACACCAACACAACGCCATCTGCATAGAGTGCAGCTGCGTGCTCGCCTTCGGGGGGCAGCCCCAGGTCCATCCTCACCACAAGCCGACCACACGATACCCTCACCAGCGCTGCCTCTTTCTCTCAACAGTGAGTTGAAAGAGCGAGAGTTCAAAGCGTCGGCTCTGAAGCTCAACGCAGAGCATATTGCTCACCAGGCGAATCTGGCCAATGAGCGGTACAAGGCTGTGCTCCAGACTCGGGACACTAGAAACACCGAGATCCGTGCTGCCGAGGCGCACGATGTTGAGACTGCACCAACGAATCTCGCCCACACTGTCGATGAAGACCTGTCCACCTTGCCAGATGCCAACAACGACTACGCTGACTACGAGAACGACCTTTCTTTCTTGGAGGACGCACCTGCCCCGCCTCGGGCAAAATCTGTTAGATGGACTGAGCACGGTGATGTAAAGCCATTCTACTTTGACGAACGAGTCAGCGAAATGTTGGATTCAACGTTGGAGACCATTGCGTCTAGTCCAGTACGGACATCTACACACGAGTCTGACTCAAGTGAAGATGATCGCGACAATCTGTCTGTTGCTTCAGAATCGCCTACCAAAGGCAGTCCTAAGGTCCAGGCCAATGCATCCACAGAATTGGTCGGGTTCCATGGCGTGCCTGCGGATACGTGGGACTCCGCCAACGATGACTCTCTGGACGAATCGCAGATATCTATCGAGCTATTCGAAGAGCTGCAAGCGGACCTTGAAAAGAAACTTGCTCTTGCGCCGCGCCCTGTCGTCAAAACGCCACTAGTAGCACCATTGACCAAGGATGAAAAGGCCCTGCTCGACTCGGCTGCGGCCAAGACCAACCATGGATTGGATCAAGATGCTCATGTTGTCAAGCGCAAACTTTCCGCGCGAGACTTTGGCACTCTGTTGCCTGCGCAATTCAACGGAAGCGCAAGAGCTTGGCTCAACGACGAGATCGTCAACGAGTACCTGTCAATCCTGGTCGGATATGAAAAGCATTCCGCGGGATTCGAGCACAAGCGTAATGGTCCTGCACCGCACGTTCACGCCTTCACTTCACACTGGTATACATCAATACAGAATGGAGCCAAGGCTGTGGAGCGCTGGGCTGGGCGGGTCCAGCTAGCGGGTAAGCAATACCTGGACGCTGAACTGCTCCTCTATCCAATCTGCGACGGATCACACTGGCGTCTGCTTGCCGTGAAGCCTAAGGCTAGGACTATCGAGTACCTTGATTCTCTAGGACTTGGCGGAACTAAGTATATCGCCAAGATGCGTGAGTACCTGGCACACGAACTCAAAGACCTCTACATTGCCGAAGAATGGAACGTTATTGAACACCAACGCAGCGCTCGCCAGCTCAACGGCAGCGATTGTGGCGTCTTTACTCTTCTGAATGCTCTTGCACTCCTCCGAGACGAAGAAGCCAAGCGAGTGGTGGCATGCGAAGGCATGTTGGAAGCACGCGAACGTATTGCTATTACTCTTATGGCCGGACGCCCTACAACGGAGATGAACTGAGCGACTCTACTTTCAATCACACTTTACTTTGGCGTCCACTGGTTCCGACGCGGAACGATTCTTTTGTCGGCAGTTTTGGAGACTTTTGAGCAGCCTCTCTCACCGCGGCTTGAGGTGACCCCTTTGGTTGTAGCCGCCCGAAAGGGCTGGCTCCCTTGGGGCGATCCAATACAGCCAGGTGAGAGGGCGGATTGAAAGACGTCACTACAGCTACACATCATTCTCGTCTGGACATTATTTCACCATTGAGCAGGCGTTTATTACTTTCTGGAAGATGGTCTGGTTTGACTTGTTTTGGAGTTTTGTTATTGGGTTCTGGTGGGTTCTTTGGATGGGAGGCTTTGGCATCACCGGGATTGTTTCTTCATGGTTTTTTGTTTTGCACAGCGATGGCGTTCGATCACTCACGAGGATCACTACTGATTGCCTTGATACCCCCTTACGATAGATGATTCATGACTGCCTCGGAAGGAAGGCTTGTGGCGATGGAGTGCGATAGCAAAAAGCGCTATGAGGGCGCGCCTTTGATAGAAGAGCGAATACTGTATGATAACAATAAACGGTTCTACAAACTTTTATATCTGCTTTGTTTCATGTGTGACTTTGGTGATGCTTCCTCAGTCGATGGTTCAGAGTTTACGCATAGTACGTCGGTTCAAAGACGGTGAATACATGAACTTTTCAATTTCCATTCTAATTCCGTCCCAAGCCTCTCCTCCAGCCTACGTCCTCGTACCCCCCGACCTCCGCTCCGCAATCCGATAAAACACCGACCCATCATAAACCCCCCTAACATCCGCCTTGCTCATCTTGCCATCCTCGGGCCAAAGCAGAATATACATAGCAACCCCTACACGACATCGCATTAGCAACCACCACCAACTACTCCCAGAAACGCCCTCAAGACTTACATTCTAGCCCCCCAGCAAACCAGCCAAAAAAGTCGTTAGCACACCTCCTGTCCTTCCAAACCCTCCATATATCCCGCCCCGTCAGATACTCGCCGCCCCGTGCGTACTTTTCAAAAACGGCCTCGAAGCGACGCTCGTCCAGTTCGCCGTTCATGTCGTACGTGCCCGTGCTGCTACCGTGTCGATTGGCGGCCATGTTGTCGATGTTGATGGCGAAGAGGGGATGGGGGATCCAGGTGGACTGTGTGTTGTAGGATGCACAGAGAGGGAGGGTGAGAGCTGCCCAGAGGCAGAGGAGGGCGTTGAAGCCGAGGCGCTGGAAACCGGTGTAGATGTGCCAGGGGTAGATTAGGGAGGTGTTTGGGGGGGCCCAGAAGGCGCAGTGGCGTTGGAGGGTTGTGTGGTGGGTGAGGGGTGGTGGTTTGGAGGGTGAGGTACGGGGGGCTTTTTCTGAGAGGGGAGGAAGGTGCTTGGTCGGCCGTTGGTGGGTGGAGGGGGTGGTGTTGAGTATGGCGCTGTGGCATACGTCGCCTACGCCGGCGATCCAGGTGATTGTTTCCTGCTGGTTGAATGTATCTTCCTCGTCTACCAGAGTTTCGTCCGACGCGGATGCCAGTCCTGGAGGTGCATGTTTCCTATTCTCATAACCACAATCTTTGCCAGATTTGATCTCGTCCTTAGCAGGCTTTTTACCGCCAAATTCGAACGTCACGCGCGCCGAGAGGATGTTTAGTTCTATCGTCATTGCGGGACCGGGGTTGAGGGTGTGGACATGGTAGACGGTGGTACTTGAAGTGGTGGTGTACCTGCAGGTCACGGTTCACCCGTGTTATCAAGGTGATTGTAATTACCCAGTATTACGTATGCTTGGCGTTCCTTCCGATATGGTGGTTCGCATCCTTGCTGGAGGCCTGTCGGGGTTGAGGCTCGATTTGGTGTCCGTATGCACGTTTGAGGCTGTTGCCACTGAGGTTGTCCATTAATGTAGGCAAGTGCCCATACTTATGTAGTTAGTTCATTACTTGGGCAAATCATGGTTTTCTGGGGACTGTTATTCTCGTCTTAATCATTCCTGTACGTTGTGGACGATCGAGGATTATGCAACCCGCTGTTGTGACGTGGATGGTGTGATCTGCAAGGTACCCGAAACTCTGTGTACCCTATCGACATCTCAACAAACGACGAACAAGCATGTGATACAGTGGATTGGACGGACTAGAGTGCCGATAGCAAGATTGTCGTGTGTTGAAGTCTAGCGTTGGAATTCAGCATTGAGAATGTAGCGGAACTGCTTACCCGCCACCCGATTCTACCACCAGCATATAAATGTATCTTTCGTAGTTCTATTGAAAAGACGTGAACAAGTCTAGAACTATAACTATGCATACCAAACGCACGAAAATCATGCCTAACTGCAGAATTTGATAAGACGTCGTGCAGTCAAGATAATGTAATGTCTCATGTTTCATTTGTTTGATGAACGTGTATAAATATCCTGTTACACGCATTTTACACGACTCTCGCTCCCAACTCCATCTCCTACGCAGCAAAAAGAGGAACACCGCACCATCTCGACTCTAAAAAAAGGTTCACGGGGACAAAAAAGGTCGTACCCAGGCTCGAACTGGGGTTACCAGAAGTTTTGAAGCAAGTCAAAATCTGGAGTGATAACCACTACACTATACAACCAATCATGCGAAGTTCGCGGTTTCTCAAAATAAATGGAATATATTGAGCGAGAATTTGTATGTCTTCGATACAATGTCCAGAGTTTTCAGTTTGCCACTGCGTCGTTGCGTGGCCAGGTGGGGTATCTGCGAGGCCATTGGAGTGGAGGATGTACCTGTCATCATGTTTGCCTAGTATAAGCCATCTTGTCTATCATCTCACCCTTTAGCCTCAGCGATCCGACTCAATGATCACCCCATAACTCTAGTACACAATATGGGTTTGCCTTGCTCACAAGAAGAGTTTCTACTGTTTCGGGTTCAATGACTACAATTGCACCACATATATCACATCTTTTGGAGATTTCTATCGATGGCCGCACATAGGCGACTAAGCAAACAACAAGCTGCTCCCTCCTCCACTCATGATCTGCTTACGTTCGCCTGCTTCATAACAAACCACAAGCTTCCAGCGGCCAGCGCACCCATCAGACCAACACCGAAGACGATTGCGACGGATGGTGCCAAGGGTGGACGCACCGATTTACGGACCATGTCGTTGATCTCCGATTCGAGCCTCTCCGCCATCTTCTCCTTCGAAAACTCAGCGATCACCCTCTCCTTGCCCCACTTGCCCATCTCAGCCAACCGCTGTTCTCCGTCGCCGTCTTCCAGTGCGATACGCATCACTTCTGTCCAGTCCTGAACCTTGCTGACGTCTCGTAACCAACCCGTCTGTCCACTGATGACCGTCTCTGTGGGCCCACCCTCGTTTGCTGCTAGGACTGGCGTGCCAGCTAACATAGCCTCGAGCGGCACGATGCCGAAGTGCTCATTTCGCGGTGTATAGACCAGTAGGCGGGACGTCGACAGGAGAGTGGTCTTGAACGCATTCGGGACGGAGTGGAGGAACAGAATTGATATGTCGTCGAGTACGCGCTGGGCGGAGATGACGGTCTTTGCAGTCGCATGCGTGAGCTTTAGCGAATCTGCTAGCTCGCAGAGCTCATTGTACGTAGCGACATTCTCTGCTACTCTTGCATCGAACCCACCGGCTATGACGAGTCGTGTATCCTTACGTTCCTCCAACGAGAGCCCTGCGTACGCCTTGATCGCGAGCGCCACATCCTTCTTCTTCTCAAAGCGATTGATGCTCAGTAGTACCTTCTTGTTTTTCCATAACGGCTTAATCTCTTCGACGGGGTCAACAGCGCTGATATCGACGCACGGGTAGATAACGCCCGGTTTGCGATGTTTCAGACTTGGAAAGGCCTCGCCAAACACACTCTTTGTGAAGTTGCTGTTGACAACGATGGTGTCGCTGCAGCCGGTGCTCCAACTCTCTAGCCAGTCGAAAGGTCCTCGATACAGTGTCTTCAAGAATCCTCCCTTCTTCGCCAGCAGTTTGTCGGGGAAATGGCAGTAGAAGATGACGCGTGGGCCAGGCAGCAGGAAACGAAGGAGGGGAATACCAGCGCTGAGCTGATCGACAAAGAATGAGGAGGGCGCGAGCTTCTGGAGTTCGTTGGACAACAGGGCGATCTGCACTATCAAATGCACCTGGCGGAGGATTGCGCAAAGGATTGCAAAGCGGCCCAGAATGGTTGAAGGGACTATTGTATTTCCGCGTACGCGCACATCGAGGGTTCCTTTACGTCAGGTCAAGACTCAGCTACCTTCTGTACATAAGCGGTGGGAGGTCGTCAGGCGTGCAGAAGCTTACCGTCGCGCGCTTCGTCAAAGCAATGACGTGGGTCGCAAAACGACGTGAAGACTGTAACCTTGTGCCCGCGGTTTTGCAGCCCTACAGCGGCGTCGATCACCAGGCGTTCGGCCCCGCCGATGCCCAGATCAGGATGGAAGAAGACGATGTGCTGCTTCTTGTCGGCCATGGTGTTTGTCTGCAGACAGCTTCCGCGTGATGTGGTGCAAGATGTGTCAACCAAAACGCGCGTGCACTCAATTAGTGGCTGGACCCTGGAACTCCACTAGAGAAGTGGACCATGACCATCAACTACACATGATCTCAACACCACCACCAGTCTCATCGCGCAAATTTCCTACAATACTTCAATATCCGGGCAGTTATCTGTGATTCTGGAAGCGGCTCGCCGTCAAGACAACGAAAACAGAGCAAAATCTCTCAATATGTGGGCTGGTAGGCATCAACATTGCCCTTCGCCTTAGTAGTCCAACCCACCGTATGCAACCATGGGACAGGGCTTCTCCCTCACCACCCTCTCGGCTGGCTCCGCCAACATCGATGTGCCGGAGCTTGCTGACCTGCAATATGAGAAATCTCTGGGCGCGGCCCGATTTATGAAAGCCGTTAGGGCACGGCATAAAGATGGTTTGGTCGTGGCACGAGTGGTCATGAAGCCATATGCACAGTTCAACTTTGAAGTCTACGTCAAACGCCTTCTTAGTGAGTCTATACTGACTATCTGGTCGAAAATTTTATGGGCTAATTCTGATTAGACGAACGCAAGGTGCTCGCCGAAGTCCCTAATGCTCTGGCTTATCACCGTATCATCGAAACGGCTGCATGTGGCTATCTTGTTCGCCAATACATCCATAGTTCGCTGTACGACCGACTGAGGTGAGTCTTCCATCGCCTTGCTCAAAATATGCATTTGTCTGAATCTGTGTGTAGCACACGTCCCTTCCTGGAAGAAATAGAAAAGAAATGGCTCTCTTTCCAGCTACTTTGCGCGGTACGAGATTGTCATGCCAGAAACATATTCCATGGCGACATTAAGACTGAAAATGTTCTGGTCACGTCCTGGAACTGGCTGTATCTCACAGATTTCTCATCAGGATACAAGCCAGCACATCTTCCCGAAGACAATCCTGCCGACTTCTCTTTCTACTTCGACTTATCTGGACGCCGCACCTGCTATCTGGCTCCTGAGAGATTTCTGGCCGCTGGCCAACAGCCGGAAGGAGAAGGAGACGTGAATTGGGCCATGGATATCTTCAGTGTGGGATGCGTCATTGCTGAACTTTTCCTTGAAGCGCCTATTTTCTCATTGAGTCAGCTCTTCAAGTATCGACAAGGCGACTACAATCCTGAGCAGGCCTATCTTGGCAAGATTCAAGACGTGCATGTACGAGAGCTCATAATGCATATGATCCAAGTGGATCCAAATTCGAGAATGTCTGCCGATGACTACCTCACGCACTGGAAAGATAAGGTCTTCCCTAGTTATTTCTATGGGTTTCTGCAGCATTACATGTATTCAATTACAGACCCGTCGTCAGGACGCAAACCGGTCACAACCAGCGTGGAGCATCTTGGGGAACCAGATGAAAGGATAGAGCAGATCTACAACGACTATGACAAGATCTCTCATCTTTTGTCAAATAATTCAGGGAAAGAACTAGCCCGAACCCAGATCTCGCCTCCGAAACCAAATGCTAAGCTGTTTCCGCTCTACGTGGATATTCCGAACTATCAGCATCAAGCATCGCCAACGCAAAGCCTTACAATAGATGACGGCAACCTGATCTTTCTAACAATAGTCGTTCCCTGCCTTCGCGGCACGGCAAGAGCCTCAGCTCGTGTTCGAGGACTAGAGCTTCTTATGGCCTTTTCAGAATACTTGACAGACGAGGCGAAGTTGGATCGTGTGATACCATACGTGGCCCAGCTATTGACCGACAAGTCAGAGCAGGTCAAAATCGCCGCTCTAAGGACCTTGACCCAGATTTTGGCAATGGTGCAAGTTGTTTCTCCAATCAATGCATACATCTTCCCAGAGTATGTGCTACCGCGTCTGGAAGCCTACCTTCCAGACTCTGCAACTGCTACCAAGCCTCTCGTTCGAATGCAGTACGCTTTGTGCATTGGTACACTGGCTACCACGGCAGCGAGATATCTTGACATGATCCAGGCGTTACGAGCGGAAGGATCGTTACCAACAGCCGATCCAGAAACAGAAGATGATCTGTCTTCGTCTGCTCATCGAAACCAGTTCGATTCAGATCGACAGATACTGCTTGAAGCGTTCGAAAAGCATACCAAAGCCCTTCTCACAGACTCGGACGCTTCTGTTCGACGAGCTATGCTTCGATCTGTGTCTGATCTTTGTGTCTTCTTTGGTAGTCCCAAGGCGAACGACGTCGTTCTCAGCCACCTGAACACGTACCTCAATGATCCGGACTGGATGCTCAAGTGCGCTTTTTTCGAAGCCATCGTTGGGGTCGCCGTGTTTGTGGGTGGTGCAAGCTTAGAGGGCTATATTCTACCGCTTATGGTACAAGCACTGACAGACCCCGAGGAATTCGTAGTCGAAAAGGTCATCCGAGCTCTATCTTCAATGGCGGAGCTTGGGTTGTTTCAACGCTCCAAGACATGGGAATTGGTAGACATTGTGGCTCGGCTTACGATGCATCCAAATCTCTGGGTTCGGGAAGCAGCCGCACAGTTCATCTCAGCTGCCTCAAAGTACCTGTCCGTGGCCGATACGCACAGTATCCTGGTCAACCTTATCAGACCGTATCTCAAAGTGGTTCCTTCGGAGTTCTCGCAACTCCGAATTCTTGAATCTTTGAAGAAACCTTTCACGAAACTACTCATGGAAATGGCTTCAAACTGGGCCTCACAAGCACAGAAAGGCCTGTTCTGGGCTCCTGCCAGGCAACAACAGACGTTTACCTTTGGTTCGACTGATGACACTATACCCACAATTTCCGGTCGGGAGCTAGGCCAGAAAGCGCTGCAGAAGATACCAAAGAACGAAGAAGATGAGTTGTGGCTGCGAAAGTTACGGAGCGCAGGTATGACGCAAGAAGACGAATTCAAGCTTGTCGCTTTACGGGAGTTTATCTGGAGAGTAACACGCCGTCGGCGCTCTGATAGTCTTTCAACAGCTCCTGCGAAGTTCAACGACATTGTTGCTTTGAAGGATTTAGGAATCAATGCGCTTACTGTTCTTTTTGACGAGAATGTACGGCAGACTGTTGAAGAAACACGGAAAACCGATCGGCATTCGGAAAGCGCTACGCAGCCTCGGACCATTCGTGATGCATTGCTAGACGCTTCAACTACCGAAGCTGATGCGTTGGCTCTACGCATCCCACACGTCGAAGACCAAGCAGGAAGACTGGCACGTGAAGTGACCGGCACCCGCCGAATGTCCATTTCATCGCGCTTGAGGTTGTCGTCTTCTCCAAATGATGTACGGTCTGTCGTAGGCTCTCCGACGTCTGAGGCCAGTATACGAAGAAGGTCACTACAGATTCACAGAGGCTCACCGACCATCCAATCACCCACTGGTTCCCTGGGTGCTGGTGACTATATGTCCGAACTTCACCACCGACCTAGTGCTCTAGCTCTGCTTATCAAAGGCGAAACAAAAGCTTTACCTGAGACTGGAACAACATCCGCCAACGCATTTGGAAAGGTCGACGGAGTACATGTGCGAGAGTCGTCTCGCTCTCGTCAGCCTTTGTCACCTCTTGCTGTTGAGCGACCCACGCGAAGTCCTTCCCGGATACGGTTCCGTAGCGCACACAACTACACTGGTAACGATCCTACAGTCTTAAAACTTCTGGATTCGATGCTCTCAGAACGTTTCCCTTCTGGCGAGGTAGAGTTTGGTCCTCGTATCCAACCAGCCCTTCGGCGATTGCCCATCAAGCACAAGGATCCTCACCAATCGCCTGCAGGGACTCCATGGCGACCTGAAGGTACGCTGGTGGCAAGCTTTGGGGAACATACGGCTGCGGTAAATCGGATACTGGTCTCTCCAGACCAAGGCTTTTTCGTCACTAGTTCGGATGACGGAAGTGTGAAGATTTGGGACACATCGCGTCTAGAGCGCAACGTTACAAGACGATCCCGCCAGACATACAGGCTAGGGGACGATGTCAAAGTGACAAGTCTCGTGTTTGTTGAACAGACCCACTCGTTCGTTGCAACGGGCAGTGACGGAAGTGTGCATGTAGTGCGAGTCGACTACTTCCAAGGAAACGATGGGAGCAACAAATTTGGACGGCCACGCCTTCTCCGCGAGTACCAGCTTCCAAAGGGCGACCATGCGGTGTGGTCGGAACACTACAATCAAGACAACAAGTCCGTCCTCATGCTAGCTACCAACACATCGAAGATCATCGCAATCGATTTGAAAGTCATGGAAGAACTCTTCACGTTGGAAAATCCCCTCAACCACGGCACACCGACATGCTTCAGCGTCGACCAGAAAGCGCACTGGCTGATACTCGGGACCTCTCATGGCGTTCTCGATCTCTGGGACCTCCGTTTCAAGCTTCGCCTCAAAGCCTGGGTATGTCACGGTGCATCACCTATACATAGACTCTATCTCGTGCCACACCGCAAAAGAACGCGACTATACATCGCAGGCGGCACTGGCCAAGGCGAAGTCATCGTCTGGGACTTTGAGAAGCTTGTCTGCAAGGAAGTTTATCGCACTGGTGCATGTAAAGACATTGGTACGAAGAGCACGACACTCATCGACCTGGATGAAGAGAAACCAGGCGGCATGCTAGGCCGTTTCGCAACCAGTCTTGAGCCCACGGCAAACTCGACTCCAGACCGCGGCATTTGCGCACTCACTGTGCACACACAGACTGTAGACGACAAAGCCGAATCGAAACACACTTTCCTCATCACCGCTGGCCCAGACTGGAAGATCCGCTACTGGGACACGAATCGTCCCGAAACATCGATGGTCGTCAACGGTTTGGAAGCCGATGAAGCAAAACCTCAGTACAACTCTAGCCAGCCAACCCCTGATACTATGGTTGTAACGGAACGGTTGTCGCAAGTTCCTGGAGGCAGTAGCAGTGGCGACAGGGCAGGAATTAGGGATAGCCGGAGCTCGACTACATCGACTAGGAAGACGCCGCAGAAGTCGTCGCGTTCGGGATTGATTTCGCTACAGCAGCAACACCTGCTCAAGAGTCATCTGGATAGTATCACGGATGTGGCATTGATTGAGCAGCCGTATGGGATGGTGGTTTCTGCGGATCGGTCGGGAGTTGTGTACATGTTTATGTAGAGGTAGTTGGTGGGTTCGGGACGTAGGTGTCGTCTTGATATATGGCAGTATTCTGTTTTGTGTTTCGCGTGTTTGTTCTAGCTTATGTAGTTGACCTGCGTACGCCCAGCAAATCCATAATTGAAGTATCAGTTGGTTGGGCATGCATCCACATAGGATATCTTTCTTTTCAACTATAGTTTTCAATTTCAAAAGTAAAAGTGGGTTCATATCTGTAACTAATATTGCTGATAGACTGACTGATATGCATACCCAACTCTGTATGCCATGTGGCGGCTGGATGGAAGTGGTCTGACGCTTTATCTTCACCTATGTTTCCTACCTATTCACTTCTTACTCAGAGCCCTTCAAGAGTGTACAGAAAGAGCACAACGCTGTCATAGAGGACGTTCTATGTCGGTTGAAATTAGGGGACAAATATTCAGCGTGACAAATGTGACTCCTATGAAGTTAAGAGAAATATACGTAAACACCAAAACGATGATATAGGTGTTAGGTCGGCGGAGAGCAGTGACCTCACGTCGAGAGGGCGCTAAATAAGTCTTGGCGTGATTTTATCAATCGAAGCTCAAGTTACCGACGACTCCAGAACACGGCGCGTACGACACCCCTACCCAGATACACATATACCCCGCTACTACCCACTCATAAACTCCAAAACACCACGCAAAAGCAACTACCGCCAAAATGAGGTTAACGACGGACCTGATCAACAACTCCCTCTCCTTCATCAATCCTCTTACGGAGCGTGAACTCGATCTGCGAGGTGCGTTGAAAAGAACAGATACTACGCTTGCGAGCTGAATTGATATCAATGTCTGTAAATTCTAGGCCACAAGATTTCTGCCATCGAGAACATGGGAGCTGCGCGAGTGAGTCCCCATACCGACTATCAGTCTTTCTATGCAAGCTCCTAATACGCTACTTAGGATAACGATGCAATCGACCTCACCGACAACGACATCGCACAACTCGGCAACTTTCCGCTGCAGCCCCGCCTCCGAACACTCTTCCTCGCGCAGAACCGCATAGCAAATGTCCAACCGAACCTGTCGACGAGCATACCGAACTTGAAGACGCTGGTTCTCTCTAAGAACAGGATCGCGGAGCTGTCTGATCTGGACCCTCTGGCGGGGTTCAAGCAGCTTGTCTACCTGTCATTGATGCACAACCCGGTTACGAGCAAGGAGGTACGTACATTGCTTTGGGTGGTCGAGACCTGAGCCTGATTTTGGCAAGCATGCTTGAACGAGCACGAGAACGCGGCCTCGAGCCTGGTGGAAGGCTTGCGAGGGGGTTATGTCAGGGTTGGCATGGCTTAGTATGAACATCAGCAGAGAGCTAATACGGCGCAGAACTACCGCTATTGGGTCATCTGGCGCTGCCCCTCCGTTCGCTTTCTCGACTTTGTCAAGGTGCGCGACGTTGAACGCAAAAAGGCTAAAGAGCTCTTCGGAACATCAGAAGAGCCAACAGATCTTGCGAGCAAGGTACACGCCTCGATATATATCAAATCACTTCTGGCCGTTTGCTAACCCTTCCAGATCATGGGCGTCAAGTCCAAGGGATTTGTGGTCCCGAGCTTCGAGAACGGCGCCGACGACTCGACTAAGGAGCGCATCTACACGGACGACGAGAAGAAGCGTATGCGAGCTGCTATCCAGGCCGCGAGCAGTCTGGCAGAGATGGCAAGACTCGAGAAGGACTTCTCTGAGGGACGGATACCAGCGTACATTCTCGAGGGTGGAGACCCTATGGAGACATAGTCTGGGGAGTCCCGTGGTACGAGAACTATCCACTCAGAAGAGGTCGAGACTCACAGCGGAAACACGTTGGCCGAACGCAGGCGCGTGGGATTGAAGCACGAGCTCTATTGGAGACGAATTTAGTGTTGGATTTAGTGGCGCTCTGATGCAAGATTTGAGTTGCATATTAGACATACTAGCTGCAGCATGTGGAAGGATGGCACGCAGAAACCGCAAAAATGCACAAAGCGAATCGAATAACTCAACGAACTGGAAACAATGCAAATTTTTGAACTTGAAGTTGTATTTCGAGAATGAATATCCTTACTATTTCGTTTCTGCGCCAAAAGGCTTCACTCTTCCAACCCTTGGTATCGTTGTACAAACAAAACGCCAATGACGAGCCAGTTTTATCGAACCCATAACCCGCGCAGAGACTCACGGGAAGGTTGGCGTTTCTACCACCCTCTCCCCCTTCCTCCCCGTCCGCCTCTGCCTCCTCCGCCCTGGTTTCCCTGCTGAAAGCCACCACCACCACCTCCTCCTCCTCCGCCACCGCCACCCTGCTGGCCTCCAGGCCCGCCGAACCCACCACCCATGCCCTGCCCCTGCATCATTTGCATAAAAGACCCAAAGTCCATTTGACTCGGATCCATGCCCTGAGCGGCCATTTGCTGCATCATCATCTGCATCTGCTGCTCGTCCATCATGCCGCCCTGAGCCTGCGCGCCCATGCCACCCATCCCCGCAGCCGGGCCCGACGGCGCGCCACCAGGTCCCGTAGGTGGATTCCCCGGCCCTGGGCCCGCCATCTGCGGCATCTGCGGCATGCCCGGCATAGCGCCAAACGTCTGCTGCATGCGCACCAGCTCGTCCTTTTGCTGCTGTTGCTGCTGCGCAATGTTGAGCTGCCGCTGCCGGTACATCTCCCACGTGAACTCGTCGAAGCCGTAGTTGAAGTAGTCGGACTGGTCTTGGCCTGGGTTTCGCCACAGCTTCTGCTCGTTCGCGAGGTCCGCGTCGATGTTTACTTGTAGTAGGGGCTTGCTGACCGGCGGGTAGAAGGGGTCGCCGTTTACGTCGATGGTGGATGTGCGTTGGGGTGGGTAGGCGGCGCCGTTTTGGGCGGAGATTGTTAGGACGGCGGTTTTGGGGGGTGGTTGGGAGGGGGCTTGCGAGGGGGTGGTGGAGTGGCGGGGTGGTGCTTCGATCTTTATGGCTTTTGATTCTTGGGGGGGTTGTTGGCTGGGGTGTGTTAGAATGGTGTAGTAGGGTAGGAGCTTGCATGGAGCTCGAGGGGAGCTTGGAGGGAGCTTACGTGGAGGGCTTAGGCGCTGTTACGGGCTTGTCTATGATGATCTCGAGGTCCTGGAGCTTTGTTAGCTGCGTGGTGTTCGTTTGTACGCGTGGGGGTGTGCTGCTCACGGATTCACTATCTTCGTCCTCTTCGTCACCAGAGTCGGCGCCCTCGTCCATGGGCTCGTCGTCGCTTGCTCCATCGTCTTCTTTCTTTAGGTCCTTTTGCTGCTCAATTGTCGTCTCCGAGGGGCCGTAGAGATCGTCGTCGTCGTCCATTGTTGCTTGCTCTTCCAGCCACCACTTCGCAGGTTGATCGCGCTTAAAAAGTTCGAAATGGCCGTATGCGCGTCTTTTCCAAGATCAGCGTTCGAAAACAAAAGCGCTTCTCTTTGTCTCTTATGTGATATCTGGCAGGGTGAGGGCTTGCGAAAGTCGCGTCTATGAAGATGTAGTGGTCGCGCATTGAATCCCTAATTGGCAGTCTTAGCCGAACAAAACGCGCCGAGTCTGTGCTGCTGGTACAACTCCATCACGAAGCTTTTGGGTAAACACGGCTCCACTCGACGTCGCCTCCTGTTATATCGACCATTATTCTCGCGCATCTTGCTTGGTTCGACGCAGTTCTTGTCTATCCTTGCAGTATTCATAGCTCACGACAACTGCATCAAGTCCATTTGCTCTGCCCTGTCCATAGCGACCGACTCGTAAGGGATTGACGTGGAAGTTGTCTTGAGCGTCGGGTGCTATTTGGAACCTGAAAGCTTGCGGTCTTGTAGAGTACTCGTGGATTTTCCAGGTGCAAAGTGAGAACTGTGTAGCGCAATGGCGGGCTTTGGGCGATCAAACTCGTTGAGCATCAACACCGGTGGCAGCCTCTTGTACGTGCCTGCGCGTCGATCCCTCTTCCTTGTTTGTCAGTTTCATGCTGGCCTACACATCCCACTGTTTTAGCTTTCTGGGAAGCTCACACGGAGACTACGGACACAATGCTGACTATCAATAGTGGGAACAACCAAAGTCAAGGCCAGCAGCAGAGCGCGGGCTTGTTCGGCGCGTCGACTACCGCAGCCCAACCCCAGGGAGGATCGCTGTTTGGAGGCCAAGCTCAGACATCGCAACCACAGACCGGCGGGTTGTTCGGCAACCAGAGCAAGCCTGCGACGACCGGAGCCACAAGCGGAGGACTCTTCGGCGCATCAACGGCGCAGCCATCGCAACCACAGAGCGGCAGTCTGTTTGGAGGCGCACTGGGAGGGAATACACAGACGCAGAACCAGGGCACTGCTCAATCGGGAGGACTATTCGGTAGCCAGGCAAAGCCCTCATTGTTGTGAGTAAAGGCGCCCGTTCTAGGTCGCGCAAGGACTGACTGTATTCCCTAGCGGTTCATCAACACAACAGACAAGCACCACCCCATCTCTGTTCGGAAACACAAACACAAACACACAGCAGAACCAGACAGCCACCCCTTCGCTGTTTGGATCGACCCAACAGGCTCAACCACAGCAGCAGAACTCACTGTTCGGCAGCATGAACACTCAGAACAGGCCCGCGACCCTCGGTGGCTCTACGCTAGGAGGATCACAACTGGGCGCAAGTGCACAGCCAGTCCAAGTAACACTGGACTCGATAAGAGGGACGACGCGCTTCAACGACCTGCATCCTGAGCTACAGGCCTTGGTTCAGCAATTCGACGAAGGCATACAGCGAAAAATCGGGTTCTGCAGCCAGATCCGCGAAACACTGCCTAATAGCGAGAGCCAGATTGCAACCATTGCACCCGACGTAGCTTACGTTGAGAAATTCTTGTCGACTGTCGAAGCCGGCTTGGACAACGACTCTGCGAACATCTCCCACCTCAAAGATCTCGTCAAGAAGGACGCCGAAGACGCCACTCTCAGTTTCCGCGCCATCGAGAACCAGCGTCTCCCCGCACAGTTCCACTACAGGAACAGCGCGAACCTCACAGCATCAAGCGCGAAGCCACAAGCCACCACCTCCCTTGATGACGACGACCCGACGAAACCAGTTGACCTGATGGCATACTTCAACCGCAGAACTGACGTGCTCGGCCAGACGCTCGATGTGTATCAGCGCCAGATTCGTGAGATCGAAGCACATCTCCGGGGCATGGAGGCTGGCACATTGGAAAAAGCACAGCAGTTGACAGGTAGCCGAAGCGCGCCGCGAGACCAGCGACGTGAGCTGGTGGAAGCACTCAAGGCAATAGAAGGTGCTATCCTAGACTCGGCGAAGAAGGTGGGACAAGTGAGGGACGAGGTTACGAAGAAGACGCTGGGCAATGTCGGAACTACCCTGCTCTGAGCGTCTGATTGGATGTAGGAATCGCGACTCTGATGGACATGGGAGGTGCAATTTGAGTTTGGAACAAGATTCGTGCATAATATTGGCATGGGTAGGCTGCCATTTGATGGTGTACGAAGCGTTGGCTTAATTTTCGAAACATGTGCATGTACAGTCCATCGGGGCTGTTAAGAGCTGCGAGTACAAGAGCGGTAGATACCCATGGAACTTTTCAATCAGTCTACAAGCATTCATGGATGAGTGATATCAAGTCGTACGCTTTGGGTTAGCCGTCTTGGCATTTGATCGTACCTGCATCCAACGGCCTTGCATCTTCAATGCATCAACCTTGACATCTTGAAGCGTCAGCATGACTTTGAGCTGACAAACTTCATCACGCAATCCGCATGTTTCGTTTGTTTTAAGCTCATCCTTAACCGCGCACAGGATTTCCTTACATACCCGCCTCATGATCACTACACGGCAGCAAGTACACAGAATCCAAGACGCGACATGAGGGCAGCTCTACAACTAAAAACCTCAAGCCTGTGAATTGTGATTTGCCAACATGTCAAAATCCGTGTCTAGCGTAAAGCATACTAGGGTGCAGAAAGTGTGCACATTATGGACCCATGACGACAGCTTCTCACGAGACGACGTGGTATTTAACGGAGAGAAGTTTCCTGAGCTTTCTGCAACACCCGGATCTTTACTTCAGATCGTGGCTATTACCCCTGGGGTCGCTGTCCGAGACTTTCAAACGGCTGCAAAGAGCGCACAGACTGAAGCAGCACAAGCAAGAGGAGATAATGTGACCAGGGACAATGGCGCTGATAATTATTCGAAGAAGTCCCGAAGAGGATCCATCACAATAACAATCGATGAGAATGGATCGACTATCCCAGGCGGACGCGATATCGATGTGGAGAAGGCGTACATCTTTGCTCCTAAGCCGTTCCCTGCAGACTTGAAGGCTAAACATGGAAACCTACAAGTCCGTTGTGCTCATTAGATGTGCATTCTTTGAGCTAATCTACAGTATAGGTTTCCATATCTGAAAGACTTGCCAGAGTGTTTGGGTTCCGCAACCGTAGCCAGGTTGTAATCACAGAGGTAGGATATCTTCGATCCAGATCTCACTCAAAAGCTAAACGTTCCAGGCCGATGAAGACAAGCACGAAGCTCATCACGTGGAACTCGTCTTCCGTGACGAGTATCTTGCGCGTGCAGATATGTGGCGTCTGGCGGTCTCTGAGCTCAGCAATCGAACTGTGTACCGCGGTCAAAAACTACTATTCATGGGCACAATCAAGTCAACTATCAAGCACATCTATATGAACGGACAGTCCGTTCATTCTGGCTATTTCTCGTCTCGAACGAAGCCAATTTTTCGCAGCGAATCTGCGAGATATGTGCTGTTCATCCAGATGTCCAGAGAGATGTGGGATTTCGACACTGAAGGTGCCGGTGAGATCATGTTCAACAAGGTTGTGAGCGGCTTCCTGCCAGATCTATTTAAAAGATGGCTGAAAATCAATGCGAGGCATTTGGTTACGATTATCCTGTTTACGCGAATGGAGTACGATGGAGAGTCTGCCTCCGACCGCCCCGAAGACACAACAAGTAACATCGATCCTGATACTCGATGCGGCAACTTCAGGGACTACTATCGAGTTGTTGTCAGCGACATGGCTAGTGGCGAGTGGATCAACATCTTATATCAGTTGAAGAAAGAATTCAGGACATTCCTTCGTGAGGTTTCGCTCGTCCGGAAACCAGCCAAACAGGCGTCTAGTGTGGAAATGGACGATACGGAGACATCGACGTCAGACACAATAGTGGCTGGAAAGCCATCGTCAGCTAGTCAAGGTAACGTCCTCGAAGCCATCAATTTGGCCGCAGCTCAGTTTGCGAAGGACTACATCGACCGCGATCTTGTCCGAACTGGAATCTCCGTTATTGTCGTCACTCCGGGAACTGGCGTGTTTGAAGTTGACTACAATATGCTAAAACTGACTACGGATACGCTGGTAGGTTCAGGAATAGGCGTCGACTTGGTATCGTTGTCACCCATGCCCCTACATTCTGTTCCCTTGTTCAAATATCGGACTCCTCGTTCCATCTCTGCGCTTGTCGCGAAACGCGGTCAGAATTTCCACGGGTCAACGAGAAGTACCGGAGAGCAAGATGACAAAACGCCTCGACAGTACCAGCCTGATTTTGGTTCCATGATGCGTGCGTCCTTTGTACCGCCACCTCCAAGCACAAATGGTGATCATCCCACCTACATATCGGACGCCTCAGAAGACTGGCGATATGCGATGCCTTATTGGGCGGATATATCATTCTGGTCTGGCACATCCGATGATCTCTCAGAACTCACAAGATCACGAAGATCCGACAAGGCCATCAAGAAGTCACGCAAGAAAGGTCGAGCTTTTGCTCTGAGATGTCGTCTTTATGAATTGCAGATGATGGGCGTCATGGAGAACGAACTAGGCGACATCTCCATTCCTTATCTTGAAGAGGATCCGAAGTACCCGCATCAAATGAGTCAGCCTGCTGAGAACCCCCAAGACACGGTCCACGAAAGGGCTACATTCTTGAATGCGTCGACGACTGCAATTGGCTCCTATTCATCGAAAGGTGATAGAGATTATGACGGCGACCAGCCCAATGAACTTCGGGATGCTCATAAAGCTTGGATGGAAGCATACGATGAAGCTGTCTTTTCACAATTTGTGGAAAGACACCCGGTGCCAGATCAACTGCGCGTTGATCAGCGAAGACTGGGCAGCAGCACCCAGGCGAGCACTTCTCCAGAAATGTCCAGGGGGTCGTATCTGTCTTCTTCATATCGCAGCGTCGCGGCATCGATTGGCAAGACAGCTAGACCACCACCAGATGCGAATTTTCACCAGCTGATGCGTGAGAGATCTCGAGATGTGGAAAGCCAATCCTCACGGAGTAGTACATATCATCATTTCGAGAGTAGCGCCCAAGGTCTTCCACGGGCGGATGTGCTTCGACGGCAGAAGTTGTTAGCGAGAAACAATACCGATGACGACAATTCCAGTCTTCGTCATCGAGATGGTGTTGGACCCTCTGAAGATCACCGGAAGTCGGTGTCGTTGACACCGCGCGATTCTCCTGCTCCTAGTATAGCGAGCTCGCCCCCAAGGAGACCCGGCTTGTCCTCTGTACCCGTTGTTGCTTCTGCCGTGCCTGCGAAGGCGGAACTGAAAAGTAGACCATCCAACTGGTTCTTGAGACAGATCAGCTTTGGAGGGAAGGCTGCACCCGCAAAGTTGACTACAGGAGATGCAACCATTGATATCAGCCAAGGACAAGTGAAGCCTGCAATGCTGACAGTCGAGAATAACCAGAAGGGTATCATTGCTGAGCGATTGGCGAGCACGAGAGTCACCCCGGCAGAAAAGGTTTCCAAGCCGATTGCAATCAGATCAGCCTCTCGGGCAGGTCTTCCGTCATCGGAGTCACCCTCGTCCGACCAAGCTGGACGTTCTGTAGAAACCGTAAGGAACATGCAGACTCGACGTAAATCTATACCTTCTCAACCTAGTTCGGTTATCAGAGACCCAGGATCAACGTTTATCATCGCGGGCTCACGAGCGTTAGCTGATGCTGTGGGACCGAAGTTGGACCTTTCCTCAAGCGGTGGAGCAAAACATATACCACGGACGTTGTCTCCAACGAGCGCTATTGCACCATGGGCTGTTTTAGTCAATCCGTGCAATCCGAGAAAGAACAGCATCGACGCCAAAAACCAGTATCGGCGCTGGCATCACGTCTTCCCGAGAACACTGAGAACTGGCACCATGAAATGGAGGTCACTATGTTCGCCGGCAGCAGTGCCATTGACCCATGAATGGTTCCCTTCTGCCGAGCAAATAGCAACGGAGTACAACGAAAACCCATACAAGATCACTCAGAATGAAGACGACGATACGGTAGAAACTCCCAAGAGTAGGGAGTCTCTGATTAGAGAACTTATCGCCTTTCGGCTCTCCCACGGCTTCCAGATTGTTGTTGGCGATGCCGTTTCGGAATTCTCTGGAAGGCAGGAGAAATCGCTAGCAAGCATTCTGGCGCCTGAATACATGTCTACAGATGGAGATACGGTGTTTATGAGTGTGGGAAGCAGTATTCATCAGCTTATGTGTGTGGCTGGAGGGGAGGTTGAGGTGAAACGATACAACCGGAAGCCTACTACGGCTTTGGAGTCATCTGCTGGTATCGACACACCCTTTCGATACAGGCCTTACATCCGCACTGCATTCGAGCAAACCTATGACCCACGAGACATCATCTTACGTCCGCCAAGGAGAGAGTATAATTGGAACTTCATTGACACGTTCCTGGCGGGTTACCATGACGAACTTTCCGAAGTACTGCGCTTTTGGAGGGCTCGTTATGTGCTGATTCCGGTCGAATTACCCATCGGAAGCCGGCGTCCATTACCTATGCTCTCAGAAGACTCCGAGGAGGAGATTCGTCTTGAGGGTATCAGGAAGTTGACGCAGGTCTGGCAGAGGCATCGCTACATACCTCCCGACGAGCGCTATTTCCAGGCCCCGGCTTCTCAGAAGCAAAAAGATCCAAACCCTCTTGCAATCGAATACCACACTCGCGACACTTCTGCGATCGTCGCAGCTGGACCCGACGCTGCTCTCTTCAACGATGCAGATAGCGAGTTTCAAACTTCGCTCTTCTCCGATGCGGAGAAGTATCACAGGTCAAATATTGATATCAAGAAACTTGCCGAAGACTTGCAAGGCGAGAAAGGGATTCAGATGCTGGATAGGCGATGGCACTGGAAACTCCATCAGAACTGTTTTCTGGGCTTCGACCTTACGAACTGGCTGTTGTCCAACTTCAAGGACGTTGAGACTCGGGACGAAGCGATTGAGCTAGGAAATGAGCTCATGAACAAAGGTCTCTTTCAACACGTACAGAGAAGGCATCAGTTCCGTGATGGGAACTTCTTCTTCCAGATTGCCGCGGACTACAGAGCCCCTCGGCCCGAGTCGCGCACAGGATGGTTTGGTATGCGCAAGATGGACAAGTCTGTTCCGTCTACACCACTTTTGGAAGGACCGCGAACATCGCCTCTTACGGCGAAGGGTCTCCTTTCAAGGCCCAACACTGCCAACACCTCTTCGACTACCTCCGATCCGATGAGCGAAGGCGAGACTACCCCCGCACGCGCAGGTATCAAGCGCAAGGTCGTTTTATCACGCGTGATGCGTTACGACGTCGATCCACGGAAACGGTCATATCGGCCTGAGACTATCTCACTGCACTACGACCGACTCCACAACCCCGACAACTGCTACCACATCCGCATCGACTGGATGAACGTAACAGCCAAATTCATCGAAGACACCATCGTCACCTGGGCGACAAGCGTGGAGAAATACGGCCTAAAGCTCGTCGAAGTCCCCATCGGCGAGATATCAAGCATAGTCGACTACCACCCCTTCCGCTCTCCCTACGTCGTCAAACTCGCCGTCCAACCCCCGCAGCCCCACCCGGATGCCGCATGGGACTCGCAACACTTCTCCCCGCTCTACTCCAAAACAGACCAATTCGCCTACCACAAAGCGCTCCTCCGTAAGCTAAACTTCGTCCTCGACATGGAAGCCGCCAGCGCGTTCCCCGCCGACGTCGAAGTAACCTATTCATGGGGCGTGCACGACTACAAACTCACGCAATTCATCCACCGCTCCGGCAACCTCCTCGCGCAAATCACAAACGACGGGAACTTCTCGCTGCTAGGCAACCTGGCACATAATCGTGCGAGTCCCGCGACGGGCAGAATCCGCCACACGGACCCCTACGACCACAAGAAACCCTCCACCACAGACGGCACGCAGAGCACTCGCATGCCCTCCACACCGGCGGAACGCGCACATCCCCATAGAAACCCCTTCTCCAGCCCGCTGTCCAGCCCGCTCGCCCGCCCAGTCCAGGACTCAAGCCTGCTACACACCGCGCTGCAGAACAGCGCCTCCCTCCCTCCAACAACGCCATCCCCCACCCAGACAATCGACCAGATAAAAGACGAAGTGCAAGCGTTTTGCTCCGACGCCGCGCTCCTCTCAGCGTTTTATAACCACGCTTTCGCCCAGGCGCCCTCGCCTTCACCCCGTATTTATCCTGTTCTTGATGAGAAGATTCCGGCGCTGGGATTGCCGCCTGCGATTAGTATTCGCGAGGCGAGTCCGGCGAGTCCTGGGTGGGGGCTTATTGGGCGGGGGACGGGGGAGAGGGTGTTTGGTGGTGGTGGTGGGGGGTTAGATCTGGGGGTTGGGATTGCGGGGCGGAGGCAGGGGAGTGAGGGGAGTATGAGCACGTTGGGGAAGAGGGGGAGTGGGGCTGGGGTTGAGGGCGCGGCGGGGACGGGGAGTTTGCCTAAGAGGGTGGATGGTGGGGGGTGAGGGTGTGGATGTATAGCATATAGTAGTGTAGACGGGCAGAGAAACAGGAATGTAGATGCGTTGTATGAAATTTGACTGCTTGACTACTACCTACCTACAACCTCCCCTCGGCATCAAGTCTAACCAATCTCTCCGCAGCCCCCCTCGCCAGCGCAGCACGATACTCCACCTCCCGCCTCCGCGCATCCTCATTCTCACTACGCGTCCGCCAAGACCGCGGCCGCGCACGAGTCCACAGCGTCTCCTCAACCCCAACCTCCCCCTCACGCCTCCCCCTCCTCTCCACCACCCCATCCTCATCCGCCCCATCAAACCCCCTCCTAACATCCCCCGCCCTCCCCCCCACCAACCTCACCACCTCCCCCCCCATCCCTCCAGAAGACTTCCCAACCCCATGCGCCCTCCACACCCCCTCAAACGGACTCCCCCCCTCCCCCAAATCCCTCCACGTCCTCACCACAAGCCTCACCCACTCCCCGCCCGGCAGCGCATGGACATGCACACTCCAATCCGTCGCGCAGCAGCTACACAGCTGGGTGGCAGGATAGACCCAGCCGCGGCGCAGCACGTTGTCCAGGGCGGCCATGAGGCCTGTGTGTCCGTTTGGGGTTGCGCGGTGGGATGTTAGGATGGGGGGGAGGAGAGGCCAGAGTGTGGGGAGGAGGGATTTGTGGGGGAGGAGGCGCGTGGGGAGGGAGAGGGTGAGGGTGGTGCGGAGGAGGATGTGTGGTTCTGGGGTTGGGGAGATGCGGGCTTCGATGCTGAGGGTTTGGGGGATGGGTGTGCGCCAGAGGAGCGGGGAGGAGGTTTGCGTGTAGGATAGCGCGGAGAGGGGGATACCGTACTCTGGGCCGAGAGCGTGGTGTGCGAGGGCCAGGCGGATGTGGTGGTATGCTAGTGTGTATGTATATCTCTCGCCGGCGGGGAGGTAGCTGTTGAACGCCGCGCAGTCGCGGTGCTTTTCTAATATATTGCTTGGGCTTGTCGACGCGTCCCAGGCGTGGAACACGTCGCACCACGCGCAGAACCAGTGTCCGGGGAACGCACGCTCCACCACGCCTTCGATGATGGAGCGCCGCTCGAACCGCGTTTTCGCCGCTTCGAGGTGCCCGGTTAGCGGGGCGGTGCCGAGCGCGTAGCTGAGGTAGCGGGTGCAGAGGCAGAGGGAGGCGGAGGAGGGGGCGTCGAGGTAGGTGGTTATGTGCTGGATGAGTTCTACTGGGAGGGCGAGGAGGGGGGGTTGTTTGCGGAGGACGATGGTGGCTTCTAGGGGGAGGGAGTCGGTGCTTGTGCGGGGTGTGGTGAGGGTGTTGCTTGAGGTTGACGTGTGGGAGTGGGTGGAGCTGATGCTCGAGGAGCGGCGGAAGAAGTTCATTGTTGGGAGGCGTTTGGTGGATGGAGTAAGTGTTCGATGATAGACAAGACAAGTCAAGACGAGCGAAACCACGAAACCCTCACTCACCTTCCCCCCCTCGGCCCTGCTTTTCTACACATACAAACCCACCCCATGCCCCCCTCCACCAAATGACACCAACACCGCGGCGCCTCCACGTGGCCCTGCATCTGCGCACGCGGCAGCAGTACCAGATAACGGCATGCGGTGTGTGAGGACTGCAAGGAACCAGGTGCTGGCGGGACGTATGAAACAGCGTGTAATGTGATGTGACGGGGTGTAGTGGAGTAGTGGAGTAGTGGAGTACCGGTATTCACCTGACGCGCATGTACTAGGCTCAACTGAGCTTGGCGTCTAATGGTGGAGCTCGGAACAGGTTTTGGGGGGCGTGATCAAGTTCCGTGGTATGGTATGGATATAATCTTGAATACACGCCCGAGTATGAGGCGATGTGTAGATAAACAAGAATGCGTCAATGAAGATAAAAACGTGAAATGGAATAAAAGATACCACCCACTCAATGCGACTTTCCCTAGCTCCTCCCAACATACAAGTTACAAGCCCCGTCTCCGTCTACCTCACATCAAATCATTACAAACAGCAGCGGTCCAGTCGTCATAACGGCAGAAAACGCCATCGGATATCAAGAAAAAGAGGGTTTTCAAACACGCCACTACCTCACAATCTGCAGATCAGCCAACTGCGGCGCCGGAGGACCAGTGCCAGATCGTCTCCTCCTCTCGCGCTCGCTGAAGCCAATGGGTTGCTCCAACTGCGTGCTCTTCCTGAAACGTCCGCCAAGCCCACGCATCCAGTCCTCGCCCTCGTCAGCACCGAGCCAGTACTTGGGCGCGCCGCTCAGCATGACCCGTCCGACCTTGCCCTTCCAACCATGACCCTCCTCTTTGCTCTCGGCGAAGGGGTTCTCGGCCAGATCGGCGGCGGACGTCTGCATGTTGTTCGACGTGTACCACGCAGCAGAGGAAGCGTTTGCGGCGATGTGTTGGCGGAGGCATTGTCGAGCAAAAGCCAGCATGATGAAGACGAAGTAGACGCGTAGTGCCCAGAAGGCGGAGATCAGGGAGATGCTCATGATGCTTCCGCTCTGGAAGACGACGTTTCCGAGGCCTGCTGCGCCGCGTCGTGCATTGTGACCTACTGCCACGGCATTCTGACCAGAGGGCATGCCTTCGGATGGCGCGGCGAGGATGTCGACCTGGCTAACGTTGTATTGTGGGCTTGTGAATCCTGCGTTGTCCGAGATGCCCTTGCCGCCTGGTACGGTGGAGTCTTCGGGGTGTGCAGCGAGGACGTAGAACCATGCGATGCCGAAGAAGGCTGTGTAGAGGGCGTTGATGACCGAGTCCAGCGCATACAGATGCGCCAACAGCACGCACTCAAACGGGCTTTGTAATCGGATGTGCTTGTAGAGATAGACGGTAGCGAAGAGGGCGATGGTCGAGTAGAGGTACATGGACAGCTGCCATCCGTCGATGTTTGCACCTGTGATGAGGGCGAGGAGGCCGTAAAGTCCCGAGACTTTGTTGATGACCTGTAGGAAGGTGATAATCTCCGCGCCGGTACGGAGGGACATTTTCTGGAGGAACGTCTGCACGGGAGGGTCAGTATCCGCCATGCTGACTGCTGACCGATGTTGTTTGTGGAGCAGTCGTGTTTGGAGCATGACAATGACATACCTTGGGGCGCGGAATCTCGAGCAACTGGGAAGGCGCCATCATGGCTTATTTTGGGTCGCGGGGACACTCCGCGCGCGATGAGAGAATACTACGAGACAACACTCCGACACGACAAGAGGAAGAAAAAGGTATCAAATGCTCTGCTAATATTCCGTGGGAACTGGAAGGTCGTGAAGTAGTAAAGTCAGGCGTCAATGCGGAAGCGGCGGGTAGATTTCTTAGGGCTGACTGATGAGTGAAGCTAAGCCCAAGCCAAAGTCAAGCCCCTTCCTTCATTTCGCACATGCCACGCCACGCCACGCGACCGACAGCGCGTATCCCAGTCACGCGACCCAACTCATCTCAACGGCTTCATGTCATATCGAAACGGTTTGTTTCCAACATAAAAGCGAAGAATGAAAAGCGAAGATCTCGAAAGTGTATATACACACAAGCGATAAATACAGCGCCATCCATCTACCCACTCCCATGCCATATCGCAAGAGACCAAAAACTAGTACCCAAGTACAGCCATATCAAACAAACCCAATTCAGCGCTCAACGCCACCGCAATGCCAAAACCTCAAGATACCCGCTCGCCATGCACGCACACGCACACACACTAAATAGCCAACCGCGTCACTAACGCTTCGACGAAAAGAAATGGTGCTTTTTCTTCTTCTTTTCCTCCTCCTTGCCATACTTCCCCCCACTCGACGCCGGCGCCGGACTGGGTGTTGGAGCGGGTGCCTTGCCTGCGTTCAGGTTGATCGCCCCCATAGCCGCTGTCGGGGGAGCTGGTCCACCTGGCCGCGGTGCTGACGGCGTGCTTACTGGAGCCGCTGGTCTCGTAAGGACAGGAGGAGCCACAGGTTTGGGCGGTTCTGGTTTTTCGAAAAGATGGGCTGGGGCTTTGGGAGGTGGCATGTCCATAGGCAGACGGAGAGCGCGGCGCTGCTGGCTCAGGTCGCCGACTTGACGGAGGAAAAGCGATGGCTTCATCATGTGGGATGTGACGAGGAAGACATCCCTAGATGTCTTGTTGGTGACGTCGTAGCAGACACGCGACTCGGAGTATGTTGCGCCGCCGGCCATGAAGACGATGACGCGCTGCCGGGGCTCCACGCTTGTGAGGCGCGACTTCGCCCATTTTGGTTTTGCGGAGCGGAGAGATGCTGCGGCGGGGGTGTTGTCTTGCGCCATGTTAGGGTCGTCGGGCGACATCTTGGTGAAGGGGAAGATGTCCTGTGCTAGTGTGCCTTGGACGTGTTGTTCTAGCATGTCTTGCAATGTCGGGTTGAATCGGGAGAGACCGTATTCTTCTGCTTCGAGCGGTGGAGGTTTTTGAGGGAACAGAAGGGGAGGTGGTTCTCGTTTTTCTTTAAACTGTCTGGCAATTCGCGCGCCGAGAAGGTCAAGATTGCGGATGATACTGGCGTCGCCGGGGGGAAGCTGTGCGTGGAACAATAGCTTCTGAAGATCAGCCGGCAAGATGCCTCCCTTGAACAAAACGTAAAGGGCAAGAAGACGCAGTCGGTCAGCGGGTGTCACTGCGTCCTCGTCCAGAGTCCGCACAATCTGGTCGTCCATGTTCTTTGGTTTGCGGTATTCTTCATCCAGCCCAGTGGCCAGACACTACAAATATTAGTTGATACGTTCGCCAGACCACGCTTCTGACATACCTGTTCTATCGATGCCAGATCCATCAGCTTGTGTTTCTGGAATATGTCCATGCACTTCTGCGCCATGTCAAGGTGCAAAGAGTAGGCCTCCTTCATTTCTTGGAATTGCGGGAGTCCGGCCATCATGTCTTTGATTGCATTCAGTCCATTCATGCCAGCCGCGGCCTGCGCGTCCTGCTTGGTGAACTGGGAGTTTTCGGCGATGAACTTTTGGAAGTTACCAATGACCGTGTCGAGAGTATCTTTCATATGGCGATGGCGGTTCTCCACCCACAGCTTGTCCTTGTCGGTCAGCTCCATCTCCTTCTCTTCTGCGTCGGGACCGTCGTCGTTGACAATGGCTTTGTAGGTGATCTTGTCGCCTTCGTTGATCTGCAGCAAATCGAGCGCCATTGCCTGGTATGTGAATTCATGCAAAAAGGGAGCCATGAGATCCATGGTTCGATCGGTGATGTACAGAGCGCCACGAGGCCGCTGCGATTGCGGTGGGAAGTCTTGGTTGTACTGGACGTACATGTCCAGCTTGTCTTGGACGAAGCGCGCGAGGTGTGAACAGAGGACGCTGGCCTCGTGGGTCGGGGCCCGCGGTCGGTAGTACCGAACAATGGGGTATTCACCGAGCGCGACACAGACTCCAGTGATCTGAGAGGTGGTGTTAGCTTGGATAGACAATGACTGAAGTAGGCGCATACCTTCTCGGCAAGCTCCTCCATGTGACGGACTACGACGTTGTTGCACTCTGGGTGGAAGAGAATGGGGAAGCTCCAGGGGTCCTTGAAGGTGATGAGGTGCGACTCTTGAGGGTGGTAGTCGAGGTGGACCGTCCTGAAGTTCCTGATCTGCTCTCGAGCCATCTGCGAGCGATCGATGCGCTCCTTGAGCGGCGGTGGGAGCACTGCAGATGCATTAGCCTGGGAGCTTCACCACGCGACGTGTAGCATGCTCACAGGTAGTCCATATCAGGAACATGCCCCTGTATCTCCGGCGCTCAAAGTCGGCCATGATGCAGTCGACAATGTGTGGCTTCGGGGTGAGGATGTAGATGGCGTCCATGTCCTGCTGCGTCTCGCGCCGGTCCTCGAGGCGCTCGATGTCTGCGGGGGGTCAGGGCGCGCGTCTGGGACTCTGCAGCGGCTGCGACATACTGGTGATGTTGGAGTTGAGGATGTCATCTTCCTTGACGACGTTGTCTAGGAGCTTCTTGCTGTCTTCGTCGACGATGAGGACCTTCCACTGGACGGGCGTCAGCAATGCGCGGGCAGACGCGGAGTGGCATGCGTACATCGCCGCGCGTGGTGGAGCGGATGGTGGTGAGAATGACTGGGGCGTGTTAGCCGTGTCGGGCGCGTGTGTGCAGGCCGTGGAACGCACGCTCTCGCTGGATGTCTATCATGGAGACGGCCATGATGGCGGGGTATGGCAGCTGCAGCCGCGTGGAAGTGCCCAGGACGCGATGGAGGCTGTGAAGGGGTCGCGGCGAGTGTCCTGGCAGCTTCACGGCCTTGTCTGTTCCGAGTAGCGAGTGAGGGGCGTGTCGTGTCGCGACGGTCGTGTTTCGGGTTGGCCGCGGTGGTGTCGCTTGCCCGAGCTGCATGCATACGCTTGGCTCAACTTTTTCCAACCCTACTGACGTCGACCACTTGCACCCGCCTCTCTGCCTCTGCTGGCCACGCCTCTCTGCTCCCTCTGCTGGGTACACCCCTCTCCCGCCCACGCCCACTCCCGCTCCTGGTATGCCTCGACTGCCGGCGCGGCGCAACTCGCTGTGTCTCTTCTGCGCCTTCGCCCGCCCGCCGCCTCGCCTCCTCCCGCGCATCCAAATCGCAAACAGAACCTCAACCGCAAAAAGCGGCTCCCGCTCCCCGAAGCCCTTCTTCAATGTCCTCGACAAAAAGAACCCCTTCCGGTTCCAGCCCGAAAAAAAGTCGCCCTCGGAGACGGTCAGCGAGAAACTCGACAAGCTCCGAAAAGAGTTCGCCGCAGACGACTTCCTCGACAGTCTCCAGCTCACTAGCACTGAGTTTGACCAAGAATGGGTTGCCTTCGAACGCTCCATCGCCCAGTGGGTCAAGCAGGAATCGGACAGGCTGTATACGCTGATAGGTGAGGCCCACCGAGGGAAGGGCACACTGGAAACAGAGCTGCGCTATCGCTTCTACGCCCAGACATGTGGTCAACACTTCACATCGGCAGAGCTGGAGAACCAGAAAGACGTGGCAGACCTGCGCTATCCCTCCGAGTGGTACCCCTCGACACGAGAGATCCCGCGTGTAGTGCACATGCACGTGGGGCCCACCAACTCTGGCAAGACATACCGTGCCCTCAAACGCCTCGAGGAAGCCCACACGGGCATCTACCTCGGTCCACTCCGATTGCTGGCCCACGAGGTCTACACACGTCTGAATGCAAAAGGCAAGGAATGTGCCCTCGTCACGGGCGAGGAGCAGCGCCTGCCCGAGGGTGATGCGGCCGCCATGTTCAGCTGCACAGTCGAGATGGCGCCCCTGAACACGCCTTTCGATGTCGCCGTCATCGACGAAATACAGATGATCAGTCATCCAGAGCGGGGCTGGGCCTGGACGCAGGCATTTCTGGGCTTGCAGGCTAAGGAGATTCACCTTTGCGGCGAGGCGCGCACTGTACCTCTCATGCGCGAGCTCTGTGCTCTCGTGGGCGACGAGGTCCATGTCCATGAGTACAACCGTCTGACGCCTCTCAAGGTCGAGCATCGAAGTTTACGCGGAAATCTGAGTCTGCTGGAGAAGGGTGACTGCATTGTCGCATTCACAATCCTCGGCATCCATGCTCTACGACGCGAGATTGAGAAGCAGACCTCGAAAAAGTGCGCCATTATCTATGGCAGCTTGCCTCCTGAAACAAGAGCCCAGCAAGCTCGACTGTTCAACGACCCAGACAATGATTTTGACTACCTCGTGGCTAGCGATGCCATTGGTATGGGGTTGAACTTGTACGTATCTCAAATGTCGAGCTCGCGTCTCTTGTAAGCTAACAAACATAGGGCCATCAAGCGTGTCATCTTTGAGTCTACCATGAAGAACAATGGGACGACCTACGTTCCTCTGCAGATATCCGAAGTCAAGCAGATCGCCGGCCGAGCTGGTCGTTACAAAACCGCGCATCAAGCAGTCAGCGAAGACTCCACATCAGCTTCAGTAACCGACATTGCTGCTGACCCCGCTATCGATCTGGACGACAAGAAGGAACCTGACCCTGAGGTCAAAACTGTCGGATGGGTAACGACTCTCGATCAAATCGACCACGACTATCTCCGAAGAAGCATGGAACGCGAACCCGAAGACATCACCAGCGCCGGCGTCTTCCCGCCCTCCCTCGTCGTCGAGCGCTTCGCAAGCTACTTCCCCCCCGGCACCCCCTTCAGCTACATCATGCTGCGCCTCCACGAGATCTGCGAAATCCACCCACGCTTCCACCTCTGCGCGCTCAAAGACCAGCTCGCCATCGCAGACGTCATCCACCCGGTCAAGAACCTCAGCATCCAAGACCGCATCACCATCTGCGCCGCCCCTATCAACACCAGGCAATCCGCAGAACAGCAATTCCTCCGCTCCCTCGCGGAATGCGTCGCAGACGGCAAATCAGGCAGCCTTCTCGACCTCCCCGACCTGCCCCTGCACTTCATGGACCTCCCCGCCACCCGCGAGCGCAGCTATCTGTATAAGTTGGAACAACTCCACAAGATGATCGTGTGCTACCTCTGGCTCAGCTACCGCTTCCCCAACGTCTTCACCACGCGGCCCCTCGCTAACCACGCGAAGAAACTCGTCGAGGATAAGATCGAGAAGACGCTTACGGAGTTTAGCTTCACGGAACTCGCGCGAGAGCGTATGAGGCGTAATAGGGAGAAGGCGCATAAGGGGATGGGTGAGGATTTTGTTGCGGAGAAATACACCCCCGCCGCTGCGGCGCCTGGCGTGCCTGTTGCGGAGAAGATTGAGTGGGATGCGGCGAGGGTTGAGGTTCCTCCGGTGGTGGTTGAGCGGGATGAGGAGCGGGATTTGTGGACGGGGTAGACAGGTAGGCGGGCATTTATAAAAGGTAGTTACGATGTAGTGCGAAATGGTGTACGATTATGGAGATGGAAGATGTAAATTTAGATATCATGGGCTCCTTCCGCCCTAGATCGACCTGACTTTCGTCTTGATGCGAGAGTTTTCTTTTCTTTCGAGACGCATGGCCAGGTTATGGCGTTGTGCGGATTGGGATTGTTAGATATGTATGTACCACCATCTTCACTGGAATGAAATGAACTGCTTGTATTCATTTCCGAAACACACATATACATACACCCACACCCACCCATCTCCTTAATACACTATACAAGAACAACGTCCACATATTAGATGCAGACTCCACCGTCTACCCAGCCTCGTTCAAATCTACGCATACCCTCCCAATCAGTCAGTCCATGCACGACACTCACTCACTCACTCACTCACGCGCCCTTTCGTCGAAACAGCAGGAAGGAAATTTGACTCGGCTTGGTAGATAGATCGACTTGATGATGGAAGTAAACACCGCAAGTAGAACAGCGCTCTATGGTAGGTAGGGAGTGGATGTGTTTGGCAGGGGTATTCATATACGTTGGGTAAGAAGTTTACGTGTAGTTGTTTGTCTAGCTGCTGCAAGATGCATTATTTTGGGATTATAACGTATTCATGCCTATTGCACAAGCAGATAGACGCAACACAGTAAAAATCTAGTATAGTAACTCAGTGTAGAAGATGATACCTAGCCCCTGAGCACACAGTGGCCATCAGTGAGAGTACACAGTAATAATAACAGAGAGCTAATCAACCGTATCTTGACGACTGGCTGCTGGATGTACTAATGCGGACGCGTGTTCGAGAGCCCAAGCAGTAATCGAAGTTTGGTTCGGCTTCAGGAGTTATGTTAAGCGTAGGAGTTTTGTTAAGCGTAGGAGTTACGTTGAGCTTAGGAGTTACGTTGAGCTTAGGAGTTGCGTCAAGCTTGGGAGCACCTCCAAGCGCGAGTAGTCGTTCGTTATCATATCTAGCTCCTGTAAGATACATGTATGTGTGCTACTCCTTACCTCTCCACTTCCAACCTTTGTACTTGATTGACTGAGAAGTTGGACCGGCATCAAGCAAGCCATACCGAACCCCAAGATCAAGCAGACGGTTGCAAACATCACTAATTTCGAGACACAATTTTCTCAGTGGACTTTTTCGCATAGAAAAGCTAACCCGTCGACCAATCTCTCTTGCTGAAGCAAAATATATACACAAAAACGAATGGCTCAGCCGCGCGGGCCGGAAGAAAAGTATGTCCTCATCCTCGTAGAACAGCCACACTGCTCAATCCCCTCCTGCTACTTCCCCATCAATCTACCCATCCGCCCAGCAGTCTCAATCTAAGCAGGCTGCGCAAACGTCGAGCCAATCGGCCCAAAGCGAATGTTCGAAAACACAACCGTCGATCCAGGACTATTAGCCTCCACATCGGCGGGCGTCCCAGAAGTAGTCGCGCAAGTCCCCCTTGCAGCCCCCGGCTTAGTAGAACCCACGGGGTAAGTAGAATCCAACCAGAGCATGTTAACCGCATGATCGTCCCACAAGCTCATAACCAGGACATGTCCGCGAGCGAGCGAAGCACCCATTGCGTTAAGTCCACCCATAGTCGCGAACGAGTTTGTGTCGCCGAAGACGCTCTTCTGCGCTGTGCAGAAGGCGTCTGTGATGGAGTTTCCGGTCACGCCGGCGATGGTCGAGTTGCTGTTCTTGAAGACTTTGCCGTTTTGCACGTAGAAGCGCTTGATCTCTGAGAGCTTGGAGCCGGAGCCGATGAATTGGGTTACGACGGTCATCTTCTGGGCGGTGTTGAGGGTTTGGCCGGGGCCGTAGAAGTCTTTGACGCCCATGCGGTAGCTCTGTTGTGCTTGTTAGTTTTTGCTGTATTGTACTGTATGGTGTGTGGGGGGGATGAGCTTACGTTGAAGTCGCAGCCGTCCTTGTCGCAGACACCGCCGTAGCGGTTGTCGCCGTCACCACATGCGGTGCCGGTGCAGGCCTGGAGACCGGTTCCCTTGCAGGGGTGGGGCGTGTAGGCCGTCGAGACGGAGTTTGCCTCCCAGATATCCATCTCAGGGCAGCAGGCGCCGGTTGTGCCTGCGCCGGCGTTGGGGTCGTTGGCAGAGCCGACCCAGCCGGCGCTGTTGGCAACACCGTTGATCCACTTGATGTCGTGGGGGCACTGGGAGTCGCAGTATCCTTTTCACACATTAGTCAGAGCCCGTCATGGCGAGGAGAAGGATGAATTCGACATACCGGTTCCGTACTTGGCACCAGCCTTGTTGTTGCCCTTGTTGATGCCACCGTCGGCGGCCATCTCAACGAAGTAAAGAGCACCGTTCAAGCCGCAGGGAAGCTTGGAAACGTCGACATCAAAGGTGAACTCGTTGTTGACGAGGTTGAACATCTGGTACTTGGTGTCGCTCTCCATGAGGTAAGTTCGGGAGCCGATGTTGGTCGAGTACGAGCCCTTGGTCACAAACTTCAGCGACAAAGCATCAGATGCTGTAGTGATGCCGTAGGTGCCTGTCACAAGTTAGCTTCTAAATTTTCAAGCCCATGGATGAGAAGCAAAATACCAGCGTAGTCGGCACCGTCGATAGCGCAGTTCTTTGCGCAAGTGGTGCCGTCAGGGCAGAGGGTAGCGTCCCATGTGTTGCCGGTGTAGCAGTTGGTGGATCCACCAATGTTGTGGGCCCAGCGCCAGTTAGAGTCGAGCGTAATCGAACCAGCCTTTGTGGTACAGCTGGTTCCGCCCTTACCAGTGCAGGTCTTCCATGAGAGTGAAGGATGCGTCTCAGCGGTGTTCGTTCCAACCTGCTGAGCGCGGGCGGCCCCGAGAAATGAGAGCGAAGTGAGGGCGAGTGTCTTGTACATCGTAGCTGTTGAGGGAGGGTTGATTGCTGGATGATGAAGGGTCCTTTGTTGTTGGGATGGCTTCCTTATATATGATTTGGACTGCTACTAGAGACTGTCTTCGGCTCGTTGGGAAAGTTTCCATATGACCCCAGGGCTGGTCCATGTTGGACGTCGATGGATACTATTGCCGCCAATATCACGGTATTCACGGACGACCGGGAACAGGAACAAAAGCTAGAGTCGCTAGTTGATGAATTGTAGATGAAGTGATCTTCATTGTGGAGTTGTCTGGGGTAATGCGACGGGTACCTTGCCCCTAGTACCCTTTGAAAATTAGCAGCGGCTGGGTATAGTCAGGGGGAAACGTGATATCCTTGGTTACTGGATTTTTGCCTCCAATAGCTGAATGGGTTTAACAGTACATTCTCGTAGAAAGACCTTAAGGGGAGCCTTGCTACAGGTGCAAATATGAAAAATTGAAACGCTCGGTTTATGACTCCAATCTCAGTGAGATCCATGTACCTGTATGGATGCTTTCAGTATCCAGGCCGACCCCAGACCCTGTATTGCCTTGGTTGTTGATGTGTAACCAGACGCGCCGTTGAAAAGCTCCACCGACGATAACTTGTTGTAGAGGCGCCTGCGTGTAGACCCATAGTCAACATTAGCATCTACCATGAACAACATGGAACGGATAGATTGACTCGTCTACGTCGCGTGCGTCGATATTAAACAGGACCGGTAGGTTCCTCCGTTCTGTATAGGGAAGGTAATTTGGGAAGGGTCATGAGGCTCAACTATGTTGTCTGAACCCACGATGATCCGTCCAAGCACCTTGGTAGTCTGTGTTTCTTGTTAACGCTGGTATAAGCCTCGTTTGGATAGTGAGCGTAGGCACAGGAGGTGCGGCCTCCGGCGCCAACGGGACGAGATCCCTGGAGTCAGGGACGTTTGAAGCTCGGTACGTCGTTGCCACGCTGTGCAGCGGTCGTAAAGTGGCCTCGTCCCACATGTGTGGATATCATCTTGCGTTCCATACGATGTAGACCAAGCCCGTGGTTGATGAAAAGCGTCGCTTTGTATCATGATTGTCGTTAGGATATCGCAATGCGTACACGGAACCGTGTCCATTTTCTTCCGGACATGCATGTCTCGATATTCTATAACATTCCTTTCGGTTTTCTATCGTGTCTTGTCTTCAGGCTGCGTGGAAAGCCATTCGTGTGGATCCGAGGTCGATTTCAGCCTAATCAAGTCCCATGCAAGTAATATAAACCACGAGCCATTTAGATGACTTGTAAGTATTTGCAGTCAGCTGAGATTTTTTCTTAAACTCCAACGTGTCTTTTTTGTAACGGGAAATTCATTCGCCAATCCAATCTGAGAAGCAGATCTGGCGCGGACTGAGTTATGCAGAATGTAGGAGCTGGTACGCGATCTGGTGTAGACAGTCTGACGGAGAAATCGCGCAGAAACGTTTCCGCATGTCTTTCTGGCCGTAAAATACGTAAACGAATGCTCTGTTCCTGTTTCAACATGTAAGATTTAGTTAGGCATCGCGCTAGTTGCCTGTCATTGTAGCGGCATAGCTGCATGAGATTGATTGTTTGTGAGGCGTAGCGAGGAGCATCGGGAAAACGGTGCAGGGACGCGAAGGATCCAGCGAAATCATAAGTTCAACATGCCACTCTCGTGAGAGTTTCGGTATAGATTCGACGAGAACGAAAACAACGAGAAAGCGGTTGATGATGACGAGAAGATAAGGAGTGGGCGTGGCTTCCTAGAATTTGGGAAAATCACTAAGCTCGAAAAGGTATCGCGCTGTTTAGCCAGTCAGCATCACCCAAAACACTTTGTGCAGAAGTAACACTCAATTTTTCTAACTCTAAACCCTCTCTTACAGACCTCGCGATTTTGATCTCTGTGTTATGTCTACGGAGTGATGACAAAAGATGGCTCGATATACCACTGGATTGTCGGCCTGCCTCTCGATTAGTCGAAATACCAGGAACCAAGATGCAGCGAAACCTTGCAACACCCTAACAACTACATCTAAGATCAGTATTGGGGGTTCATACCTAATGCCGCTAAAAGTAATACTCTTAGCATCCATCTTTGTGGATTTTATTGTTATGGTTCTGCGGCTTCATAGAGCCTTCACGTACGCAGCTTATTTCCCGCTTTCCCACTTGACCGAGAGTGTGGCTCACACAGAGCTTTGATCAATGAAGACTACGGGGCTGTAAACCTCATTACATTACAAGCAATATCATTCGACGTTCCATCCAGCCAGCTGTATGGCCAGGACTCATCTGAAAACGGAGCAGTTACATGCACACATGTTTCTGCTGTTCTAATGTGCCTCTACTTCTAAAGCATTGTTACGCCCGCTTCCAGCAATCAATGACGCTCGGTAGACAATTCTATAAAGTGCGGACGAGTTGACAGTTCCGACGGTGGGTGATGGCCTGATAATTCCGAGACTTGATATTGGTTCGACAGTTCTGCTTTTCCCATGAGTGGTTGTTGTTGGGCAGCTGTGTAATCTGACGAATAGCCGTGGCCTTGTTCGAATCCTTGCATTTCATCTCCATTTGACTTATTCTTCCGCCTCCACCAAAAGATGGCGCCCACGATAAGTACGATACCGATGATCGGCCCAATCACTGCCCCAGCGATCCAAGCTTTGCTTTGTGACGTCGGCGCGGCTGGAGAGGTCGAAGTCGGGGTTGCGGAAACACTCACGCTCGATATAGTCGACGTACTCGATGACGTCGAGGCTGAAGCCGTTGGAGTTGGGGAACTCGTGCTCGATGTGACGATGCGAGAGGATGAAGTGGTGACGGCTAGATTACGGTACACTGTGTTTGCGCTCCATGCAAGGCGACAAGCGATATTGTGTGCCGAAGGAAGAATATTGGGGGATGTAGCAAATATCGTCATATCTGCGCAAGTAGCACCTCCAGCGCTGTTTCTCTCGTCAGTCATATTCAACTAACTCGGCCTGCAGGATGAACCTACCATACTGCAGTCGCGCCATTGTTGAGAAACGCTGTACCATCGACGCACTCCGTTGTCAGCGGGCAATTCCCACTGACTTTGCAATCCCCGGCAATGGTACCACTTGTCGTCCAGCTAGTACCAGCAAGCAGAGGTTCGACTGAGTGATGTCAGTTTTGCTTCACGCTCAAGCATGTGAAGAGGACGAACGAGAATCAGGCGCGACATAATAACCAATAAACCTGGAGCTCGCCCAGGTAGTTTGTGGTAGTGACTGGCCTTCAACCCGGAGCGCCCCGGCAAGCAGGAGGAGCATAGGTAACATCGCGGTTCAGGATGTAGTGGGACAGACACGCCTCGACGTTCACTGTCGCAAGTTGAGATCCCAAAGAGGGTATGATGACTACGGCGGTCTCGTGGGCTAGGCCTTCTTATCTTGCGGGCAACGGTAGGCGCCCAACACATGTATGTGCCTTTGGCTTTTTGAGGTTCGAGGTTCAGCCTTGGGGTCCGAATTGCCTGATTGGACGAACAGTCATGCTGTGGCGCGCACTTGGGCACAATGATTACCCGGTGGCTTTTTCCCTCCAGCACACTACATCTTACTATTGCACAGTCGCCGACCTTGTTCTCCTGCGTGCTCGGGTCGTATGTCTAGGTTGAGCGAAGCCAGTCTCATGGTTTGGTTAGTACTGGTTCGACCCGTAGAACTTCGGCCCGTAACTATTTGGCTAGGCGTAACAGGAGAATGACGCGTTTCCCACGGTAAATAGAAAGTAAGAGGATATAGAAGCACCAGCCCTCTAGGTACCTGTGCCGCTAATAGTGCGGAAGTTAATTATTTTTGGCTGTTCTGCAACAAAAATTCAGGGAAGCTGTAATACAGGCTGAGGTTTGTGCTTGATCCTGGGAGTTAAGCCCTCGGGTCTGCGTGGATGACATTATAAGTGGCTCCTGAATTTTGTGTGTGAGGATGACCGTCTGAAGTATGTCCTGTGTTGTAGTCTTGGGTGTCTGGACCCTAAAAAGGCGTGAAAGGTGCTCTGCCAATCGTGACGTCCAGTGTACTTCAATAAAAATCTTTTCTTTGCATGTAATCGCGAGTGCGTTGTTTGGTCACAACCCTGGTGAATGGAGTAACTGTCGTCAGAGCAACCTTGGAATTGAAGAGCGCAGCTTTGATTGGTTCTTCGAATTTTGTCAGCGCCAACCCCTAACGAAGCGAACACCCCTACGTAATGTTCCCTCGCTGCGCTCCACACAAACGGCTATACACGGTCATCTAGCCTTTATTTGAGACGCTACATAAGTCAGTGTAAGTCTCAACAGACATAAAAGACTATTCGCTGATAATGCACAGGCTCGACAGACCTCGTGATCATGACGCTATCACCAGAATGGATGGATTTCAGTGATATCAGGCGACATGCAACACAGCATTTCAAAGCTGCGCTGGATTCTCTTCCTCCGCAGTTCACGGTCAAGATCGAAAAGTTGACCGAGGAACAGATCCGCATTCCGGTGAAAAGCGACGCCCGCACAAATTCAGTGGTGCGGTTTCGACTTTTGGTTGGTCGTGTCAAGTCACCTACTCTTCAGAGTATCTATCTGTATTTTGTGGAAGATACCACGCGATTTCTTCTCGAGAAGCTTTTTGTAGGCGATAAAGCGATCTCCAAGCTGCAGTTGAAGAATGCGATCTGGGAGAAACCCTTCTGCCATCTCATTGACACAGACATCAAATTCAACGGGCCGCTAGCTCGAACTGTGGCGTTGTATTATTTGACAGAGAATGGGCATGTAGAACGTTTCAAAGAAGATCACAGGATCTTCTTTCTGAACTTCCGCATGGCCTGTGCCAGAATTTTCAAAGCCCAACTCGAGACAGGTTCGTCGAAGGCACAACCGGACCCAACACCGCGAACACCGCAAGAGTCTCAGCAAGAACAGAGAGATCATAGAAGATCCAGGGGTTCATTGCCCAGCCAGAACGACATACAGGATAACAACATCGCTTCTGGAATGCCTTCGTCTAGCGTGGAAACGATTGCGCCTCAAAGGTCTGTCCAGAGGAAGCGAAAAAGAGACAGTACAGCTGAGAATCGATTAGCACGTACAGATCCAGGTCAGTCGGAGTTGTTCCTGATCCGAGTCTTGACTGCTTACACTACTGCAATACAGACGTTACAACAAACGAAGCATCAGAAGTGGACATCTCAGTAAGTCCAGCTTTGTATCGCCGATGTACTTGGGAAAGTGAACTCACGTTCGGTTTTAGGATGACGAAAACATGTTCATAGACCTGCACAAGCGCTTGAAATTCTTCAGGAAAGACAAGGAAAGCAAAATTAAGTGCCTGGAAGCAGAGCTCAGTCAACTACAGCAGGAGGCAAAAGATTTCGAAGACCGAGCCAAGCATGCAGAATCAGAGCTTGATGACGTGAAGGCTGACCTTGCGTTTCTCCGCAGCGATCAGGTGGCAATGAAGACGGAGATTGAGGACTCCAAAGCCAGAACAGAGGAATTGAACACCCAGGCTACCGGCCTAGAGCACGCAAAAGTTGAGTTGACGAGGAGTGTGCGTCAACTGGAAGCAGAGAAAAAGAGGCTTGAAGCTAGCAATGCAGCTCTGAAAACCGAGCGCCAGGGCTTCAAGGACTGTTATGAAGACCAGAAGGGGGAAAATGCAGGCCTGATGAAGAAGAACCAAGCTCAGGAGAACGTTATCAAGGCACTAGAGGAGAAACATGCGAAAACCAAAGCGCAAATGCATGCTTTGGTGAACGAGCTTGAGGTGGACGGCTAGGCTGGTCTACGATTGATGCGAGACATTGGATTCGTAAACCGCTTAAGCGATATATACTATGAGCGATGTCTAGATTCACTTGAATAATGCTTCGTTATATTTATGGACGAACAGACTGGACAACTCTCAACGTTGGTTATTCACATCATGTTTCTGCAGGGACCGAGATGATGACTGCCGCGGACCGTTCCGCGCTCGCGTGTTTACGTGACCACGCTAAGTGATGCGCCATCCCCTCTTCCACCACTACCTCTCTCTAGCGCGACAAGAAACCAGGGCCGTCATCGCAGCGATCTGACACTACGCTCGATGTCCACGTGAAGACGACACAGACTACGACGATCGTTTCCTTTCCATAAAGAGGTTGCTTTGACCGCGCCTCACGTCCACCAGGAGGCCACACCGTGTGGTGCGAACAATGCAGGATGGATCTCATCGCGTACACATACCTTCAAAGGGTGTGACCCAGGATGAATCGCGTCGTTCAGCGATCGATCCTAGCGTCACTCCAACATCCAGCAGGCCAGTTACTCAAAAGACGCTGACGTTGTCCGCTATCCAACAATATGCGCTACGAAACTTCGAGGCGGCATTTGAATGTCTCCCAAGTACGGACACGATTCACATCGAGACCATCACCGACTACGAGAAGCCTGTTCCTCGAAACAAAAGTAAAGTCAGGAATGTTCGTCTAGTTGTGGGTCATATGGGTGGTCATATCCGTTTCAAAAAAGATGTATTTGCCTATTTGACGGAAGAAAATGACTTTCTCCGTGCAGTGTTTTACGTCGGAAATAGAAAGATTGAGGATTTGGCGTATCTTGCCGGCGACCTCTACAAACCTTTCTGCGACATTTTCTGCGCACAGGAAATGGAAACCGCTATGCAGAGTCAACTGACGGCCTTGGTTTTGTATTACAGTGCGGCGTCCGGTCTTTTGACGAGCTTTCGCGCACAAGAGTCTTTCTGGGATCACCTTGCGGCCGCTTGTATGAAGGTGCAAGAGAGAGTTATGCAAACAACTTCACAGAATGCCAATGGCGATGACGATGTGAGCATCGCTCGAACAGATGGAGCGAATGACATTGACCATGCTGCCAATCTCAACACGCACATCACCGCCACACCGAATACCCAAATATCAACGTGGTTGAGGAAGACTGCCCCGAACCAGAGCGTGGCTAGGAAAAGGCCACTGGATGAAGGAACTGAAGACAGTCACCCTGTTACAAACCAAGGTCAGATACACTAATCGGAAATCCGCGAGTATGTTCCTAATTGTGTCATGTGTAGATACGCCCTCAACCAGAAAAGCACGCGAGGAGACACCTGTGAGTGGTTGATTCGAATATACGCGTTTTATCACCAACTAACAAACATCCAGGACATTGACGTCTTTGTCCAAGCTTTTAAAAAACTCAAGTCTGACAAGCACAGCTTGGAGGCCAAAGCCAGCGAGACCGCAGACCTACAGATGCGCCTGGAAGAAGCACATCAAAAGGAGATTGCAGAACTACAGGACCGTCTTATACAAACACACCAGAAGGATATGGCCGACCTGCGGAGCTCCCTCGAAGAGGCTCATAATGTAGAGATTGCCAACCTAAAAACCCGCCTTGAAGAGACACACCGTAAAGAAATCAACGACGTACGACTTCTCTTTGAAGACGAACAACGGACGGAAATCCTGAAGACAAAGGAGCGAGTGACTGCCGACATGATGCATCTCGTCAACGAGTCAGACCGAAAGCTAGCCCACGCCAAATTCAAACTGTCCAGCGTGGAGGAGAAATGCAACGCAGCCGAACAGCGCCACCAAGCCGCAGAAGCCCAGCTCCGCACAGCAGAAAACGACCGTCACATCCTCCACACAAACAACGAGACTTTGCACGAACAACTCCGCATCTCGCAAGACAAAGCAGACACCGACACAGCAACCATAAAATCCCAAAGCCAGATCCTAGACTCCATCTGGAAGCAAAAACAGACCCTCGAGCGCGAAATCACAAACCTAAAAGCCACAGCAAAAGAATCCCAACACAACGTCGTCTTCCTCGTAACCACCAGACAAGAGCTCCGCAAGCAAGTCCAACACCTCACCGCTGCGCTCAAACAGCACGAAGCAGACTCCCTCGCCAAACACACAACCACAGAGCTGAAGCAGCAACACCTAGTGCAGCAAAACCACGACCTCAAAGCCCAAGTCAAGGCACTACACACCGACCTCACGAATGCCCAAAACGCCCGGCAAGACCAATACGAACACCTCACCCAGCAGAACCAGGCCCGAATCGCAGGTCTTCAATCCGCCGCCGAAACCTCCAATAACCGCGCTGCAAAATCTGCACTCCGCACCGCTGCCCTTCTTGCCGCGCTGTCCTATCATGTAGACCGCAACACCGCCCTGCAAACTACACACGATGCCTTGCAAACTGAGCACGATGCCATACAGACTGAACACGATGCCCTGGAAACTGAGCACGATGCCCTACAAGCCACCCACTCCGCGCTGGAAACCCAATTCGCCCATCTGCAGCGCGAGAAGCAGACGCAAAGCGCGACACTAGCACAAGTCATTGCGTGGCGGCGGGCGGAGAGTATAAGTTTCAGTGCGCAGGTGGAGAGTTTGGAGGAGGCGGTTAAGGCTGGGGTGGGCGAGTTGCGGGCGTATAAAGCAAGGGTAAAGGCGGTTGTTGATGCGATTTAGGAGTGTGGATGTGTGTCTATACACGTCATGTATGCTCAGCAGCGTATTCTCTCGCTTTCAAATTCTCGGGGAGGCGTTGTGTACATCCCCACAGCTTATACACGTGCACACCCAACACGCGACTCCAACGCCTTCCTACACGCGCCCACGCTCACGAACGCGTATATGCGCACCTACTCACAGCCACACAACTACAAGAACCAGATTGGCATAACACGAAGTGATTTTTGAATACATAATATCTCGCACACATACTCCGTCCAAAAAAAAAAGAAGAATCCACGTGACACCGCGCCCCGCTCCAACGCGTATCCCTCGGACCGAAACCCGCATCTTCTGTCCGGTCCGGGGATTCCTGCTTGGTAAGCGAGTGGTGTGAGTGGCTGAACTGGTTTGTTCAACAATATATCTCTTGCTATCACATACATAGATAACGTATATATCTCTATCTGCATCGTTTGTGTTTTCTGTTTCTGTTTTGGTTTCTTTTACGAGTAGGGTTCATGACCTATTTTCTCCGACGGCTTAGGTACTGCACTCCGCTTCGCACCACCGCCCATTATCGATATTGCACAACAGCGCGTACACAGCAGCAAACGCACGCCTCTCCAAACACCGCGAACATGGCGTCCTCGGTGCCAGAAAACACAGCCGCAGCATCCGCCGCCGCAGCATCCGCCGAAGCACCCCCCCTCCCCAAGCTCAACGCCGCAGAATTCCGCCAATACAACCGCCTAGCCGAGCACATGGACTACTTCCACACGCACTTCCGGTCGACCTACAACACACTCTACACAGCCTGCACAACGCAAAAACGGCCCGCAGGAATGTCAATCCGCTCCTTCCTCGCACTAGGCGAGCAATTCTGCGCCCAACTCACCATGCACCACACCATCGAGGAGCAGCACGTGTTCCCCGTGCTGGCGCGCAAGATGCCCGCGTTCCGCAAGGAGCTGGAGTTGCTGGAGCAGCATAAGGAGATTCATCGCGGGTTGGATCGGCTGGAGGAGTATTTGAGGGAGTGTCGGGTTGGGGAGAGGGAGCTGCGGTTGGGGGAGTTGAAGGGGGTTTTTGATGGGTTTGGGGGGGTTTTGTGGAGGCATTTGGATGAGGAGGTTGAGCAGTTGGGGGCGGAGAATATGAGGCGCTTTTGGACGCTGGAGGAGATGGAGAGGTTGAGGCTGTGAGGTTTCGGGGCTTATTTTTTGCGGGTTTTGCCGAATTTCTCGTGCCATTTTCGTGCTGAGGACTTTGCTGCTGTGACGGTGTTGACGATGGTGGGGAGGGTGGCGGAGTGGCTTTTTAGTTTTATGGTGCTGTTGGTGGGGAATTCGTATACGCCTTCAATGGCGGCTAGTTGGGCGTCTTTGCGCCATGCTTCGGGCAGTCGGTCCTCCCATGTGTCTGTGAAGTCGGCGATGAGGAAGTCGCTGGTGCCGTGTTTGGCCTCGAGCAGGATCCTGCCGGTGAAGGCTACTGTTTTTGTGCGATCGAGACACGACCATGAGCTGTTCGCGTCCGCGTCTTCTCTGGCGAGGTGTCTCAGTATAGCTTCTGCCAAGCTTGGGGGATGTCCTTCCTCAGCCGCGGCCTTGGAAACGTCGTCCACCAGGTACTGGCTGTCGAGCTTGAAGCCCTCTGCGAAGGCGGCGCTGTTTATTGAGCGCCAGACCTGGTTGAGCGCGTATGCAGACGGCCGGTAGGAGCTTCCCTCGTGCTCAAAGGCCATCAGCTCGCGCCATGCTGCCACACACTGTCCCTCTGACAACGGGATGTGCTCGAAAATGTTGTCCCTGGTCTTGGCGTTGGGTGTCGCGTCAACGTCGTTCTCGACAATGTCGTAGACAGGCAGTGCTTCCTGCAGGAGCGTCACGGCAGACGCATCGGACGGATAGAGCTCGAGGGTCGCGGTGCACGAGGCCACGGCGCAGGTGGCACGGGTGGGAATCTCGTTGCCATGGTGCTCGCAGGCAGGCTGGGTGACGAAGAGGACGTTCGACGTTTGTACCTGGCGTAGGTGGAAAGTGGTGGTCGGGGTGCAGAACACGGCATATGCAGGCCTCGGGTTGGGCGTGCCTGAGGCGGCGGGGGCCTGCGACTTGATGGACAGGCTGGGTGGTCAGCATTGTACGGTTCGTCTCCACGCCGACACGGGACGGCAGCGCACATACAGCGGGGGACGGGGCGCGTCAATCAGCGCAGCCAGGTCAGGCGGCAGCTCGAGCAGGCGGAAGTGCTGCAGCGCGTGGGCGACGGAGAAGGGCACGCCGCCCTCGTCCTGCTGCGTCGCCATTGACCGGAATGTGCTGGGCGCTGGCGGCACTGCTGTAGGAGTTGGGCGCCGATGACGGTGGGCGGTGTCTCGCTGTCCACGTCCAAGCGTCGCTGGATCTGCGAGCGGCTCTTTGGCGAGCGCCGCGTCGATGGTGGCTCAACAAGGCCCATCCAGCACGCCGTCGCCTACTTAATCGTGGCCAGGGACCCCAGCCCAAACACGGTAACGCCGCTCGACCTGTCGCCCGTCAGCAATTCGCGCCCTGCGCTTGGCTGCCGTCTGGTGCGCATCGTGCCTTGTTTTGGACTTGCGCAGGAACAGGACCATATTTCGCTGCTGCTGCCCGTCGCCCTTGCCGGTGCTGTCGCTGTTGCTGTTGTTTACCCACCAGCCACCGCCTCGACTCGCCCTCCCGCATGGCCTCATAAACACAACAGTCGCTTCCCGTGTCCCTCGCCGCGTCCCTCGCCGTTGCGCTGTGCCAATGCGCCTACGACTCGGCCCTCTCTAATCCGACTGCACTCTAATTCACCTCCGTCACTCGTTTGCGCGCATCTGCCGCCATGGCCATAATCAATCCCGAGCCCGCCGCCCTCTCCGCCGACGACCTGTCGCTGTTCTACACCACCGACGAGCTGCTCTCCAACTCGCCCGTGCTAATCTTCTACGGGCCGACTGCCACGTCCACCCAGGCCACACACTCGCGCATCCAGGCCCACGTCTTCACCCCAGCCGGCCTCCAGAACTTCGCGCGTCTCATCATATCGCCGACAGCCGCCTTCTACAACGCCGTCACATGTCTGCCCCGGGAGGAACAGGGCGACGAGATCTGCCGCGGCCTGGCCTTTAGTCTGTTCAAGTACTTTGTCGAGCTCCCCCTCGAGATTAAAGATGCCTGGGAGAAGCGATACAGCACCCTGGGCCACCTGCCCTCGGCGCCGCAGCTCTTCTCCGAGTCGCACGCAGCCATTCTTGCCGCCAAGATGGTCAAGGTCGAGAACATTGCAGATGTAATCGTGGATGTACGGCATGCGCTGGGAGAACAGACATTGTCGTGGCTGGATCTGGACGTGGTTCTGCCACAGGGGAGCATCAAGAAGTTCAACTCGCGAGAGTCAGGCCTGTTCGACGAGTCGGAAGATGAGCTACTGCAGCAACGATTTGGCCAGTATGCGCCCGTCATGAAACTGTTCGGGGAAACCGCCTTCCTCCCCACATCGAAGCTCCGCCGCGCACCATCGAAACCCACCGCCCTCAATCGACTACAGACTTTCTCGCGGAAACAGAAGGAGACGCTGCGACGCGAAATGTGCGAGCTGTTGGACACGGAGGAGAATTACGTCAACAAGCTCCACGACCTGGTCAACAACGTGGCAGTCGAATTCCGCAAGAAAGCAAAGAACAAGTCATCCTCGAGCACAAGCCCAAATGAGCAGACACTGAAGGGCCTCTTTCCTCCGAGTCTCGACAACATCCTCGAGGTCAACTCTCAGTTTTTGGAAGTCATGCGCGTCATCCTGGAAGAGACGGAGAACGGAGCGATACAAGACATCGAAGAAGCCACAGACGATGTGTTCATTGCTCCATTGAGAGGAACAAAAGACCCACCAGACGTTACTGGAGCTCTGGCAGTAGCAAAAACCCTTGTCGAGTGGTTGCCCCAATTCGGCGATTGCTACACTGACTACATGGCTGCACATGGCGACTTCTCACAGCTGCTGAAGACATTCACCAAAGACACTACCTCAAGCTTCTCGAAGAGAGTCTATGACACGGGGGAGCAGCGACTGATGTCTTTGCTGATCGAGCCTGTTCAGCGTCTGCCACGTTATAATCTGTACATCGATAACATCGTCAAACAACTGCCTGCAAGACATCCTGCGATTAGGAGTTTCCTCAAAGCGAGAGATATCGTTTCTGAGATCTGCTCAAGAGAAGGACCGTCGGCTCAGCAGATCAGGGTGTTGGATCGCCTGCGCAAGATGGTGGCTGCATGGCCATCAACCTTCAACCCGCGAGGCAGACTCATCACCGCTATCGACCTTGTGGAACTTTCTGCGCCTTACCATGGAGATCTTGCCGGGCCATCAACCGTCTCTGGAATCCTTGTTCTCTTCACAGACTTTGTGGTTTTCGTGCGCAAGCCAGATGTATCCACAACTACTGCTCGCAGTTTACTGGCGGACTTAGACAATCCCAAGTTCGCCGAGTCCTTTGACGGTTCTATAGAGCTCATCTTCCACCAACACGTGAAACTCTGCGACATCGTAGCGAGTGAGCACTCGGAGGGGAGCATTCTCCAGACATTGTCTCCCATACCTTCAGCTAGCCAAGCAGGAAGACCACGAAGCCGCGACCGACAATGTATTGGTATTCGCATGTTCTACTTACAGGGCGCATATGAAGGCAAGGCGCAGAAATTTGTTGAGGAGCTCACCAAAGCTAGAGTGGAAGGTCGATTCCCCGAAGCCGAACGAGAAAGTTACAAGTGGGAAGTACGGAGCCTGCCAGGCGATCTCAGCTTCTTCTCTTCCGTTTCCGAGGAGATTGGAACACAATCGGTAGAAGGACGAAATGAGCCAGCAAAAGTACAGGTCCTTGTGGAAACAGCAAATTTCGCGCAACCCGTTGTTGTGGGCGATCAGGGCATCGAAGTAACTATTGCGATCACAATCCTCGGAGATGGTTTCTTCCTATTGGACACGACTGGTCTCAATGGTTACGCAGCGCGAGACAAATTGACCAGCGTCGAGTTTCTACCTGTACTGACAAAACGACTGACGAATTACTTCCAACTGCGCAACAACGTCAAGAATGCCGCACTGTCTGAAGCCTACCTTTTCCGGAACCACCAAATCCTCAAGTCACTCAACGTCCAGTTCAATCAAGTCGAAGATACACAATACAGCAAGAGTCGCCCGAACTCTCCCGTCAAGATGCTCTCCGGTTTCTTTAACGGCAGCATAGGCAGAGAAGGTGGTTCTCGCAGCAGACTACACCGCAGTCCGCATACTTTGGGTGATATCCCACGGATGCCGCCTCCTTCTCAGCCTGCGTCAGCACGTCCTCACAGTCATGATGGCGAGCTCTCTCGACCCACGTCATCCAGTAGAAGCTTGAACTTCGGTGCCAATGGCCACACGACCGATTCACTCACAAAGCTGGAAGAATCCTTGTCGAACATGACTATGGCCCTACTTGCTCGAAAGGGCAACATTGTCGGTCGCTCAGTCCGCGCAAGGGCTGTTGCGGACGAGCTTGCAGTCAATGAGCTGTACAACTCACTCTTGGAGAACTCTTCGAATCTCGACCTCGCCTCACAGTCGTCTGTTGACGTCCTTTTTGCTACGTTTGAGAAGTTCCTCAGCGTGGCCTGGAAGGAGAGGATGGGCCCTGTACTTTCGCACGCCATGTTTGTATCGCTGCAAATGAGGTCAGACAGCATGCACCCTGATGAGTTTGAAGAGTTCTTCCGAGGAACATTTTTTGAGCTTGCACCACACAACCAACGTGCACTTCGAGCTATTGTCGGCCTTCTAGCCGAGTTGCTGGATGGTACCAGCAACGATGGAGACCGGGGTGTTTTGACAGCAGCATTTGCTGAGATGTTGGTACCAGCCGGGAACGCCAACGACTTCATCTCTTTGATGGACCGACTAGTCCAAGACATCGACATCCTCTTCCCAGCTGAAATCGCTGAATTCAGTACTCCCATCTACGGCTCCATCGATTCCAAGAGTCGCCACGCTGCCGGTGGCTCGGTCAGTTCCAACACATCCTTGAGGAAACGCCTCGGGTTCAACACTGTCACTAGAGAGAACAGCAAGTCGGAGAAGGTCGATAACGAGTCCAAGGTTGGTTCGTTGTGGCGTTCGCTGAGCAAGAACACCTACGTAGCAGAAAACCAGCCTCCCAGCTTGGCTAAAGCCGGGTATGCTTCGTTTGGCCGTTCTAACTCTATCGACACTGGCCACATCTCCCCCAAGCGTCCATCGTCCCGTGACCGTCCTACCGTTTTAGGGACGTTCAGCTTCGAGAATGGGAATGCGAATGGGAATGGCAGTGGCAATGGGAACGGAAACGCTCCTCCTAGCCGGTCGTTGTTGGGTGCTCTTGGAACAATCGGAGAGGTACCGCCCACTGCTGGGCCTCCCCGCAAGAAGCGTCGCTCTTCATTGGGTGATCTCAGGACGTTGCAGACTGCTGACGATGTGCCCTCGTGGTCTTCGCAGGCACCTCCTAGACCTGACTCTGCAATGCAGAACAACCGACGGATAAGCGCGTCGCCACCACCACCACCACAAACTCCATCGCGTGGCACGCCCTCGCCTCTCAAACACTCCTCTATCCCTGCACCCACACGCTTGGGCTCGCCCTTCCGCAAGGAGAATTCGCCCGCGCCCCCAAGTGCTCGCGAGCGCGCCAACAGCCTACGACCAAAGTCCGTCGCTGCCAGATATGACACCAGGGACGAAGTAACCATCAAATCCAACACGCCCAGAAAGAAGCGAACCGAGTCCATAACCAGCATCCCCATTCTCAAACCCACCCCGGAACTCGGCCTATCCGAACGTCCCGGCTCCGGAAACGCCGTGAAAATCCCCCCTTCCTCACCCCGCTCCCCCATAAAAGTAGGCCCTCCCTCGGCCCTCTCCCCCAAAAAACTCCGAATGCAATCCCCCCAGAAACTGCGCGAGCGCCTGCAAATCCAACAACGCGACATCGAATCCGCGTCGCAGGACCTGCAGAGCGAACTCAGCGCAATCACCCACGACCTAGCCACCAAGCCCGATCCCCGCCTCTCAACAGAAAGCCTCACCCTCGCCCCCACCAGCGCAAAAACCCTCGAACTCCGCATCGCCGCCCTGGAAAAACAGGTCAAAAATACCCTCGACTCGCTCTCCTCCCGCGCCGCGACTATCGCCCAGGACGTCGGCACCTCGCTGCAGGTCTCCGAGGCTCGCGCCAAACACCTCGATCAGCTGTATCGCGATATGAATGCGGAGAATGAGGCGCTGTATGCGCGGTTTAATGAGGAGTTGGAGAGGGTTACGTCGAGTGCGAGGAAGGGGCGGGCGGGCGAGGAGGCGGAGAGGAGGTTGAGGGCTAGTGAGGAGGAGGCGGTTAGGTTGAGGAAGGAGAATGCGAGATTGAGAAGGGAGGTTGCGGGACTGAAGGCGCAGATTAGGGAGTAGTGTGTGGGTGGGTTAGTGTGTGGGTGGGTGGGTGGGTGGGGGTGGTGTGCTGGTGTAAAGGTGTTTTTTTGGGGGAAGCATAGCTATGGCGTTTTTTTTTATGGTCCTGTGGGTTGAATGCGGTTATGGCGCTGCATGGTCGGTCGGTCGGTTTGGGGGGGGGGGACATATCCTTGGGTCCCGCTTTTGGTACTTTCTTCTCTTTTCTTTGCGTTTCTTTGTTCTTGGTTTTGCGGCGGGGGTTCGGAGCGATGAAGTGAGAAGACGATTGATGCGGGATGATGAAAGTCAGGGGTTTGACACTTGATGCGGAGAGACTGCACTGGGTAGAGGGAGAGGCAGGGAGAGGGATACCATTTCACGTGTTTCAGTCTTTTAGCTTTTAGATTTTTTTAATCCTTGATCTGAGTTATGCTGTG